TTACGTAACATAATCAGGTACAGTTAAACACTTGTAGCTTCGTTTTTGTTTCTTTTTGAAACTCAAATCTATTTGAGAGCATAACGATGATATTTTATTCATTATGTCATATGTATTTGAAGATATATATAATGATATGATATTAAGCCCTTATATATATATAAAGATGATGAAATGTAATATATATGAATTGTTGGATATATATAGAGAGAGAGAGATTGGATGAAAATTAAAAGATGGAGATGATTTAGATGCGGTTGACTTAAATTTAGCAACGGTTATGATGAAGCGTGTGTTGGTTGAAGGGGGCAACAATCATGACTCATAAGCAATGTATGCATGTATAAAGACGACACTACTTCTGCAATCACTTTGACCCTTTCTCTTTTTGTCCATTTTCCATCTTTTTTTTTTTACCTTTCTTTCTTCCATTTCTTTTCCATTATATGTATAACACTACTCCATCTTATAACTATATATATATATATATATATATATATATATAGTTGAATTGAAGCTTTTAAATCTGTTTAATTGGTCGCCTAGACGACCATGAATAGCCTGGAGTCATCGCAAGTAAACCTCCATGGTCACAAAGACTTTGATAACTGTTTGATTCAAACATATGGATAGATGAGATTTTTCACTACATTTCGACCCTAATGCAAGTCAAATGGTTAAGTTTCATTTGCTAACGGATGATGGTGTAGTGAATAACTTTGAATGGTTCAATTTCAAAGTTAAAAGGAAGTTAGATTGGTTTGGTACAAGAAAACCAAGATGATGATGAATGTGATAAGAGAAAAGAGAAAGTAATTAGAATGTAGATCCACCCACTGTCAAAATTTGAATGGTGGGTTCCTAAGATCCCTAAACAGAGTAGCTAACAACCAAACAGACCAATCAAAGTGTCTGTATGAATCATTTAGTTGCCATGAGTATGCTCTATCTATATGTAATGAATCAATGCAGCTGGTCTCTAAAGTAGGGTTTTCTTTTTCTTTCCATTTGGTTAATGGTGGGTTATGAGTGGATCACAGGATATATATACATATCATTGATTTGGGATGCTAATTATGATCAGTAGTAAATATAAAAAAGAGATATATATATAAATAAACAAAAGGAGGGAAATTAAGGCAAGATTTTCTAGGGTATCAAAGTGTCACCTTAAGTCAAGATTCTCATACTCAGACATGAAGATTTGGGTTTAGCCACAAGGGTCCCCAAATCCAGTGGAGATCAAATTGAAGAAAGAAAGATCATTTGCTGTACACAAAATTCTTCCCCATATCTATTATGCCAAATAATGGATGTTCCTTGAGGTTTTCTAGCCCTACCCCACACACAAATTATTAACTCCTTAAATCATCATCATCATCTTACATATATATAGAGAGAGAGATTTGAGATCATGTTAGACCAACTTATGTTTATGAAACCCGTGAGACCACCTTTTTACACTTGTAACTTCACAATAAAACACTGTGATAGTAACCTTCACAATAAAACACTGTGATAGTAACCTTCACAGTGTTTTTGTTGCGAATGTCTGAATTTTTTTACCTTCATAATGTTTGCTATGAATATATGTAAAGATGTGGTTTCACAAAAACAGATTGGTCTCACATATATATATATATAGAGAGAGAGAGAGAGAGAGAGACGTGGGATCATGTGAGACCAGACTGTTTTCGTGAGACCCGTGAGACCAACATTTTACACTTGAAACTTCACAACAAAATGCTGTGAAGGTAACCTTCACAGTGTTTTTGCTGTGAAGGTTCGACTTTTTAAAACCTTCAGAGTGTTTTTGCTGTAAAGTTTTAAGTGTAAAAATGTGGTCTCACGAAAACAGGCTGGTCTCACGTGAACCCAACCCTATATATATATATATATATATTATCTTTTAGTTTTTGTTGCAGATAATTAATATTCATTCTTTCTTTTTATAAACAAATAATACTCATGTCAAGAAGAATGATTTTGGATATAAAAGAAAGAAATAATATCTACGAACTATGAGACTTGCAGTTTTTGCTTCGACCTTATCACGGGCTATTTAAGATCGTTTTTTCTTAAAGAGTGTAACAATTCTACAAGAATTAATTACCGATGATTTATTTAGAGAAAAAACCTAATAAAGCAATGGATGTGTTTCTAAGGGAAAAAAAAAAAACCAAAGTGGCAAATGCTTCTTTTTTCAATGCTAAGATCCCAAATGTCTCAATTCTCAGAAATATCATGTACAGAAACAAATTAATTGCTAAACAATAAGACAACAAATGTGTTGACAACCATCGTCTTGTAAGCATATATACATATACATACATATATATATATATATACATATATATATATATATATATATAATAGTTGTATTAAATTTATTGAATATATGCTTAAGTGTCTAATCCGACACCAGCATGAACACACAAGTGTAATGTATTTAAGTGTGATAGTTACATAATTTTTAAGTTTATACGAGACAATGATGTAAGGAGTTTGACCTAACACAAAATTATCTAATACAACAGGGTCAAACCTATTTAATTCATATACAAAACCCTACAAAAACATCATCAATTATTTCTAATTTAATACGAAATTTTTTATTTAATTAATCTTCTTTAAACCGTTGTTACTTATCTATATATATTATGTCAACTTAAGGTTACGTGGAAGGATAGTTATTATTTAAGAAATATCGTCATTTTTATGCCGATTTACATCGACAAAAACTTGTTACGTCGATTCTATCATTATGAATAAAATGTTTATTCACTTAAAATATATGATTTAATTAGTAAAATCACTTATTTTTAATGCAAAATATTACATGCGATAGACTACAGTTCCCAAATGATTGATTATAATATAAAGTGTTTTTATATTATCATAAAATTAAAATGTTCTCGTTCGAACGTCTTCTGTATAAATTTTTTAAACAATTTTAAAAAAATTAACAAGACTTTTTTTCTTTTTGAATATTTGATGTGTCTTTATTTGGTCGATGAGTCAACTTGGAATCCAATAAAATACGAAAAAGGAAGAGAAGTCGGTGATGAACTTTACTTGATTTGTTCATCTCTAGCAATATTAATTTGGTGACTTATTTGCACCCTAGCTACCTATAGTTAATTTATTTTCTTATAAGATTTTGTTTTTAAAACTATTAAAAAATGATATATTAAATATTAAAGATTTTCTAGGTGCTTAAAATCAAATTATTTTATATGAAAATTACTTAACTAGAAGAATCGTTAGTCTTTGGCCTCTTAAAAGGTCAGTAATTCAAACCTCACCAAAATATATTTTTTAATCATACATGTATATATATATATATATAAATATAATAGATTTGCAGTATTTATAGATCTAACAATATCAATAGCAGTTTAATTAGAACCATTTCAACAATTTCATTCATTCATTAATCAAAGACGATCTCCATCGAAGTTTTTCGACATTATAAGACATATCTATGGTTGTACCCCGTCAATAACTAATTAAGAAAAGTGGTGGTTGGAGGAGGAGGAGGTGTGGTGGTGCATGGTGGTTGTTGGTGGTGGTGGCAGTGGAAATGGAATTTACAAAGACCAAGGTGTGGATGCATATATTCCCACTATTACAAATGAAGAAGAAGTAGTAGTAGTAGTAGGTATAGGTGTTTGAGTTGAGTTGAGTTGAGCCCCTCCCACCATCACTTCCAAGAACACTACTCATCAATCACCATTATTGCATCTTTACTTTCACCTTTTCTTAATTTTAACACTTGTCTTCCAAATATTACTTCTCTTAAATTAAATTAATCATTTTTATTTAATGTTTTCTTCACAATAATTAATATTTTTATTAAACTAAATGTCATAATTATTATAAAACAAACTAATAATTCTTACAAATACTCGTAATAAGAGTTTAGTAAACGGCTATAAAGTTCCATACAAATTAATTCACAAGATACTAAATATTGATTGTAATAAGATAGGATCATATAAACAATTAACGAACGAACGTAAAAAGAAACTAATTGTAAAAAAATTGTTAGAGATTGCTTGACATAAAACACAAGATCATACAAGATGACATTTTTATTTTACTTATTACAACACAGACAGTTAAAACAATAAAGCATATTTAACGTATATAAGAAACCGAGTCATGTCATATAAGATTTAATTTAAAAAGTTAGTATATAATACCCATTATTCAAATAATATCAAATGTTAATAGTTTACCAGAAAACCAATATTTTTCATCAATAAAACATCCGAAATTCAATCAGATTTGTCTTTTCGCTTTTCATGATTTCCTTATATAAAGTGACAAAATGTATTCTATAAATACAAAGATTTTAGATAAACATATATCATTTAAAATAAAAATGTATCCACTAATAGTATCCATGTTGAGACAAAAAGAAATTGGATATTACAAGTTGTCAAATGATGGAATGAGAAACAAAATTGTTTACCTAAAAAGTGATTGATGGAAAGCTTAATGAGACAATATGTAAAATCTTATATAAACAAAAAGCATATGATGGATGGAATTTAACACATAAATGAAAGATGGAGGGTTGAAATTGTAATGAAGAAAAAGATGGAGGGGGACACAAATTGGGGGAAGATCTCTGTTATCCTTTGTTTTTCTTTTGGTATTTTCTTCCTCAAAGACAAAACCCCACCCCTGCCCCCACTACCCCCCTCCCCCACCTTAAAAAAATTGCATCTTCCTGACTTGTATCAGAGATCCCTTTAATAGGTAGAGGGTTTTAGCTTTGTTTTTCTCACAGAATAACAGCTTTTTCTATACACATTTCAAGCCCTTTGTTTTCCTTTTATTTAGCTTTATTATATATATATATATTTTAATGCCTTGAATGAATGTGTATGTAAGCTTCAAACACCCAGAAACTGTGTTTTTGGCAGTCTAAGAATAACAACACATATCCTTCATCTGTTCATTTTCGGAAAAACAAAAATCTCAGCTTTAGCTTTTCTGAGACCACCTCACAAAACGTAAGCTTAGAAAAACACAACTGCTTTTCTTGTTTTTCCAACTTTCTAAAGTGCTTATAACTTCTCGAATTGCTTTCCCAAAGCACTTATTTCAAGTGGGGTTTTTTCTCCTTCTGAATCTCTGTCTCGTCGAAGAACAACACCCACCTCCCCTTTTCTTTGTTTTCTTGCAGAATTTGCTTCCACAGCTACAATTAGTGTTTCTTGAGAGCAAAAAACAGTTTCTTTTTGGGTTGATTTGTCATTCTTCTGTACAAATGGATACTTCACACCAAGATTCAACTGTTAAAAACGTGCTCAGGAATCTCTGTCGCTGTTATGGATGGTCTTATGGTGTTTTCTGGAGTTTTGACCAGGCAAATTCCCTGTATGACTCCCTAAATCTCTATCACACACACATAGATACAAAAGAGTTCAATATATACATGTATCTATATACTGTCTATGATTACAAAACATCAGCTTTGAATTTGTTTACTTGGGTACATATATCTATATCTATATATATATGTATGTATGTATGTGTACACTGGTTCTTGGCCTATTTTGTGTCTATGTTTTAATCTTCCTGTTAATCTTGTATTTTACTTTCCTGGGTGGGTTGACCATCCATTCCAAGAACATATATTTTTCTGCATACTATCTGTTTCTCTATTAGTATTCCTATGATGTAAAATGCATTTTCTTTATTCTGATATGAAAATAATTTGTTGATATTCAATTCTTATGGAAATGGGTATCAAGAAAATGACAAGATTACATTTTTCTTTCAATTTAGCCTGGTTTGGGGGTGAGATCTTGTCAGCATCATCACATAATTTGGGCAAATTTAGTAAATCCTTACATTAATTCCACCATCAGAATATTCCCATACTTGATTGTTCATAAATTCAAAAATTCTAAAATCATCTGATTCAAATTGTGTATCTTTTTAGATCACTTGGGTATTCATTAAACCTGTTTCTCTGATCTGTTTTCTGTTATTTCTTTATGTACCTTTTCTTTTGATTTATCTTGTAAAATAACATATGTTGTTTGTTTCCCAGATTGTTGACTATGCAAGATGCTCACTTTGAGGAGGAAATCCAAGGTCTAATTGATGATTTGCTTCTACAAGCCCCAATGTTTGGAGGAGGGTATGCTTATTTCCCCTAATCTTTCTATAACATAATAATTAATTTTCCTTAATTGGGTTTTAATTGAAAATTTCTGAAGTTAATCAATCTTTTAAGTCTAATAATGATTAATAATTTCTTAATTTTTTTAGGTTAATTGGAGAGGCTGCTTTTACTAAGAAACACCTATGGATGTCCTCAGAAGATAATTACATAGCACATAATTCTTCAGGTTCCATCTGGGATATGTTTCGGGTATGTATTAATAAGTTCTTTTTAGCATATACCCAATTTCTTTTCTTATTCATATATGAATTCTAATCAGAATTTCCTTGTTCCGTATGATGAAGTTTTGTTATCTTAACCACAATTTAGTTCAAGTCAATAGTTCATGTAAATCTACCCCATTTAACATTCTTTTTGTATTTTTGTAGGATGATTCGAAATTTTGTAGCCAATTTTCCTCGGGGATAAAGGTACTTGTTTTGGTTTAACTTCAGTTTTAGGATGGTACCACCTTCGTGGTACCTTGTGTGCCCGTTTATGCGACAATGATCTTGGTCCAACGACATGTTTTGATCTTTTGTTAACTTTCATCTTGCAGACAATTGCAGCAATCCCAGTGGAACCACAAGGAGTGGTACAATTTGGGTCCACTAAGAAGGTTAGTAACTTGATACCAATAAGACTTGAACAAATCGAATTCTAGCTTCACAAACAGAACCAAAAGAAGTTCAAGATAGTTTGAGTAGATCTGACGTATTGCTTTTGATGTTTAGATTCTAGAGAGGACGGAATTTATAGATCAAACCAAGAGAATGTTCCATGAAATTGTAAATGGTGATGGGCCAGCAATTTCATCTTCATCAAATGGGTTGTTTGCCTCTTTGATATCATCCGAAGAGGGTTGTCCCTTTTCAGTTGGATCTTCTTCGGCTTTTCCACCACATCCTTTCTCTTTCGGTTCAGAACCTCAAACCTTGTTTCTTGATAATAATCAGTCTACTACACAGTTTGTTGGAGTTGGTAATGATGGTGCTGCACCATGGAGTACTGCTTCTAGTTTGACTTCCTTCAAGGAACCGTTTTTATCAGAATCTAGAGGTCTAGAAACGTGGAACACATTATCTGTGCAATCAAAAAGCCCATTTCCTTCAACAAACACACATCAAGATTTGTTCGATTTACCAACAGATTTTGGAATCCCGGATGAATTCTTCCAAACAGGAGATTTCAATATTGCTCAATGGTACCCTCAGTCTCCAGGCCAAAGTACTGTAACACTAGGCAACCTCACACCAAATGATCATTTGTTATCGCAAGCCACGGGTTTTCTTCCCATCAGTTCTGATGAAGGCGGCAAATCTTTGACTATTTCTGGTATTGATGTTGATCTGTTCGGAAGTTCAGGAGATTTGGGAGACATTGTAACACCTGTTATAAATGAAAACCATTTGGGTTTCGATTCTTACAATTCAGGGCATATCTCAGTGTCAAAGTCAACCAAAAATGTTGATAATCATGACTCTGCTACCCTTGGTCAGAAGAAAGGATTGTTCTCAAATCTTGGGATTAAAGAGCTTTTGGAGGGCATTTCTGCTACTTCTAACACTGCCTCAACTTCTTGCATTGAGGATCAAGTGTCGTCTGCAGCAAAAAGAAGGAAAACGGGAAATTCCGTATGGGAAACGAGTTCGTTACAGCCTGTTGTATATAACAAGAGTCTTAAATCGGAACCTGGTATATGGATGAGTGATGCTTATAGCATGGATGGTTCAAGCACAATCTTGCAAGCTAAGAAGCAAGTAGAATCCCCAAAGCCCACCAAGAAAAAAGCTAAACCAGGGACTCGGCCACGGCCCAAAGACCGCCAGATGATATTGGATCGTATGGCTGAGTTAAGAGAACTGATCCCTAACGGAGAGAAGGTATGCGACTCAATCAGAAATACTAATTCATTAAAGAATCCAAAAAGATTAGGTCTTTGCTAATTCCTTGCTTGATTCTACAGATGAGCATTGACTGTTTGTTGGATCGAACAATAAAGCACATGCTTTTCTTGCAAAGTGTGACAAAACATGCTGACAGAATCAAACAGGCTGATGAACCAAAGGTGATCAAAGTTCTTATCTTTATGTTCATAGTAATCTTGAATGGCTAATTTTCAAACTGTTGGTTTTGACATACTGATTTTTCTCAGCACAATGGTGTCATTCCGAATAATTATTCCAATGATCCAAGCAACAATGGTGTGACATGGGCATGCGAATTGGGAAATCAAACGATGATTTGTCCATTAATAGTGGAGGACCTTAGTACCCCTGGACAAATGCTCATAGAGGTAAAAGAACACTCATAAATGTTTCTGTGTGTAGCTTCTAGAAACTGTATGTTTGTTCGTAGAAATCTTAACCAAATCAAACGTGTTTCTCGTATAGATGCTTTGCGAAGAACATGGGTTCTTTCTTGAGATAGTGGACATAATCCAGGGTTTTGGGTTGACCATCTTGAAGGGAGTCATGGAAGCTCGTGATGAAAAAATATGGGCGCGATTTATAGTTGAAGCCGAGGTAAATTAAAGATTCGTTCAATCAAATATGAAAAAAGAGGGGAAAGTTCGAGTCTTTTTAATGAATTTAAATTGATTTTACAGGCAAAAAGACATGTAACAAGGCATGAGATATTTGCAGCACTTGTACAACTTCTACAAACAATGGGTTCTAACGATAATCATCTTGATAAAAACGTTATGCAAACTGGGACTTCTATACTCAACAATTTCCAACCATCTGGGATACAACTTCCTGTAAGCTTGGCAGACACAGGGTATGGCATGAACTTATAACCTTGTTCTTTAAGAATACCATGAGCATTCACCTGGTACCGACTGTATGTGATTACCGTGATTGGTATTCTGGGACGAAAAAACGAATAGAAAGAAATTAATTTCCTCAAAGGAGCGGCGATTTTTTCCCGGAGTTAGAAAATGAAGCTGTGGATGTGTAATGAATTTGCCCAAATGCAAGGAGGGATTACTTATGCTTTTAGGTTCGTTATTAGTGGCAGCGGCATTTTGGGGTTCTTGATCTTTGTTTCTTGTTTTGATTCTTTAGTGTTTCTTTGTTGGTTTCTTTCCAGCAGTTTTCAAAAAATTAAATGTTCATATTCTGAAACAAACAAGAAAGAACCAATGTAATTTGTAGGCTAACCGCCACCTTATGATTATATTCATCTGGGCTTTGATTTTCGCACCTGTTGTCATTGTATATAACGTTACCAACATTGAAGGTCAAAGTTTGACCTTCGATTACAGTCATCATAAATGCAGAATCAACATATCTGCTAAAGTTTCTAATAGGAAAAACCACATTAACAACCAAGAAATCCAAAACTCACCACAAGGGGATACAGACACTGTAATTCCTCATCTTGAAGATGGGAAGAACACAAACAACCAGAAGCTTGGTCTGCATGCATCCTGTAACACCATAGAGAAACAAGAGCTTAAGGCTGTATGCAGAGCTTAAGGCTGTATGCAGGGCAGAATAATATCGAAAGATCAAAAAGGAGGCGTATGTACCAAACTTACGCACACCAGAAATCAAATCGATCCAAAGTTCGTAACATGTGTGCTGTGTATTTTCCATGTGGTTATTTTTATTACATCTAGTGCTCTAGTGCCACAAATTTCAGCCATCAGAAACAAAAAAGCTAAGTCATAAATATGATATATATGTTGAAATGCAAGATCATACCTACTATGGATGGAGACAGGACAAAGCTCCAAGACCTTATTCAACCTTTTTATTGGTGATATAATGCTTAATAATATATGTTAAGGTGGAACATTTGAAAGAGACATTACTTAAACAAATTCAAGACATGTGAAAAGAAGATGGCTTTTGAGGAAGCTACAAATTTAGTCCTTGGACTCGTACTCAATCAGTAGGTTCGATCCTCTGAGAACCTTTTTGCCATTTCTAACCTCACTTCATTTCATTTTGGTCCTGAGAAATGATGTTTCTTGGTAGTGGCTTCATGATATAGTTTCTAGGATGGAGCTTTATGCAGAAAGCCAAGTTTTTTTTTCCTAAACTTGTCCCTCCCAATTAAAAAACACGCTCCTTCCATCTATGGGAAAACACTACCAAACAAAAACCTTCACAATTTATACAGATAGATTAATCTATACAGACAGTTTTATCTATACAGGACTTAAATGGAAAACCAACCAAACAACCCCTAGTTTGCTACCGTAGTCATTCTTCTCCAAGTACTTTTATCAAAAATCATGTCCTAAAAAATCCTCAATGCCACCATGTCCATCCTCTATTGTTCATCCCGCAACCTTCTCAGCGTTCCCCTCCTCTTCACCCACTCAACCATCGCTCTACTCTTCTCACTATGCCGTCATCGATCTCCTATGAACAACTTCTACGACTCTAGACATTCGCTAACGCTTTCAGCCTCAGGGACCAAAATGATACGAAATTATAAATTTTGGACCAAAAAACCAATCCAGGGATCAATATTGTAGCTTACTCCTTGCTTTTGATAGTTTGGTTTGCCTTTCAAGTTAGTGCTGAAAGGCTAGATAAGTGGTCTTCCCATTCTGTAGTGAAGAGGGTAAACAAACCAATGAATTAAAAAAATTAAAAGGAGACTTACCATCCATGACCTAATTCCTCTTCTTTTCACACAAAACCAAAATGGTTTGTAATTTTATATTGAATAGATCAGATTATATACAATATTGCACCAGAAAAAGTTAGTCATAAAGACAACTTTATGATGCTGTCTTTGTCTATCATAAGAACTTGTTTTCTTTTTTGATGTTCACTTGAGTCAACTCGTATTGTACTCTGAATCGGTAAGATAACTTTCGGCTGCTTGTACCAAAATTTCGACGAAATAAACTCTGTCTAGGACCCAATTAACGCTGTTAACTGCATAATCTATTCAGCACTTAACTTGTAAGATGGAGGTATGTGGATATAGGCAGCTTAATGAGCTTAATGAGACTCACAGCTTATTCGGTCAGATATACATGACTCTTTGGTAGTGGCTTAATGATGCAGAAAGTGGCTTATTCAGTAAGCTTCTGGGGAAGTTTATGCAGAAAGCCAAGTTTTTTCCAAACCTGCATCTCCCAATTCGAAAACACGCTCCTTCCATCTATGAATAAACCTTCCGAATCTATTTAGACAGATTAATCCATAGTACACAGACAACTTTATCCATAAAAGGGCTTATTGGAAAACCAACCAAACAGCACTTAAGAAAGACATGGAGTTGCCAAGATACAAGAAAAGGATCTGCACGGCTGCAGCATTTCAAGAAGTAAAGAAAGCTACAGGTGTACGTGCTAAAGAAACATCCGAGTCCTTAAAACCTGCAAGTGTCCTGAAGAACAAGAAATCTTGGGGTCTATTTGTTCACATCACTTTCAAAGTTTCAATTTTGACTACTACTGTTTGGTATCTATTTGCTAAACTTACATAATCTCCTCTTACACGAAAGGTTAAGATGATTTACATATGATACAGAAAGTATTTAATTAAGAATGTTATGGCTTTACCAATGATTTGGGACAAATTGAAGCTCAACCAATGTAAACCAGCTGCTTATAATATATCTGATCCTTGGAGGAAAATTAACGCTATATATTTAGTGCCTTTACGTAAGGAAACAATATTGGTTTGTAGTGCTTTGTGAGTGTTGAGCATTGTTAAATTAGAGAGAGTTAGTGACATATATATATGTCATGCACCCTATCTTGACCTACCTAACCAGAAAAGATGATGCAAAATGATAATATTTAGCCATAGAGAAAAGCTTCCTCCTTTTTTTAAGTATTTGGTCTATATATAGAAAGTGATCAGCAAAGCTTGTGAATAAATAGGCTGGATTTCAGCAGCATATCTAACACTTGACAGCATTCTCTTCAGGGTCGTGTAGTTCTCCTCCACTGTAACATTCTTTTGTAAAAAATGGCTAACAAGAATGGAGTTCAGTGGAGTATCAGGGTGGGCGATGGATCATTAGTGGTTCTTGAGCCAGAGCACAAGAACCGAGTAATGAGATTATGGGACGGATTGAAGGGTTTGGTGGTGAAGTTTGCGATGAAAGTGTGGAGATTCTTGAAGCAGGCATGGGATTTAGGGGTGGATGACCCTAGAAAAGTCTTCCATTGTCTTAAAGTTGGAGTAGCTTTGATGGTTGTGTCCTTATTTTACTATATGAGACCTTTGTATGATGGTGTTGGCGGCAGTGCCATCTGGGCCGTTATGACTGTTGTTGTCGTCTTTGAATATACTGTCGGTAAGCATTTCAAGAAACCTGATTTCTATCTTTTTTCTTTATCACATTTAGCCAATCTTTGTTTCTATCTCTAATGTGTGTGTATATATTGTAGGTGGAACTCTTTACAAGTGTTTGAACAGAATCTGTGCAACTTTTCTTGCTGGATTTCTTGCACTTGGGATTCATTGGGTTGCTATTCATTCTGGACACCGATTTGAGCCATATATCATGGGGATTTCTCTTTTCATATTAGGTAACATCAAAAAAATCGAATCTTTAAAGTTTTATATCGTCGAATAGGTGTTGGCTGATTGCTAATCAATGATCTATCTTTTTCTTGCAGCTTCTGCTACGACTTTTTCAAGATTTATCCCTGTGGTGAAAGCTAGATTCGACTATGGTTGCACCATCTTCATCCTCACTTACAGTCTGGTATCAGTCTCGGGGTATCGAGTTGAGCATCTATTGAGTGTGGCCCACGAAAGGCTATCGACAATAATCATAGGGACTTGTTTGTGCATTATTACCAGCATGCTTGTTTTTCCTGTTTGGGCTGGCATGGAACTTCACGTTCTGATCCCTCGTAACATGGATAAGCTCTCAAAATCCTTAGAATGTGAGTACTTATGACATATAATACCAATAATATTGTACTCGAATTTGTGCCATTTTTCATCTTTTAGTCATCAATTTTTCCTTACAGGTTGTGTAGCTGACTATTTTGGTGATGGCGATGATGAATCTAAGAAAACATTAAACGGTTACAAATGTGTGCTGAATTCAAAAGCTTCCGAGGAAGCCATGGTATGTAAGGGGCAATGATGGACACACACACACACATATATATAATATATATATGAGTTGTTTATATTTGGTTTTAACATTCTGTATTTTCTGGTACAGGCAAATTTTGCTAGATGGGAGCCTGCACATGGCCGGTTCAATTTCCGGCATCCATGGAAGAATTACCTCAAAGTAGGTGCATCATCGCGCAGTTGTGCGTATTGCATTGAAACACTCACTAGTTGCTTGGATTCCAAGAATCAGGTGAACCCCAATTAATGTTTTATTCAAATTTGTTCGCTTTTCTTCACACAAACTAGAAGAAAAATGTAAACCAAATCTTTAAACGGATGTAAAAGCAGGTCCCGGAATCAATAAAGGATCATCTCAGTTCTGCATGCATGAATCTAAGCTCAAGTTCGTCGAGTGTAATGAAAGAGCTGGCAAAAATTGTAAGTACGATGACAAGATCGGCAACGATAGATATGGCGGTTCAAGAAATGAAGAACGCAGTCCAAGAGCTGCAAAACGACTTACAATCCCTTCCGGATTTGCTGATCCAACCACTTGACAGTCAAGAAGAGTCCACAACTCCAAATTCACCCGACAAAACCGAACTGGTTCAAAGTGAAATTACGGTAATGCCCCTAATGGAAGTGATCCCACTCGTGAGTTTCGCGTCTTTACTGATGGAAACCGCTTCAAGGATAGAAGAAAGCATCGTGAAAGCAGTGGAGGAGTTGGCTGATTCGGCTCAGTTTAAGCAGGCAGAAGATGAAATAAAGCTGAAGCAAAATCCAACCACCAGCAAGATTGCATCTGAGGAAGTATAAATAAAGCGTTGACCGTCTTATTTTTGGCAGAAGTCAACGATAAACAGCCTCTCTGGTCTCTGCTTGCATGGTTCAACAATGGTGATATGATATCTTGATGCATTCAGAAGGCAAAAACTGACCTGGGTTATTCTCTAGCATTTTTACTTCTACTTTTTTGCTTTTTATGGCAACGTACTAAAGACAAGAAGACAATTTATTATATACCCAAGTGACGTCTTGCAGATATATATATATATATATATATATATATATATATATATATAAGTATAATTTGAGTGGAGACAGACTCGACTTGCATCGACTTGGAGATAATCTAATCCACCTCTGGGCTCCTTTGTCGTACCACCTTGTACTTGTTTTCTTTTCTTTAAAGAAAACAAAGTGAATGTTGGCCCGTACACCACTCTTATAAAATATACATTAATCTAACATGTTCCATATATTATTCCATATATTTTCGTATGATATTATATTCGATACAAGATTGTCTATAATTTGTATTTGTTTGGATACTTTTGGTGTCTACGTTATAACAAAATTGACTTTGTAGGACGCCTAGAGGCTAGAATGTCATATCATTCTATTAGAATACTTTGTATAACATAAATTTTTAGAACCAAACTATAAAACGTACTATCTAAAAGCGGAATAATAGGTTTATAAAACGTTTTTAGGCGTTTTAGCAAAAAATTTATGACGCTTTTAAAATAAATCGTCCTACTAGACATTTTTCAAAAACCCTTTTTTCATAGGAAACTTGTGTCTATAGAACATATTTTCAAATAGTGTCGTATAAAACAACTAATACGACACTTTATTCTATAAATTTATTGTAACACTTTTAGATAAAACTCTTTTGGTTTGTTCATATAAAATATTTTATTAGGACACTTACAAAATCTTAATCTGAGTGGATTTCACATATTCTTATGAGGGGATTGAGAAATTGACTCAAATTGTCATTTCATCTATTCAAATTGGTCTCCTGGTTATTTTCTCATGTGTTTACCCAAATATCACTACATTCGCAATAAAGACAAAAAAAAAATCAAATTCAGCCCAGGTATGCAATTGCGACATCTAGGTCTGCAATTACGACGGCTAGGTCCGCGATTGCGACGGTATCACCTGCTAACCTGATGAAATTTGATTTTTCTTTTTTTTAGCCAGGTCCGCAAACGTGGATATCACGGACGTATAGACAATTGGATAAATATTGCGAATTACAGATGTAGATATCATGGACGTAGTAACATTTGGATGAATCCGGAAGAATAATAGCTAGGAGATGGATTTAAATGGGTGGTACAACTATTTTATTTTCATAGGCAATTTGTAGTGGGAAGAACAGGTCCAAAACTTTATTAAGATCCGTCTTATTATCTTTTTGCTAACCACACGATAAGATAAAGAAACATACAAAATACGAACACCGTGAGCTGATTGAGTGGTGATTAATTGATAGTAATGGCGAATGGGATCAAGCTGTAAGGTTTTCCACTTTTGGTCAAGAAAGGGAGTGGATGGGTCGGCCATGGGGTTGTAGGAGTGAAAAGAGTTTTAATCTTTTTTAATTACTACCGTGAAATTGTTGGTTCAACAATGGCGTCATGATAATCATGTTACGATTGAAGCAAAAAACACGTGAATTTTGCATTAAGCATGGTTCTGTCGTCAATGTCGAGCACAATTCCATCCACATTAAAGTACCTTGATCATCGTTTATACTTGTACAATATACCCTCTTATCCATGGCCACAAAACATCAAGCTTTCAGATGGATGGATGATAATAATGGATAAAAAGACAGACCCATCGTTAGATTTCTCAAAAACCCTAAATGATCATTCATAAAGATTCTTAAGTTTCAAAAAATCTGTGTGTATTAAGTATATAGAAACATGGGTGATGATAACAATTCATCCAAAACTTCTGCCAATAAGAAAGAAAGAGTTCGACGATCAAGATTAATCATCAATGGAGTTGCAGGTCTTCTAGGTTTAACATGGAAGATGGTAATGCTCCCGATTACTATAACTGGTGCTAGTGTAGGGTTAATTACCGGGGTAATTGGGTTGGGTTTTTGGGTGGCTGGTGGTGTTTTGTCTTATTCGTTAAGCATTATCGGCGTAATTAGTCCTGGACGTAACCGAGAATCATCGCTGATTCAACCGGCGGTGGCTAGGGCACCGGAAGCCATTGAGAATCGGTTTGGTAAATCTGAACGTAACCAAGCATCATCGGCTATTCCTCCTGTTTCAGTGTCGGAGGCGGCGTCTGGGGCATCGGGAGCCATTGATTTATCGTCGGAATTCGAGAGTTGGAATGGTAAATCTGGAGGCACTCGAGAATCATCGCCGATTCCGCCGGTTTCAGTTTCCGAGGACGCAGCTGGGCCATCGGAAGCCACTGATTTCTTGTCGGACTTCGAGATTCTGTATGGTAAACGGCATCCGAATTTCGTTCCCGACGGTTTTACAGAAGCAGTACAGCGATCGAGGCGTGAGTTTAAGCTTTTGTTTGTGTACTTGCACTCGCCGGAGCATCCTGATACGCCGGAATTCTGTTCGGTGACTCTGTGTTCGGAAATTATATCAGCATTCATAAACGAGAATTTTGTTTCTTGGGGTGATAGTATCAACGCAAATGGAGGACATAAGATGAGCAGAAGCTTGAAGGCTTCTAGGTTTCCTTTCTGGGCGGTGATAATGGCTGCCGCCGGCCAGAGTATTTCTTTACTCCGGCAGGTATCTAATTCTCTGTCTCAACATCTTGAAATCATAACTTGTGTAAATCCCATACCAGTACCAGATATTGTCCACACAACTGGACTCCGTTTTAAAACACCCTAATAAGGAAGTTATCTTCCTTTTTATCATCCTTTAATCGATAATCCATTGTAGTTTGAGGGACCTGCATCACCTGAAGAAATGCTTACAGAGTTGCAGAGTGTTCTTGAAGAGAGTACCCCAGCTTTTGTTGCAGCAAGACTCGACACCGAAGAACATAGAAACAACACACGACTGAGCGAAGAACAAGATGCTGTATTCGAAGCCGATCAAGTTTGTTCTGATCTAACATTGATTTAGCATTTATAAACACACAAATCTGCTTTAATTGCTTCAATTGTTCATACCCATATCAGGCTAAAGATCATCAGCAGAGGGAAGGCGAAAACCAACTAGAAAGAGAAGCTGCATTTGCAAAATCTTTAGGGCCTGAACCTGAAAAAGGACCTGATGTTACTCAGGTATAACAATTAAGATCTGAAACCCATTTCCCTAATGATCATACAGACATTATGTGAACAATTATTTAGTGTTAGTTTTCTCAAATCACTGTTAATAAGAAGATTATAAAGATTTGATCATATAAATCGCAAATGTGGAGATAGCAAAAGGGAAAAGATAAGATTTTTTTGTTGGGATATTAGTCAAGAATCTGATAAAAGATTTTAATGAGTTTGATAATGTGAAGGTGTTGGTGAGATTACCGAATGGAGAGCGAAAAGGAAGGAGGTTTCATTGTACAACTACGTTACAATCTTTATACGACTTTGTGGATTCTTCGGGCTGTTTAGAAGTTGGAAGTTACAATCTTGTAACTTTCTTTCCTCGTGTTGTTTACGGTTCAGATGAACTCTCTTCGACACTAGAAGAACTTGGACTATACCCTCGTGCCAGTCTTTTTGTGGAGCTAAATATGTGAAACTGGCACTTTGTTACTATATCAGTGTGATATCATTTGTTTCTAAACAAAGGGAAAATTCTTTTTGATTCTGATTGAAGATTCGATTTTTCACTTTTTTTATGTAAACAAGATGCTATTAAGTTCATATACAATGCCAAATATGTAATCATTTGTGAAGAAAGCTTGAATTTGGAGTTGTTTGTTTTGACTTAATAATATCATAGTTTATTTAGGGGAGTGCTATTTGATGTCAGAATCAGGTCATTCAAACATTGAGAATGTAAAAAGCATGTATTGATTTTGATGTGTGTGAGGAAAAAATTCATGAATAGGGGTGTATTAAACAATGCATAGGGGTGCATTTAGCCCACCCCTTTATTTATAGCTTATTCATTATGATTATGATGATGACTTAATCGGTTAGTCACATCAAGCTTAATCTATCAATCTATGATAGTTTCAACAACTCTAATTTTAGGTGGAGTGTGTTGGTAATTGTTGTCGTACTTGAAACCATCATCATTGTGAAGCTTCCATGGCAGATGCTTCACTTTGACGTGTTATGAATGGATTTACATACCTTTGCCTATTCTTATCAACTGTTTGTGGTTGGGTCGTGTAAGATTTAAATTAGATTCATGAGATTTACCCAACAATCCTTAAATCAATAAGTAACAAACCAAAAAATTGTTGAGGAAGACTTTGGGAGCTTGTATATAAGAATGGGTAGGGGTGCTCAAAAACCCGACCAACCCGATCAATCCAACCCAACCCAACTCAACACGAAATAACTCAACCCGATGTCTAATCGAGTTGTAAAATTATCAAACCATAGGTATTTGGTTGATATCGGGTTACTATTATTTGAACCCAACCCAACCCGATGAACTCGATATCCTTTTATTTCTTGGATTTAATATGATTGTTGAATTTCTATTAATATGTACATTAGACAATTACATTATCATGTATGCTCTTCATATACATATATTTTCAATCTATTCACATCTTTATATAACTCATTTGTATATATGTTCAGTAAATGTGAACATATATATGTGAATTGAGAAAATTAACTAAATGTGATATACGTTTGAAGTACGGATAAGTTGTATCAAATGGTTGATTATGAAAAAGAAATTGTGAGTATAGAAATAACATATTCTAAATTAGAAGAATATTTTAATGTACCAAGGTATTAACCCGACCAACCCGTACGGGTTGGGTTGGGTTGCACTTTGGTTCGGGTTGGGTTGGGTTAAGATTTTTCAAACCGTAAAAATTAGGTTGGGTTGTTCAAAATGTCTTCAACCCGATCAACCCAACCCATAAACACTCCTAACATATGGGTAAAAATTAGGGCTATATGTAAACATCACTCCTTTCCTGACGGACTGAATAAGCCCTTGATTGACCAATGTAAACATCACTCCTTTCGGATTTGAAAAGAGCCCAATATTTTGGGGACCATTTTGTGATTTTTAGAACTTTTAAGGAAGTTTTGAGCAAGTAAGAGAACCTTGAGGGTGATTTTGTAAAATTGGCTGTTGCTTTTTCTTATATGAAGAATCATAACCGTCCGCTTGTAAGTTGGTCCAGACGATTCTCCCAAGTTCGAAAGTATTTCATCTGAAATCAGTTTCGTCGGTGAATCTGGGTTAGGGTTTTTATTGCATGCGCATTATCGGCCTTTAAATTTTGGTTTGTTGCGATCCCTAATCCCGTCCAATCTCGAGTTTTGATTCAGGTGATAAAGGGGGCTTGAATTCAAGGGATTCCCCCCTGATTCTTGCCCCCTGATTCAGTGGATTTTTATCTTGGATTGGTAAACTTGACAAGAAACAGGAATGATCTACAATGCTTCGACGTTTTTCAAGGATTCAAACGCTTCATTAAGGATGTCTTTTGTTGGAGATTTCTTTAGATTTCAAGCGTCGATTGATTCTTTCTCTGTTGCTTGTGAAGCATTTTATGAACATTGCGAAATCTAGCTAATGTTTCATTGTTTGTTTGTTCTTGAGCTGCTATTATCTTCATTATTGTTCGGATTTGACATCGTTAATTCGCCAGTGGTACCGATGGATTCGGAAGTAAAATCTATTGTATCTGCAAATGGTTCGCATCGAAAATTCCAACGGAAATCGAAGCCAAAACGGCAACCGGAGCCTGATGATACTGACATTGTAGAAATTTGCCCTAACAATCGTTATGTTCGGGTAAGATCTAGTTTAAATGCTTCAATTCCCAATTTTCATTGTAAAAAGTAGTGGAATTTGACCAAAGACTGATTAGTAGAAATTAATGATTGTGTAAACTTTCCCCAAGTACTCCTATGGAACTTGCATTGTTGAATAAAATCTGACGTTAAATTTGCCATGCCAACCAATATATTCTTGTAACAATTACATCGTTATGTATGATTCCTTCAATTTGTAGCAGCATTTGTTGCAAATTGATAAATATGTTTATACATTTGTATTGCAAATTGATAAATATGTTTATACATTTATATTCAAATTATTCATTAGAAATTTATTGAAGTTTAAAAGTTCAATAGTATTTTCCTTATACTTGTTTATTAGCATTCTTTATGTTCCAAAAATGAAAATTAGAGTGTCTAACGAAGTTGCCATGCCAACCCAATTTAGGGGATATTTCCGTTAGTTTTTTCATCAAATCGTGGATGGATAAAACTGACTATATAAGATGGGAAGGTTTTTCACAAAGGAGGAGCGTGTTTTTTTTATTGGGAGGGGCATGTTTGGAAAAGACACGTCTTTTTGCATAAATCTCCTCCTAGAAGCTCACGGGATAAGCCACTTTCTATATCATTACGCCACTACCAAACAGTCATGTATAGTTGACCAAATAAGTTGTAAGTTCCATTAAGCTCATTAAACTGCTAACAAACACTCCCTTATTCTTGTAAAATTGAATCATTATGTATGATTCCCTAAATCTGTAGAAGCATAGTGTTCCAAGAAGGTAATATTTGATAAATTTGTTTGTATATTTATGTTGCAAATTATTCTTTAGGGATTATTATGTTGTACCTTATGGAAGTTTAAAAGTTCAATAGTATCGAAAGAAATATTGTTATTTGTTATGATTTGCTTTATGCTTGTTTATTAACACTTTCCCTGTCCCAAAAATTGCAACATCTGTCTCGAAAATAATAGCTTAATAATTATATTTAACTAGTGAAGAAATGCCCAAATCCCCTTTAACAAGGGCTAAACAGATATGTGGGCTGCAAGCATAATTACTAATTTTAAATAACGATAACAAAGAGTAAAAAAGTAAATGAGCTCACCAAAAAGGGGTAAGCTGTATTTTTCATTTCTGGGGTTGATGAGAACATTGTTTTCTTTCTTTCAGTATAGGGAAGTACTTGGGAGAGGAGCATTCAAGACTGTGTATGATTTCTAGACTTACCTTCTACTTATTATGGAGGATTGGTTTCTGTGGTATCATACTTATATATTATGGTTTCTTTTCTCTTTCTGTATTGATAGATATAAGGGATTTGATGAAGTTGAAGGAATTGAAGTTGCTTGGAACCAAGTGACTCTAGATGATACATTGCAATCACGAGAAGATCTAGAGAGATTGTATTATGAAGTTCACTTACTTAAGACTCTGAAACATGAGAACATAATCAAGTCATATTGCTCTTGGGTGGACGAAAAGGAAAGAACCTTAAACATGATAACAGAATTATTCACTTCAGGGAATTTGAGACAGTAAGTCTTATATGACTCTTTTATTTGAATTTCCCATTTGATAAAGTTGTTTCAACCATGTATGTATTTGGATTTAGATACCGCAAGAAGCATAAGAGTGTTGATCTTAAGGCTATCAAGAACTGGGCCAGGCAGATCCTCGAAGGCTTAGTTTATCTCCACAGTCATGATCCACCTATTATTCATAGAGATTTGAAATGTGACAACATATTTATCAATGGAAATCATGGAGAAGTGAAAATTGGAGATCTAGGATTGGCAACCCTGATGCTACGGCCTACTGCCCAAAGCTTGATTGGTTATCTTCTTGATTATTTTGAAAGAGTCACAGCTTCAATTCATCAGAATCAGACAGCATTGGTAATTGGTTTATTTTATTTCTCTTGCAGGCACTCCTGAGTTCATGGCTCCAGAGCTCTATGATGAGGAATACAATGAACTAGTGGACATATATTCATTTGGAATGTGCATATTAGAGTTAATTACTTGTGAATATCCATATAAGGAATGCAAAAATCATGCACAAATATATAAGAAGGTCACTTCAGTAAGTTCCCCAACCATTAACCATCTTCCTGTAGTTGCTATATATATAGGGTCAGGTTCAGTAGAAAACCGCAAAAAAATGAAAAATTGAGGAACATCTTAGTAACCATTCATCTGTATGGTATGCACATGTGCATACAAGTAATTTGTAAGCAATTTGTTCAGTATGCACACGTGCATAGAAACTAAGAAATGGCTTCAATTACTTGTATGCACATGTGCATACCGTATAGATAAATGGTTACCAAGGTGTTCCTTAGTTTTTCATTTTTTTGGGGTTTTCCCCCGAATTCCCCCCCCCCCCTCTCTCTCTCTCTCTCTATATATATATATATATATATATATTTGATGCATAATCTTATATTTGTTGTGTTTCAGGGAATAAAGCCAGCTGGTCTTGCAAATGTAAAAGATCCACAAGTGAAGCAGTTCATAGAGAAGTGTTTGGTCCCAGCATCTCAAAGGTTATCTGCAGCAGAGCTTCTCAAAGATCCTTTTCTCTCTGCAGAAAGTACAAAGGTATATGAGCCTGTCAAGTGCAACTCGTCAAAGCAGCAAAACTCATCTTCCGGAAGTCCTTGTATTCCAACGGTTGAGATAAAGAGCGTCAATGAAAGAAACCAATTCAGATTGAAAGGCGAGAAGAACAATGATGATTCCATCTTTTTAACCTTGATCATTGCTGATTATAGTGGTGAATTTCATTCTTCAAATGCTTTTAGATCGATATAGAACAGTAGGGTCAAGTTCAATGGAAAACCGCAAAAAAATGAAAAACTAAGGAACACCCTAGTAACCGTTTATCTGTACTGTATGCACATACGCATACAAGTAATTAGTCATGTATGCAAATGTGCATTGAAATCCGGAAACATCCTCAATTACTTTTATGCACATTTGCATAACGTACAGATGAATGGTTAAAGGGTGTTTTTCAGTTTTTCATTTTTGAGGGGTTTTCCCCTAAACCTCACTCTAAAATAATAATGTTAGGAATAATTGCGTTGGCTTGGTAATCAGGTAGCGCGAGGAATATTCGGTTCCCATTTTATCTCAAGTCTGACACTGTACATTCGATAGCTGAAGAGATGGTTGAACAACTGGACTTGTTACACCAAGATGTGGCTTTCATAGCCAAGCTGATTGATGACTTAATCTTGAGGCTTGTACCAACTTGGAAAACTTCATTCGGGAAAGCTACTTGTTCTCAAATGATTCAAAATCCAATGGGAGTTGCAGACATCTGTAACTCATCAGGCCCGTGTCGGAAGAACAAATCTGTAGTTGATAAAAAATTACAGCAAGAATTTAATGGCGAGTACAACAAATGGTGTGGTATGCTCCAAAGGTTGAGAGAAAGCAAAAAAGTTGCTGTGTTTTAGCTGCTGCTGCATTTATTTGGTTTTGGTTTTTATGGTGATTACAGAATTCATTTCTGATGTCATCCATTTGTTTAACCAAGAATTCAGCGATTTGTAGACATGGGCGGCTGTGTGGAATCAGTCATTGGGTCCATTGTCTTCTTCAGTTCCCCATCTTGACATTGATTGCAACAATGTTGTGCCAAAAATACAAGAAGTTCAATAATTTACAAAAAATCCAACTCTACTCCAAAGGATGTAATTCAATTTCCTTTCAAATGTTATGAATGAAATCTATTTCAAATCTTAACGCTCCCTAAAAGTTTAGTTTATATATTTTAATAAAATTTAATTAATTTAATTTAGTTTATATATTTTAATGAATGTTACAGGGGGAGGAGTGGACCATGTGGCTCCACGGCAACACACGCAACACTTGAATTCAGATCGTGACCCCTTCTTCCGCGATTGGTCAATTGGGAGCCATTTAAATTTCTATTTTTTTCGTATTTACAAATTTCCCTTTAAATTTTCATCATTTTTTAAAACGGATATAATTTCTTGAGTAAATTATAGATTTGGTAAAATTATAAATTGTGATTAATGTACCTAAACTCAAAAAATTATGTGTTTATCCCATGTGGTTATCTTTTTTGCATCACTATGGTCCCTCTACCTAACCCTCGTAATAGTAAGCAGCTTAATTTATGGTAGGTTGGGTCTTTTTATAATTTTTTTCTTATGTTTTATTATATTACAAAAATACATTACCTTCTTTTATATTTATATATTACACAGATGAAAGATCGTGTGAGAAGAATAAGAAGAGGTCTACACTTTTGATCACCTTTAATCTCAAATTCATTCATGAGTCACGATCGATACGAGGATTGATCCGGTGCATTTCATTATAGTGGTCATCCAATGATGAATATATCTTCTTACGCTTCTCACCTTAACTCTCATTTTCATTAGAGATACAAATTATGAGAGACTTATATTAATATAAACAAATTAAAAAGTAAAATACAAAAGGTGATTAAATAAATTTAAATCAAAAGAGTGATAACGTACAAAAATCACTATGGACTCGTTTTTTTTTTTTTTAACGTTTTTATTAGCCTCTTATATCTGATTCATTAAGAAATAAGATTATTCAAATTGTTTATTTTTTTTCAATTTTTTAGAGTCACGTATGTCTTATTGTAATCTTATCTGGTAGAAGTAAATCAACCTCTTATTTGTCTTTTATTCTTCTCCAAACCCTCAACAATGACATTTCTCAATCAATTAACTTTAATCGACCGTTTCTCTCAATCGATTCTTACCTAATCGAACCTCATCTCTCTCAATTGATGTACTTTAACAGGATTTAAATGTGTTAAATACTGTTAATGACATGTTTTCGTTTAAATGAATGTTACTTATATAATTTAGATATAAAATTCATAATGATGATGAATAAATATGTGAAATTATATAAATTTATCTATAAATTCAATACTACCGTATTCTGACTGGTAAAACAGATAATTTAAACAAATTCAGACATTTGTCTGTTTACAAAAATAACCAGTCTTAATGATTCAGATTTCAGACTTCAACATTACCTCTTATTAATCAGAAGTAAAATAAGACTTCAGAATTCAACATTTAATAAAAACAAACGCCATCTATATCATTTTTTTCAAAACATATTTCTTAAATAAATTAAATTTAACATATTATAGAAAAAAAAAATTATATCCAAACGATGAAAGAGTACCGAGTCGGTTTTGTTAGCTATAAGGATAAAATTTCAAATGCTAACCGTAAATTTCTATATATGATCTAGATATCAATGAATCGAAATTTATATATATAACTAATTAATATTTTACATTAATTTAAATAGAAGAGTATTCTAACACGTTGGGGAATAAGAAAGTTCAAATTTTATATTCATAACGTCTGACCTAATTAAAGGAAAATAATGGTTTGGGTCCCGCTTCATTTCTTCGTCAAACTGGTAAAAAATACATTCATAAAAAATGTCATCGTAATATATTATTACGTGTCTTTATATTTTTTTTTTAAAACTACATTTACAATAGAATTTAAGTTAAATGAGTTTTATATAACGTAATTAAAGTCATGTTTTTAATGGAGTAGGTTTTGAATACAATTGGCGTCAAAATACATGTTCTTAGTTTTTAATTGAATTTCCTTCTTACGACTTCATTTAAAGGACCTAATCCGTAACTTTTAATAATCACAAGGACCAATAATGTAATTTACTAAAAATGGTAATAAATTTTTGCATGGATAGAGAATATTCAGTTGGTTGATGTGGGCCACGTGTTAATCAACCGCGGTTAACAGAGTTGAAATCACGTTGTTAGGTGGCTCTTTTTATCTTTTTCAAGTATTATTTATTTTTTGTACTAAATATCATATGCATTTTTTCAGATTACAAACCACCAAACTCACCCAAACTTTTCAACCTCACACAAATGGAAGACGAGATCCGAGCTCCACTCATACAACCGGCGAATGACGACGGAGATACTCTTCCGCCGTTGTGCTCCTCCTCCGCGTCGGAGGAGGTGGAGGAGAATTCGCCTATCAAGCAGGTGGCGTTGACCGTACCTACCACTGACGATTCATCGCTTCCTGTTCTCACCTTTCGAATGTGGGTCCTCGGAACCCTTTCCTGCGTCCTCTTGTCTTTCCTCAATCAGTTCTTCTGGTACCGGACTGAACCTCTTAGCATCACCGCCATATCAGCTCAGATCGCCGTCGTTCCGCTCGGCCAACTGATGGCGGCGAAAATCACAGATCGCGTGTTCTTCAAAGGATCGCGTTGGGAGTTCACCATGAACCCAGGGCCTTTCAATGTAAAGGAACATGTATTGATTACGATATTCGCGAACTCGGGAGCAGGCACAGTGTATGCGATTCACGTAGTTACGGGTGTGAAAATATTCTATAAACAACAAATGACATTCTTTGTATCACTCGTCGTTGTTCTTACGACTCAGGTATAGCATATATGATCAATATTCATCGATAAATTTAGTAAATGAATCGACTAACTGGATAATTATTCATGTGTGAATATTAGGTGCTGGGGTTTGGATGGGCTGGGATATTCAGAAGGTATCTAGTGGAGCCAGCAGAGATGTGGTGGCCATCTAATCTTGTTCAGGTCTCTTTGTTCAGGTGACTTAACTTCATTTCAGCCATTCATCAGAGTTTCAGTTTTGCAAGAAAATTAAAAAAGGGAGATTTTTTGGTTGATATATTAAACCAATTAAGTAAAAATATCAGATAATTAAGTCGTGTTTAACGAATCATTTATCTTACCAGATGAATAAAAAATTGTATTCTATAAGAACAATGATAAGTACAAAGAGTTTTACCCGGTAATTAAGGGTGACGACTCTTACTAGATAAATTGTTGCATACGACACCATTTTTATGTCGAGAATTATTTATATTTTCTTGGAAAAGATCGATCATGTGCACCAATGAGTTGACCCAGATTCGTATCTTTATTTTTATTACTCAAATTAATTTTAAGCAACATTTATTTTGTAATTTTTTTTTTCCAATAAAAACGCTGTAACTGAGAGTATCTTATTGATTACTTTTTGACATCGGTGGTCCCCACTTAACTTAACGACGTTAGTTAGCAACCTCTATGAAAGATTTGTAGGTCTTTGAACAAATTATAGGGACCAAAAATACAATCTGCTCTAAAATTTAATGCAATACACATGTTTCTTTTAATTCTTTATTAAAATAAAATACATATTAAATAAAAAAAATTATATTCATTTAAAATCCTTATAAAAATACAGGATAATAGTTTATTTTAGGAACCAAATTTAAAATTTGAAAAATAAGAGAGGAGGAGTGTAATTCGTGTTTATAAAATAAATAAATGTCAATGAAAACCTTACCTACATTTGCAGCAACCCAGATGGAAGACCACATGAAAACTTAAACTGTCAAACATCAAGCATTATAATATTTTTATTTCAAATAAAAGTAGCATATTTAATTTAGAAACCAGATTTATTTTTATTTAACCTGGATATCCAACTCGTTATTCGAGCCGACTAATATCAGAACGACCACCTGCTTTGCAGATAGCTCGGAGTTACCGCATTTGAACTTTCGTGGTCATAAGAGGATTTTTATTCTTTCTTAGATTTGAACCCAAGACCTCCAAGTACTTTTAACCTTTGGAGTCAAACTTAAACCAATTAGGCATCCCTCTTGTGATTGTTTAGAAACCAGATTTAAAATTAAAATATATAAAAAATAGTTTTTATTTGAGATGGAGAAAATTTAGTATTTAAATGTTCAGGAAAAGCACAAATGAACACGTATGATACAAGCAACAAGGAAAGGGAGTGATTATAACCGTAGGTCCTCAACCATATGGCATTAGGGATGTTTCCATATGAGATTAGAAATTATGATTTGTCAACAATTTTGGAGTTTAGTTATGGTTGATGTTACATCTGATTAACTTTTAGATTGAAAATGTACACGTTAAATATTAATATTGATGTGTATAAAAAGAGAATTAATACGTAAGAAATACATTGTTGTAATAAGAAAAAATGAAAGTACAATGTTATAATAAGAAAATTTGTAATAGTAGGTTATTATTTCGGATATTTTACCTTTATAAAAATGACATATTTCCTTTTTTTCTCCTATTAAAAATACGAATATGATATATGATATGTAATATTTGTTTTATAATCTTATACATACTTATCAGAATTCACAACCTCCAAAAATATTGGAACCACTTTTTCATCGTTATCTATTTATTTACTCTGACAGGGCATTGCACGAGAAAGAAAAACGGCCGAAAGGCGGATTGACACGTACCCAATTCTTCCTGATTGCCTTCATTTGTAGTTTCGCTTACTACATTTTCCCCGGCTATATTTTCCAAATGTTAACCTCACTCTCTTGGGTCTGTTGGATCTTTCCCTCGTCAATCATGGCCCAACAAATTGGATCGGGCCTCCATGGAATGGGTATCGGTGCTATTGGGCTCGATTGGTCCAGTATTTCTGCATACCTTGGAAGCCCATTAGCAAGCCCATGGTTTGCCACAGCCAATGTTGCTGCTGGTTTCTTCTTAGTTATGTATGTTGTCACTCCCCTTGCTTATTGGCTCAATCTCTATAATGCCAAAAACTTCCCTTTTTTCTCCGATGGCCTCTTCACCGCCTCCGGCCAAGAATACAACATTACGACCATCATCGACTCCAATTTTCACTTCGATAGTGCCGCTTATCAAAAAGAAGGTCCTTTGTATCTTAGCACATTTTTCGCCATGACTTATGGTGTCGGATTCGCTGCTCTCTCCTCCATGGTTGTTCATGTCTTCCTCTTCCACGGAAGGTAATCAAAACAGATAAAAATCTTATGTCCCTAGATTTCATGTCCCATCCCTGTCCCGTGGTGGGTGGTGGGACAGGGAAGGGTTATGGGATTTAGGGATAACAGATTAAACTTCAAATATAAAATATCCAACAAGATTTTAATTGGATATGGTTGATGTTGTAGTGAGATATGGGAGCAAAGCAAGTCGAGTTTCAAAGAGAGAAAAATGGACATACACACTCGACTAATGAGCAAGTACAGTCAGGTGCCTGAATGGTGGTTTTGGTGTATACTTGTCGTAAACATCAGTCTCACCATATTCGCGTGTGAGTATTACAACGAGCAACTTCAGTTGCCGTGGTGGGGCGTCATTTTAGCTTGTGCCATTGCCATTTTCTTCACTCTTCCCATTGGCATTCTCACTGCCATCACTAACCAGGTAATGTTCGTCTTATTTAGATTACAACAAGGTCGGTTTTATACAACGTCAAATATGTCTAAATGTCATAATAAACTGCTTTATATGACTTAAGTATACAAGACCAAACACTTGTATGTCGTATATCAAAAGGCAAGGCGTTGCAATAAGTTGATAGGAGGCTTTTGGGCGTCATAATATCATGTTGTAACACCTTTATATAGGATGCACAAATTGTTTGGTCATATGACTTTTAAGTCCTATAAAACTGTTTATTAGGACATTTAAAGTCTATTTGTTAGCAACTTAATGGAACTCAAGACTTATTCACTCATCTTGAGTACATGACTGTTTGGTAGTGACTTAATGCTACATAAAATGACTCATTCAGTAAGCTTCTAAGAGCTTTATGCAGAAAGCCAAGACTGTTTCCAAATTTGTCCCTCATAATTAAATAACACGTTCCTTTCATTTATGAAAAAACCTTCTCAATCTATATAGACAAATTGATCTGTATGGACAGTTTTGTCTATACATAACTTAATGGAACCAACCAAAAAGCCCCTTTGACATATTTTCCGATTTTGTTGTAGTGTCACATGTGTTTCTTTTTGCTTTTCTCATAGTAAATTGTACGTGTGTGTGTGCGAATTCAGGCCCCGGGATTGAACATTATCACGGAGTATATAATCGGGTACATATATCCAGGATACCCGGTTGCTAATATGTGCTTCAAAGTGTATGGATATATTAGCATGACACAAGCAATTACTTTCCTTCAAGATTTCAAGCTCGGCCACTACATGAAGATCCCACCGAAAGCTATGTTCATGGCACAGGTAATTTGATCATTTCTGTTCGATATATGTTGGATTAGTATATTACTTTATAACCGATAGGGGTTCTTTTAGAGAGTAATATGATGAGGTTTCACATGTTATTATGTTTATGATTAATATCGTTGTTGCATACAGATTGTGGGAACATTGATAGCGGCTTTAGTTTACTTGTGCACTGCATGGTGGTTAATGGAAACGATTCCAAACATTTGCGACTCGTCATCCGATGTCTGGACTTGCCCTGGTGATCATGTGTTCTACGATGCATCGGTGATATGGGGTTTGATTGGGCCAAGGAAGATCTTTGGAGACCAAGGAACCTACACCATGGTGAACTGGGCTTTTCTTTTAGGAGCAATAGCTCCGGTGCTGGTTTGGTTAGCCCATCGGGCTTTCCCAACACAACATTGGATCACGCTGATCAACATGCCAGTGTTGATCGGTGCGACGGGGAGCATGCCGCCAGCTACATCAGTCAACTACTCGGCTTGGATACTTGTGGGATTTTTATCAGGGTTTGTGATGTTTCGATATAGGCCTGATTTATGGCAACGACATAATTATGTGCTATCGGGGGCGTTGGATGCGGGTCTGGCGTTTATGGGTGTGTTGTTATACCTTTGTTTGGGGTTGGAGAACATTGGTTTGGATTGGTGGGGGAATGAGCTCGATGGCTGCCCCTACGCTTCGTGTCCCACAGCCCCCGGTGTTTTCGTGGACGGTTGCCCTGCATTGCAAATTTGAATCAATGGCATCAAATGATGTATTTATGTGAATCAAATGGTTACAAATCCTTGGTTTTATTTGCTCTCCTCTTCTTTTTTCCTTTGTATCATAACGCAATTTGAAGGGAAAATGTGAATTATTGATTCGATTGTGTAATTAAAAACACCCCCAAATATGTTTCTTATTAATTACTGATTGGTTGTTTAATTATGTTGTTACATCACTCTTATTATGTTCTAATCCAACCAATTTAACCCGCACTTGTTAGATTGGATTGGATTATTTTAACTAGTTAAGATTTTTCAATTCGTTGTAGCTAAATTAGATTGTTCAAACGTTTTCAAACAACTATAATCATGTGAGACCGACCTGTTTCATGGGACCCATGATACCATAAATAACATTGGACTTTCACAACAAAACATTGTAAAAGTAAAAAAAAATATTGAATCTTTACAACAAAAATATTATGAAGATTTAATGTTTTTGTGCTTTCACAACTGGTATCATGTGTCTCACGAAAACATACTGGTGTCACGAGAACCCAACCCACCATAACCCATGGGGCTGTTTGGTTCGTGGAACTTAAAGGATTTCAAGGAAACTAAAATGATCGATTCATTTGTTTGATTCACATATTGAAAATATAGAATTCCTTAAAATTTCATTGAATTTCACAAATTACTGAATTTATCGTGAATCGACATAAGTGAAAAAATTGAATTTCATTCATTTGTATCCAATTTAATCAACACCTCCCATCCCTAACCACCACGACTATGCTACTACCATCACGGTCACGTTTCCCACCCTAATAATAATCCACCACAATACCACTGTTATCACCGTAATAATCATCATTACTACCACCCTAACCCGCCGTGCGACCACCATGTCACTGCTAAGTGCAACATTGAATTTTGGAGCGTAGAAATTGAAATTCCCCTAAACCACGCTTCTTTTTCGTCTATTTCTTGCATAAAGTCTTCAAACTGATCTACTTCTGCTGAATGAAATAAACAGAGAAGAAAAATGGAGACTCAATCAGATAGCACGGACGAAATTGCAAACATCAAAGATATTCGCCAACAAATCGAGTCTCGTATCGAAACACTGCGCAGTTCTCAGCTCGAAATCATATCTTCTCTACAATATGGTGTTGTTCCAGACATTGCATCGTCTCTTGATCTCCATCTCAAGGTCGTTTCCTCCTTCAATGGCCGTCCCTTCACCCCTCTTCCTAATCCTCTTCCCGGCCCTAACCCTAATACCAGAAGACGCATTCAACCACCTCCCCCTGCCCCTACAATCAAAATCTCTAAACTTTCCGGTGATTTACATCCAAAACCCTCAGCCGACGTTATTGTGGATGAAGGTGGGGCTGGGACTACGCCGTTGTCCACGGTCAGGTCAATGGTGGCGGTTTGTTTGTTAGAGAGGGTACCGTTTACGGAGATTGATTCCGCGTCGGTCTTGAGCAAGTTGGAGAGTGAAGGTTTCCAGTCTGTTACGGCGGCGGAGAAGGCGGCTTTAAGGGAGGTGGCAGGAGGGGACTCGATACTGGCGGTGGAGATGGCGTTGAGGTCAATGGCGGAGGATAATGGCGGGGTTCAGTTGGAGGAGTTCAAAGTGAATGGGAGATTTAGGGTTTTGGTAAAAGGGATCGATAGAACTAGGTTAGTGAAAGAGTTGCCAGAGAGCAGACAGAACGAGTCAAATTCGAATAATTCAAGTGGTGGAAATGCGATTCAGCAAAGTTCTAGGACAATGGCTGATGGTGGTTGGATGGGGCAAGGTGACCCTGGGCAATTTAGCGGACCAGGGGGCGGGGGGCAAATGATGGGGCCAAGGGCTATGATGGGGATGATAGGGAGGCCTCGAGGGATGGGTGTTAATCCAATGCATAGAGCCCCACCAATGGGGATGTATTCACCTATGAATATCACTGGTGGTGGTTCAAATGGGAAGCAACCTAGGACGGAGGAGGATGATCTTAAGGATCTTGAGGCTTTACTCAATAAGAAATCTTTTAAGGAGCTACAGAAATCGAAAACAGGAGAGGAGTTGTTGGACCTCATCCATCGTCCTACTGCGAAGGAAACTGCTGTTGCTGCAAAGGTTGTTCTTTTTATTATCTTTTCTTGATCTCTTTTTCCCAATTGAATGGTTATGTTGTTCTTGATAATACTATAATGAATTGGTTATGATCATCTCAGTTCAAAAGCAAAGGGGGTTCTCAAGTGAAGGAGTATTGTACAGCTTTGACAAAAGAAGATTGCCGACGTCAATCTGGTTCTTTCATCTCTTGTGAAAAGGTGATTGAGACTAACAATGGCTGATTTCATGTTTCAGCTTCTTAGTTGTGAGAGTAGAATCATGAGATTTGTATAACTTTGCTCCTGAACAGTTTGAGAATTAAGTCATGTTTTTTCTGTAAATGTTATGAATCAGGGATATATAGGAGCAGAATAAAATTAAGCTGGATAGTGATTTCCAGATATTCTGTAAACTGATTTTGGGTTGTTATTTTTTATCAGGTTCATTTCCGGCGCATAATTGCTGTCCACACTGATGTGAACCTTGGTGACTGTTCTTTTCTTGACACCTGCCGTCACATGAAGGTGAAATCATCACCTATTCTGTATTTTCACCTTGAAAGATCTTTTATCTAGTTACTCCCTTGTTATGATTTGAAGTTTGCCCATCTGTTTTTCCATTTGATATGGCAGACTTGCAAGTATGTTCATTATGAGCTTGATTCAACACCGGATGTACCACATATGATGATGGGTGTTCCCCATCCTTCCAAGCCATTAAAGCCTCAACGTGCTGAGTACTGTTCAGAAGTAGAGCTTGGTGAATCGCAGTGGATTAACTGCGACATTCGAAATTTTAGAATGGATATATTAGGACAGTATGGAGTCATAATGGCTGATCCACCATGGGACATTCATATGGAATTACCTTATGGCACGATGGCTGATGATGAGATGCGCAATCTGAATATCCAAGCTTTGCAGACTGACGGTCTTATCTTTCTCTGGGTGACTGGACGAGCAATGGAACTTGGACGTGAATGGTATGTAATCTGTAAATGCTTTACAAAAACATGTCTTCAGAAGTTCCCATTTCTTGAATTCGGAATTTTAGTACCATTTATATTTGATTTTCAAATGGTAAGAGTTTATAGCATCTAATACTCCTTAATTGCCTGTTCTATCTCCCTTCATTCCACCAGCAGGCGTTTTAGTATCATGGCACTAAAATTTCTCCAACCACCTCCTTTGATCCTACAACACACCATCCTATCCACCAGACCCTTCTTTCCAGTGGGCATATTGGGTGTGTTTGGTTTGGTTTTTAGATGTTATAGACTATTGGAACAGTATATAGAACAATAAAATGTACCAACTAGCCAAGAGGAAGATTGCAAGCAGCTAGAATTGCTAGAGGTAAAGCATATGAGGAGCTTTACAAGAAAAGAGAGGGATGTATACAGGTGGGCTAAGATGAAAACTAGGGATACAAATCCAATCAAGTGCATCAAGGATGAGAACAAGATACTTTTAGTCCAATTTCATGAGGTTAGAATCGGGGGAATTGTGTGGTTCAATGGAAAAAGTGAGGGAGTGGAAGGGAACTTATGATCCTTCTTTGATATTTATTTTTTTGAAAAGTCCTTCATTGATATTAATAGATTGTTCAAATGCCTAATAAGAGTTTGTAAGGTGGAGACAATAAGAAATATGAAAGTGTGTGATGCTTTAGTGCCTTTTCTAAAGGTTTGGATACCCCTTGGAAGGACCAAGAAGAGGTGAGCCGTTTGGCTCCGTGGATTTTTTAGTGTTACCATTGAGATAAAGAGGATCCCTATAAATGGAGTAAGAATAACTTTTTTTTGGAAAGGGGGAGTAAGAATAACTTGGTACCAATCTACATGGATAAAGGAGTCATTTTGAAAAACATATGAACTACTTATGTGCATTGGTTAAGAGTTGAGAACAAAGTATAAATATTGATTGGGTTTTAGGTTGGGGAATAAACAATTGAGGGTTATTGATTAGACAAGTTATAGATAGAGATAACATGAAGGGATTTACATATAGTGTGCCTTCATTAAGAGAAGGCATATGGTATACAGCCAAGAGAGTGATAGAAGATATGTATGACCAAGAAGTAAGTGGTCTTTTATGAGGCAAATGATTTCTTTATTGCTAGGTCCATTTATTAATTTTTGACGTTTTTTGCGGAAATGAGTCTAGAAAGGCATTACATGATGATATGCTATGGTAAAGAAGTGAAAGATGTAGCAAGTTTTACTCGCTCATACAAGGAATAATATATTTCACTAATTAGGATTAATTTACCTAAAGAGATGGAAATTCACTAGGATGTTGCTCGTAGGATGTAACTTGAAGATTGGTATTACAACATAATAGAAACTTGAGACGTCATGTTTTAGGATGTAACACAACCAGATGAGTTAGTATGCGGACATCGAACTGGATGTGTGGCCAAACAATGAGGAATATGATTATAAGTGAAGGTATTCACTAGCATTATGAGTGTCACTGGTTATGAGTTTCAATAGTATCATACTATCTCCATATCAGCTTAATAAAAACCGACAGTTTTAAAACAAATGCTGGATAACTTAAAATATTTTGCATTGGCTCAATTACATTCATCTTAAATCACCTGTTGCAGTTTGGAACTTTGGGGTTACAAGCGTGTTGAGGAAATTATATGGGTGAAAACCAATCAACTTCAGCGGATAATAAGAACAGGACGCACTGGGCATTGGCTTAATCATAGCAAGGAGCATTGCTTGGTTGGTATTAAAGGAGATCCGATAGTAAACAGGAATATCGATACTGATGTCATTGTGGCAGAGGTTCGAGAAACAAGCCGTAAGCCAGATGAGGTTGGTTAACAGTTGTTCCATTCTTTCATATTATGTATTTTTACTTCCGTTAATTCTTTACTATACCAATAAGATAGTATCTTATTCAGCTAGATGTTTTCTTGTGTGAAAAAATGTGATATCTGCTGGTACTTGAAATTTTCTATCAGATGTATCCTTTGTTGGAAAGGGTGAGTCCGAGGACAAGAAAGCTTGAATTGTTTGCTCGAATGCACAACACACATGCAGGGTAAGCTTTACCAACATTATGTTGATATGATTCTTATGTCAATTGTGTTTTTATATATATAATTGGGTTGGATCAGATGGATGTCACTTGGAAACCAGTTGAATGGAGTTCGACTGGTGGATGATGGTTTAAGGGCACGATTCAAGGCTGCTTACCCTGAGGTCGAAGTGCAGCCTCAGTCTCCGCCTAGGGCACCCGCCATGGAAGTGGATGCAAGAAGTCCATTTGCAGGAGGAGCTGAATCAAAACCCATGTTTTCTGAGCCAACGTATGCATCTGAACCTAAGCCAATGAATCTTGATGTGGAGATGGCAACCTCATAAATGGCAAATATGCCAATTTCCACACAATTTTTGGAAGTGTGAATGTGGCAACAGACCACAAGAATCTATTTCCACCCTTTTGGTTTCAGATTTGATCCCTTTTTGTAATCGGATGTTTTGTGTAATGACTACTTTGGGTAATTAATTACATAGTAAGAGTAAGCAGAGCATGCTTAGGTTAGAATGAGGTTCATTCCATAGCCATTCTTTGGGGATATACATATTATTTGCTTTCCAGTCCAACTGTTGTCTTGTGTTACTGTTTACTGTTTGATTTGATACATGATATAGGACATGTTCGATAGCAACTTAATAAGCATAATAGGACTTGCAGCTTATTCAGACTGCTATAGACAATTGTATGGTAGTGACTTAATAATATATAGAGTGATTTATTCTGTAAGTTTCTAAGGGAGTTTTATGTAAAAAGCAAAAAAAAATTCAAACCTTACCCATCCCAATTAAAAAAACATGATCCTTCCATCTATGATATAATCTCGAAATAAAAACTTTCCCGATCTATACATACAAATAAATCCAATTCATACCGGATTAATGGAAAGGTTATCAAGATTATGCCTGTGTCGGATGAAATTTGTGGCTGTTTATATGTTATGCTTAAAGAAATGATGCATTGTAGCTGAAACCAATTTGTTTGCTGAATTAACGTCAACTGGATTTATTTCGATGGCAACAGTTGCATTTATCAAAAAGATGATTCATTAATGAATAAAAAGATGATATTCATTAATGAATAATTCATTCACTCCAGTACTTTTCATCTTTGGAATCTTCGATACCATCTTCATCTTCATCAGACGCCAATGCTTCCATCTTGAATTTCTTCACATCTTCCACACAAGCACTCCTGAACAATCCTATATCAACTGACCCTGAAATCATGTGATACCCACGTGACCTCATCTCCTCCGGCCTGTCGTGCGGCATTGCGAAACCTGAAAGAAAAGCCCCACCACTACCCTTCGCCGTCGTCTTCAGTACTCCCTTCTCCGCCGTCTTCATCATCTCCCTCACTTTCTTATTACCTGGGTCCCACAAATAACCCATGCTCGCACTCAGATCCAACGGTCCCATTTGCACGCAATCAACCCCATCAACAGCTGCGATGTCCTCGATCTTCTTCACACCCTCTTCGGATTCCACTTGACACATGATCAGAAGTTCATCTTCGTAATTGCTTAGATATCCATTGTCGATTCCGTAATCGGAAGCTCGAACGACGGTGTGTGCAGAGCCACGGATTCCATTTGGTGGGAATTTACAATAGGAGACTGCTTTTTTAGCCATTTTCGCGTTCTCAATCATGGGGAACATGATTCCCTGAGGTCCGAGATCGAGAGCTTTCTTAGCCCACGCTGCATCGGTGTCGGGTATACGGAGGATCGCCGGTGTACGAGCAGCGGCAAGAGCGTGGAGGCATGAGAGAGCTTCTGAGATGCCGCCGTGGCCGTGTTCCATGTCGATGACGACGAAATCATAGCCGGAGAGGCCAGCGATCTCAGCGAGTGTAGGCGAGAAGGAGAGCAGGAAAAGACCGTATAATGTCTCGCCACTTTTGAGGCGAGATTTGAGGGTTTGTGGGGCGGTGGTGGTGGAAAGGCTCTCGGAGATGGTGGTGGTGCTGGATCTGATGGGAGGAGTGGTTAAGGTCTTGCGATTGACGACGGAGCTAAGGGATTCGAAACCGTAGGATTTTGGGAGGTGGATAAGGGTTTTAGAAGGGAAACATAGAATGGGTTTTCTTGTTAGGGTTTCGGGGCGAAGAGATGAAACTGATGAAGGAGTAAGAGTCGCCATAGCATGCTATAATCGGCACAGCGACGTCAATAAATGGTGGACCTGACCCGACTACATCCCAATATAACGATGGCTACATGCCCACGCCAAGTCACGCGGATGGCACGTGCCAGTGAACAATTCACCAATTACCAATGTCCCAAAGCCAAAATATTATTATTAACTTTGCCAAAGTGTACATTTTTGGGAATTTTAAACCAACCTTCTGATAAACTTGGTCAATATCTCTTGCTTAACGGCCATTTGCCTAAACACTTACCTGTAAGTATTTACATATAAAATTCAACATTATCGTTTACTTACCGGATAAGATTTTATTCATTAAAACGTATCGTATGTAACAATTTATCCCGGTAAGCACTAACCATGGTAAGAGTCATCATCCTCACTTACCGGGTAAGACTCTCGATTCTTGCCTTCGCTCTTACCGAGTAAGATTTTTAGTCCTTGCCATATTCATCATCCAATAAAGTAAAATGACTTGATAAACGCTGTGTTTAATAAACAACACCTTAGTTGGGGACTCAAATTGGATTTTGGCCCTCTGCAAGTTGAGACCCAGACATTTGCGAAGGTAGTGAGTTTTGGGTGAACAAAAGTGAGACAGAAAAATGGCTAGGGGATGAATTTATCCATGAAAATGGATATTTCCGTCAATCTCTTCTATCTATCTCACTAAAATAGGTAGAATAAAAACCAAATACGAGACAAGATTGATAAATATCAAATAACTGAACTACTTTCTCATCTGCAAAATCCAATTCAGATCCGTCCAGTACTGTTTCACACGTACCAAATCACACACCCCAAAAAAGAACAATAATAAGAACATGTTTTTCCTTGGTTGTATCATAGTCCACAACAATCTAATACATTTGTGAAACGATGATACTTTTCACACAAAATGAAGAATACTGTGAAAAATGGAGCGATTGTATCATCTCCTGAATCTGTTTAGAGCTTCAAGGCACCTCTAGCCATAGCAAGTGCTCCCTCATAAGCATGATTTCCGCCGATAAAGCCACTCATATGCACGAAAACGCAGCCAGGGATCCCAGATTCCTTGGAGAGTTCATCATCTCTCAGACCTCTCCATTGAGAAGGAAGAGGCTTTCGGCTCTCGAAGCTATCAGGAGATTTTGCCACTGCCTGCACTCTCCAGCTTTTGCTCCTTTCGTCCTGTCGAGTTTCGTTCTAGTTGTCAATACAAGAAGCAAAGTACTAGCTTCCAAAAGGGCATGAAAGATCATTGCAGTATATTGGACAAATGTGCCTTTTATAATCGTAAGAGCTATGTTTGGTATTAACCAGCTCATAAGCCAGGGACAATGTAAAATAACCTAAAAAAACATGTTAAGATATTAATTGAAAAAATTGGGGGTATAATTGGAACAAGAAAGTAGAAAAAAGCCCTTGGGAGTTTGTTGAAATGATACTTGAAGTAGCATAAAAAAGCTAGCTAACCACACAGCTTTTTCGATAAGCTCAAAATAAGCTAGTTTTTGGTTGCCAAACATCACCCAACATTTGAGTTAGAAAAGAAAGAAGCATCATATACATAGAGAGAGAAAGAGATAGTCATAGAACATAAACAAAATAAGAGAATAAGAAAAGAGTTGAATTATATGTGATTTTACACTAATGTCACGTGATTTTACAGTAAAATCCCATATAAAATCACATGTGATTCACACGACTTTGGTCAGATTGTAGGCCATGTTGCCCACACACCCTTGCATTACCATAAGTGAAAAAATCACATGTGATTTTGCCCATGATTTGGCCGTTTTCATGTTATTTTATTTAGTTACTGTTGACGTCTGAACCTCCTTTCCTCTCTCTCTCTCTCTCTCTCTATATATATATATATATAAGAATACCTGGTAGAGAACATATTTAATAGTTGGCTCTGTCTTCAACTCTTGCTCAAGCTCAAATAAGTGAAGCTTCCACTGTTAACAAGAAAGTCAAATCAGAACTTATGTAATGGTACTAAATTGAAAATCTATGGCAAGTAAAAAGGCCAAATGGTACCATCTAATATCTAAGAACTTGATGAAATATGAATGTCATCACAAAAAAACATGATCATATTTAGCTTGGCATGCAACAAAAGAAATATATTTTGTCTCAATAAGAACCAATTACCAAATGATTAAACTCGCAGAATAAGACATCAGAACAGATAAGAATACAATGGAAGTCAAGCAAAATAAAGTACTTACAGGGCAAAATCTATCCAAAACCATTATCTCTCCACTAGGGTCAATATCACTTCTTGCTGCCAGACATTCCATGACAATTGAGCGTGCTGGAAGCCATGATTTTACATGAAACCGAACACTCTGTGTACACACAAGTTAAATGTAAGCAAGTATACAATAATTTATATTGCAACGATGCCGATCCAAGGAGAAAAGCAATAGTAAAATATCAGAAGTGAATAACCCACTCACATCTAAAAACTCGCTGCCGGCAAGAGCCATTGCCTTTTGAAAGGCTTCATTCTCCTTCTCTGAAGACTGATCAGGATCAGTCCAATCCAAATTAAATTTTCCAACCCTTGATGACAAGTGGGTATTGTTCACATATTTAGGAGGTTGGTCAGTGTCATATTGATTGATTCCATTGTCAATTGCATCAATTGCCTATTACAAGTAACCAAAGACTAACACTCAGTTTTTAGATCAGCAATCCCTGTAACCAACAAGACAAAACATATATCTGTGCACCAGCATATCATAAACCAAATATCTACCACTTTCAAGACTAGAAAGCAGAAACAGTACAGAGGACTTCTTGGCCACAAAGACTCCTTTTCTCCTTACTTGTTACTCAGCTTCCTTGTTTTTTTCATTCATACATGGCTATATAAGCCTAGGAATTAAAAACCATTTTTCTGCATATATGAACTGTCAAAATCTCATCAAGATCACACATTGAGACAATAACTCCTGGTTAATGTGTAATCGAATCTATTAGACAATTGCTCCTCTCTTACTATACTTGATACCTGAATATGCATGAATGCATCCACCCAATACCTCTTAATCTAAAATAATAGATAAGGAAACTAAAAAGCAAACACTACTTTGCTAATAACATTGGATAATTAGGGCACTAGTTCTCATCCAACAAATATATCCTTATAGACATGCTGATGGTTTATGATGAAAGTTGTGACCTAGTATAGGCTTACAAAAGCCACTAAAGATAAGTTTCAGTGAAACAAGAAATAGAACATATAATTCATTGATACAAAACTTTACCTCCATGAAGCTTTTGTAAATGGCTAAATATAACCGCTGCACGTCTGGGTGCCCTTCATCAAGCTGAAGCTCTTTTGCAATTATCTCTGTCCCAAAATGCTATAGAAGATGGTGTTAGTCTGTTAGATATATTAAAGCAGAAGAAAAGCTATAAATTCCTAGCAAGACTGGAGTCTAAATAAACATTTATATGAACAGGTATGGTTCAGAAATCAAGAACTTGTAATAGATTCTATTTTAATCTATCTTCATTAACAATCAAATATGTTAAATCTTGAACCTCTGTAAGTGGCTTCAGCCAATCTACTAGACCCATTAAACTCTATCTTCAAATGGTATAAAGCAAGCTTTAAATAGCAAATTGAATTTATACTGAAGAATAGAAATTTGAAGAATACCTTATAAACAAGACCAGCACTGCTAAGCTTAGTAGTAAACCCATGTCCAAAAACCTCTGCAAAACCCTTTTGATGGTGGTCATAACGATCTTGACTAGGATCGTAAACTCCACCAACATCAAGAACAGCATCAAGAGTCTGTAACACCTACAATCATAGCCAAATTTCATCAACAAGTCAATTTTTAACTAAACAAAGCCATTTTTTAACTTGCGCACTAAAACAAACAGTTGGTGTGCGATAACAAACCTCCGGATCTCTCGTGCGCACGATTTCGGCTCCAAAATACTTGTTGGTTAGGCGAATCATAAAGCATCCCAGTGCTTCGTCACAGTGAAAGCTTCCATTGTGGGTGCCTACCCTTTTCAAAGGGGTGTAAGACGGCGAGTTTGAGGAGAAAGTAGCCGCGGCCATGGGTGTGAGTTTGAAGTTTCTATTAGAAATGAAAAGTCTAGTCGGAGCAAGTAATCTTGTAGCGACCGCAAACATACCTTGGCCTGTTTCAAAGAGGCAAACCCCGCTTTTATGGGCTTCTTTCCGTTTCACTTCAATTTCCTTCCAATCGGCCCCTGCCTTTAGCCCTTTCCTATTCCTTATTTTGTTAATATTACAGTTTCACCCCCTATACTTTCCTTGAGATTACAGTTTCACCCCATCTCCTCTTCTGTTGTAAGAACTCTTTTCTTCTTTTCTTTTATAGGGTTTCTCAATTTCTTCACAAAGGGTGCAAACTCCTTCACGAAATCTGTATCTTTTTTGTTTGTTATTTGTGGAGTTTTATTTGATTTTTGTTTGTTAATAATTTTGATTTTCATCCCTATGGTTTATAATTTATTGTTATTTTCATCTCTAAACTAATTCCTTCCTTTAATGCAAAGGCATGAAAACAGTAAAGAATTGTAAACCACAGGACCCAAAACAACAATAAATTATAATCTGTAAAGACAAAAATAGCAATAAATTACAAACTATAAAAAAAAAAGCGCAATCTGTAAACCACGTTAATGAAAATCGCAATTTTTAACAAACAATAGGGACGTAAAACGTAATATACTCTAATAATAATAATAAATACTTCAACATACTGAGTGCAGCTATCCAGAAGGCATGGCAACCACACCTTCTCCCATTTCCATTTCTGCTGCAAATATTTCATTTCACGCCAGATTGCCACTGCTTTCACCGTTTCCTTCTTTGGTTGTCGTCAAATGCAGCAACCCCCTTCATATCAATGCTATTGAAAGCTCCAACCTCATTAACAATGGTGGTGGACTCAAGAATTTGGTGATATCAGCTATAGTGGACGACCAGGTAGATGAATCGGCCAACAGAAACGAAAGTGACGTTCTGTTGAATGGATTGGATAAATCTACACAAATAGATGAATTGACTGAGATCCAAAATCAAGAAACCAAAGTCTCTGAGGTCTGTTTCTTCTTTTTTACTGTACAATTATGAGTTTCATGATAACGGAAGTGTGGGTTTCCATTGAAGATTGCAGAATTATCAGAAGCAAGACCAATGGTGGAGGAAGCTGAGGATGGCGAAAGAAAAGCCATGAACAAAAACAAAGAGAAGTTGGAATCAGTAAAAGCTGCATCCATTTCCGCCATTGTTGGCACCTTGGCAAGCTTACCCATTTCCTTAACTCATGACACCAACGCCTTTCAGCTAACCGTTTCAACTGCAATCACCATAATCACCTGTGCATTGTATGGTGCAACCTTCCGCTATGCTGTCCGAAGAGACATGGATGACTTTCATCTCAAGACTGGAACATCTGCAGCTTTTGGCATTGTCAAAGGTATTTGAAATAACCATCATCAACTTGTCTTGTTTGTTACACAGATCACTGAAAGAAGCTTCAATTTTGTAATTCAGGAGTTGCTACACTGGATGGACGCCCATATTTGGAACACGAAGCTGGAAGCTTATTGCCACAGGCTTTGAATGGTGCAATTTGTGTGTCTGAAAATGTTTTGATTTTTCTTTTTGCTGCTGCTGGTCTGGATATCTGCTATAAGATGGGGATATTAAGTCCATTTCCAGTTGAAAGATCAGTTTCAAGGACTAAAATGTAACAACAAATCTATTTATACCATAAACTATACTGCTTTTCTAGATTAAAATTTGTACATTCCTACCAAGACCCCAAGATTCTGGATACAACATTGTACCGTGCAAAAACAAAGGAAAAATACAAAAGGGTACATTTGGTACACATACATGACAGGACTGGACGGACATGGAAAAATTGTGCAAGGTTTTAGAGTTTTAATTTGACATGGGTAGTTTAGTATTTAATCAATCTTGTCTCATCTCTCTGGTTTTTGTTACACCTATTCTGGCGGTCATGCCCCACTCTTAATGTCGCATCAAATGTGTGATAACTGACAACAAGGTTTTAATATGCAATGAAGTGGTCTTCCTAGATGGATGAAGATAAGAAATAATGAATATGTTTTGTATTTGACTAGCAACCTTCAGCACTATAGATTTCTATACAACAATTGTGTTAAAAAAGAATCATCAAGTAGCAGAACGTATAAGCTGTGGAACTGAACACACGACTACAAGGTTCAATATCCAGAACCAGAAGTTCACACCAAGATGTTCGTCATCTCCCGGATTAGCTTTAGAAATCCTGAGAAGAAAATTGTAGTAGAATTAATGCACATCACACATCAGATGACTAATAACAAAGATACTAAAAGAGTGAGAAGATGTATCCAAACTGTAGACTTCTGTCAGCAGCCTTGGAATGAATTGCAGACATAAAGAGAAGCAGCTCTACCTGATTATCATCAGGTTCAATGCGTGGTAACCAAAAAGTTGACCCACCAGCTTCATATGTCGGAATCTTGGCCTTTTTTGATGTAGCAACAGCTTTTTCTAGGTCCATCTGAGACATAGGCCTTGGTGCCTACAGAAAAACAAAGGGAAGAAAAAGAATCAGATTGTAAAAATTGTCCACAAGCAAACAGAGAGTTGGTTCATTGAAATAATAAGGTGCCTCTCTCAAAAAAGAAAAAAGAAGAAGAAAGAAAGACACTGGAATGACAAGCATAGACTTCTCTATTGCTACTTTCACTTTCAAGTGATTGATGAACTCGGCAAAGTTGGGCAAATCTGCCATAGAACATAAGATAAACAAGGACATTTTGATAAAGTAAAAGATGAACAATTTTTATAGTGTTTGAGGAAGAACATGTACTCACTGATGCTTTTTTCCCATTCTTCTCATCTTGCAAAAATTCCATCAGAGGATAATAGGCAGCTTGCTTGCAGAGCTCAAAAATGTCCGAACCAGTGAAACCCCCACATAAACTAGCTATGTACTCAAAGTCGATTTTTTCATCTATTCGCTCTCCCTTTAAAGTCACTTTCAGTATCTTTGCTCGATCACTCTGTCCAGGTTTCCCAATTTCAAAAGCCATGGGAAGTCGTCTAAGTATTGCCTCATCAAGATCTGATGGCCGATTGGTTGCCGCAAGTACCATTACTCGAGCATTCTCTGTGAAAAAAATTACAACTCAACCTCCATGACAAGACACATTATTAAAGTATGCTCATGGTGCATGAGATAAACGACCAAAAGATAAATTGCACCTAGACAAAAGATGTCATTAACATGCATTCTCTTCTTTAATCCCAAATTAACGTAGTAGGTTTCATCACCACACAAGATAGAAGTTCCATATAACGACAAATTTTTCTAATGTGGGTAGGGGTCCTTTAGACAGGCTTCATCGTGGGGATTAGCAGAAGATTTGTAAATATGGACATGCACCATAACTATAAGACATACAATGTACTCCAAATCTCTAACCAATAGTATCTTGCGATGCTACAGTTTACATTTTTCACATGATTAACCCAAACCAAACCAAAAGAACCTGGTATATCCCAGGTAGGGTCTACACAGATCTAACCTCTACCCTAAAGTGTAGAGTGGGTACCATGATAGTTTCCATGAAGACCCCCGGCTTGTGAAAAGTGTGATATAGAAAGAAAGTCAGATAAGATAAAGTTTTGAAAAGATGACTAAAAGTAAGCAAAAACATACAAATAGGAGCACATTTTTCGTATAATCAACAAATTATTAAGAATACTCACGATCAGTAGTGAACCCATCCCACAAGGTCATGAACTCGGTTTTCATGTTGGTTATAACTTCACTATCTGTTGATCGACGCTGTCCAAGGAAACTATCAACCTCATCAATGAAAATAATTGCAGGCTGTAGCTTATGAGCCAGGCTGAAAACAGCTGAAACTGATAAGACAATCTAGTGTCAATAAAAGCAATTAACAAGCGAAATATCTCATGTTAAAAAGGAAGAAACGGGTGCCAGCATAACCTTACCAAGTTTCTGAGCATCACCAAACCACTTGCTCATCAGATTTGACACCCTAACATTAATGAAAACAGCTCCAGATTCCTTTGCAATTGCCTTAGCCAGCATGGTCTTCCCTGTCCCTGGCGGTCCATATAGTAACACCCCTTTTTGCGGACCAAGAAGCCGTCCATGAGCAAATAACTCAGGCCTACGCAATGGAAGTATCACCAGTTCATACAATGACTGCTTAGTACTGTCCAATCCTCCAATTGAATCAAACTCCACATCTATGTGGTCTGGATTTACAATATCACACGCTATCATATCCTGTTGTTAGAAATTATTCGCCCAATTCGGTAAGTTGTTATTCATGAATATCAATTTCCCCAACATTTTGATATCTAAAATTAGGTCGTAAACTTTAAGTGATTTCTATTCATTCCATAACTCCTACATTTTGAAATCCATCCAATTATGTAACATTTTGATAAATTCAGAAACAGAGTAGATGGAAGAAACATGGAAGAAGAGAGCAATTAGCTTGCCTCGTAAGGAGTGGTAGGGAATAGTGTACGGCCTAATCGTTTGAAAAGCTGTTTGCGTTGGTCGCTTGATCTTCTGTTGTCTTGGCGATGGGTATCTAACTTACGAAGGCTTGCAAGCAATACCCAGCAACTAACAGTGGCGCTAGCAGCGTACCATATGAGATTCTTCAATAGCTTCATATTGGGGTCCGCCATTACTAGGGTTTCAGAAATGAAATCCAGTTGTAAAGAAAGATCGAGACAGACTTTTGTTCCTACCAGCGTAACCGATTTATTGTTAAAACGATACTTTGGAGGTTTTGCTTCCAACAACAAATATTTATAAAAATCTGTTAACATAATAATAATTTTAAATAAAAAATCAATATATTACTATTAAATTTAAGACTTCTTTTTTTACATATATTAAGTTTAAGTTTTAATCAAGTGAATAAATGGAACTTACTTATCCACCATTTATTTTTTATTTTCTTTTTTGGTTTTTTTCTTAATTAAGGATAGTTACAATCGACCGTTGACGCTCATGTTTTCGTTCTATGAATGTAAAAGATTGCGTGATAACTCACCTCTAAATGACTATGTATTTAATTGATTCTAAAAACTAAATATTTTGTAATGCAATAAGAAAAAATATATATTTTAACATTCTTCAATCACATTTTATAAGGTGGACCTGACTCATTTTAAAAATAAAATAAAAAATGACATAATGCGATATTGAGATGTACCGGATCAATTCCTATAATAAGCACAATTCATAAAATGGGTGTGAGATTAAAAGTTATCAAGAGTTCAAATTCTTTCTTATGCTCTCACCTTAAATCATATTCTCACACGATCCTACGTGTGTCTCTCTCTCTATATATACACGAATATGATCAGTGGCGGATCCAAAAACTTTTATAGTTGGAGGCACACTTAGGGGTGTAGAAAAAAAAATTCAAAACCAAATAATTCATCCAAATGAAAACGGTTTTGGGTTTTCCTTTTTGGCTTAAACGGTTCAGTTAACCGAATAAAGATAACTTATTCAGGTTGATTTTTTACTAATTCAACAAGGTGTATAATTTTTATATTTTATATTTCGAACGAAAATATCAGTGTATACTACAAATAGACCAATTAACAATCACGATATCAAGTTGGGGGCCTTGTCTTGTTGGATGCATAATAGAAAATTTTACTAAGCAAATGTTTTTAGTCTTTTTTTTAAAAATTGGTGGGTTTATTGGGGGACTAAGACTCCTACCACCATGCACTAGATCTGCGCCTGATATAAACAAAAATCGCCTTCGACTGCAGAATTGAATATATATATATATATATATATATATATATATGTTTAATGGTTACAACATTGCAACACATAAACATTTGATGCCATATTAAACATAGAAAGTGAAATTTCCCTTTTTTTATAGAAAACAAACACAAATTGATGCATAACATATCACCGTAAGAAAACTAGTGATTTCCGGTTTTATAGGGTGTTAAAAAAGTCCGGTGGGATTGAACTAAACCGTACCATTATTTAGTGGATCCATGAAATGTATAGGTTCGAATCATACTCTCCTTCCAATGCAAAATACTAGTACTAGGATGTAGAATTCAAGAATGCCTAGTTCTAGGGACAACCAGGTCTCTAGAATTAGTTGCGTACAAACTGATTCGGACACCAGAAAAACCTGGATCGTAATTAGTTCAAAACAACACCAACTTTCTTTGTATGTCCATTCAAAGGAAGTGGCAACCAAGATAGAAATTCAAATCATAACCATTTTCTTTATATGAAACAACCATTGCCATACTTCCATAACCATTTGACACAGCGCCTAATGCTTTTTCCCTTCCTCCTCTTCTTCATCCAAATGGTTAGCTTGCTGAGCAGGCTTTTTAGGGATTCCCCAACTCCTTATTTTATTTCTTGATTCATCATGTGCAGAAGGTAACCTTTGTCCATCTTTTCTTGTTCCCTAATAAACCAAAAAGTTTACACCCCATCACCAAGATTAGGAAGAAAAAAGTTGTAAACTTTAGGCATGGTGGTCCTTTTTATCAGATCAAACTTGTTAGTTGTTGGTACCTGTTCTGAGATTCTAGCATCTTTCTTTGAAGATGTGTTCCTTAAAGCTCCATTAAATAACTGGAAGCTCTGAAGGTCACCGTTCTTGATGCTTGCTTCTAACTGCCAGTCATATATGAAAATGAAGATGAACTTGCTCATAATAAGATGAAGTTATAATCACTATGAACTGGAAGAGCTATTTACCTGAATGTGAATAATGCACAGAACAATGCTCGCAATAGGCAACCAGCTTTCATCAGGTGACAGTGATAAGTTCGTCCTGTGATCACAACCAGTAAACAATGAGAACCATGATGGTCCTCGAAGACACACAACTATAACCATGTAAGCAATGATAAATGTTATATATCCTATATCAGTTGCACATGGCTCATCTAAGGTGTATCATCCAGTATCAGCATGAAATATCACAGTTGAAAAGAGGGAGAAGAGGAGTATCAATAAAGCACAGAAATGCAAATATCAAACTGAAAAGCAAATAGAGTACAAGAAAAAAGATTTGTAGAATATAGATAGTTCATTGGCACACAAAAAGATAAATATTTGAGAAAGATTGTACTTAAGAGCTGCAACAATGACCATGAAGATCAAAGAGTGACCCAACCAGCAGACACCAAGGCTCCACAGCTTTAAGAAGGTTGGGGACCGAAATCATTATACACAGTTTTTCACTTGCATTAAATAGGTTGTTACCAACCCTATAGGTTGCTTTGTTCACCCATCACCGGTAATCAAGAGAGGATATGACCACCCTTTTAAAATCATACATTATTTATGATCATATCTTGAAATAAGATTCACTACCTCTAACGGATGTTCCAAAGTGTAACAACTCGTCTCACATTGATAGAAAATGGGATCTGTGAGCTCCGTATAAGGCTCAAGTAGTGGGCTACTAATAACTTTCACCATGGTTTTAAGTTGAATTAGAAATTATTGGGCCAGCCTGTTGCTTTGGGAACAATTTGCATGATAAAGAAGAGTAAGGAATACCCTTGATTCATCGGTAGTTTGCACAATAACAGTCACATTCACTATGACGGAAGGACCAAAACTTAAGATTGCAACTTCTTGAGAATCCTGAGCCTAGACCAACAACCACCATCAATACCCATTGTAGATCATGTAAATCTTCCATAAGAGTTACTCAGATCCAATGTACAGTTATTTGGTCCCTTAAACTTAGTATGCCAAAGGTTCGGATACAACGGTTACATAAAAGGCATATGGAACTACAAGTTTTAGTTAACCTTCAGGATGATGATGAAATAACAGAGACCCAATAACACCTCTGAATGAGATAAGCAGTTCAATCCGGCATTAGCAAAACAAAAAGTGGATGAGAAGTTTAAAAACCTTAAGTAAGGAGCCAAGTAAACGATTGCATAGAAAGCATAACGCTTATCCCCAGTATCCATCCAAGCAAACACCCAACTCTACACACAACAAAGCAGAACGATTAATCCTCAAAAACGCTCATTTACGATAAACACTTCCATATGCGAATGCCATCCGAGTGCAGTAAAAGGTCACGCGGAGAATATAGACTCTTAAGAGAAACCAAAAGAGATTCAATATGACTGATGAGAGAAAGGTCAGCTCACCATCCAGTTGAAGTAAGGGATGAAGCTTATGATCCCCATGACAGCGAACCTTGCATCAGCTGAATCGATCACCGAGTTACCATCTTCGTTATCGTCGGGACCCACAGGGAGAGGGAAGGCCAACGAGTTAAGAACACACGCGCCGATAGCGACGACGAATGGCGCCTCGTGCAATAACTCCGCCCTGCACCTTCCCTTTCGAATTCTCTGCTTCTATAAATATAAACAAACGAATGCACACAAATAGAGCTAGGGTTTTAGAATTCAAATCAAGCATCAACACAATAAAATAAATTAGGAAGAGAGAGAGAGATGACCTGGTTGACGTTTGTGTAGGAGTGATGATGAAGTGTGTATAGAGGTTTGAGTTTTGGGAGGGTAGAAGTGTTGCAGGCAGAGTAGAAAGGACTCAGAGAGAGGGAGTTCATCGCCGGTGGCGGTGGAGCAGAAAACGGCGGCGACTCAAAAGCTGGGGGTGGAGCCGGAGTTGGTGAAGATCCTCCCCACTTTTGTACAATTGGGGAAGTGGGCCGTGTCGAGCGAGGCCTCACGTGCTCCTACATGGCTATTTGATTGTATCTCTTCACAAAATACAACATTTTATTCAAAATATTTTCGAATCAATACTGATTAACAATTAAAAAATTTATGTTAAGGTATCGTTTTATTTATAAAAAAAATTAATCTGAAACTAGTAATTAATATATTGATAAACACATATTTGTTTTACAACGTATTTGTTTTATATGTATGCGATTTATAATGTAAGACTTATTCATGTGTATTTGTTTCACAAAATAGATTTAAAAGATTCACATTGTAAAACAAACATATTATGAAACAAATATATGTTAATCAATATTTTAAATAACACATATTACACCAATTCTCAAGGTTATCATAATTTCATGGTTTTTTTAAAAAATCCCCTATAGATTTATACAAAATAAGTAATAAAAAAAATTATATCTTTTATTGTTTTATTGACTAATTTAATGAAACGGAGTCACAAAAACATATATTTAGTGACTGTTATCAAACGTTTATCAAATAAATGCTTACCCGGTAAAAGACACCACCTTCAGTTACGTTATTCTCGATTATCAAAATGAATTGTTGGCAAGCGGTAAGTGTTAACCAAATAAGAGTTTTCTTCCTCGCTTACTGAGTAAAATTTTTGATTCTATCATGCTCACCTAGTAAAGTAAGTGACATCTCATAAATGCTTACCCGGTCAATAAACGACCCCCAAGACTAGTTATAGACTTGTAGTAAGTAGTAACCAACAATTCACATCCTTTTATACATTTATTGCATACATATATTATGCATTCACAAATCCAAAAATAAGCATCAAGTACTTGTCTTCTGTTTATTGTGATATTCACATTTGTGCTATAACAGTTACAGAAAAATCTCGAGAGATACAACAAAAACTTATCATGTAAAGTTACTTCACAATTACAATTGCATACATTATCTTATATATATGCCAATGCCATATGGGAAATGGGATGGAGATTCAGCCCAAAGAATCAAGCAATTCTGGTTGCTCGCTGCTATCGAAACTGCAAACCCAGCCGCTCTTTCTCTTTGTACGAAAAATGAATCAAAGAAATGGTTTCCTCATTACCCGTTATCGTTTTTTGCTTTTTTGCATCACCAAATCTTTAACAAAACACTTATTGAGCATGACTCCAACTTTCTTGATTGCCAGCACCACCAATGCTTCAAATGTAAATCAGTCGTACTTAGATTAGACCCACCCCCTCAAAGGAAAACTTGTTGAACACAAAGTGAATGAGTTTGTTCTTTACCAGAATATTATACATCACTTTTCCATTAAGCATCAGGTTCACCTTGCTGCCCATCTTCCCGCCTGGTAATAGCATCAACTCGCTGTTGTAACTGAAACCACCACGTCAACTGTCATAAATACTCTTTACATACGTTTTTTCTGTAACATTTTTTTTTGTAAAAGTGGGTGTCCAGATCCAGACCAGCTTGCACGCACATTGACTAATCTTATGAGGCCTAGAGATACCAGCCAAGAAAATCCACAGTGGTCCTGAAGATTTTTCTAAAACATTGGTCTCACCCAAGACAATGAATGATGGTCTCACCCAAGACAATGAATGATGTTCTCACCAAACCAAACGAGCCCAGTATATAAGGTCAGGTTCAGGGGTAAACCGCAAAAAAACGAAAAACTGAGAAATACCCAAGTAACCATTCATGTGTATACTAGTAACTAGCAAGTAATTTGTCCGGCATGCACAAGTGCATAGAAACCAAGAAACAACTTCGATTACTTGTATGCACATGTGTATATCATATAGATGAACGTTTACCAGGGTGTTCATCAGTTTTTAATTTTTTTTTTTGTGGGGGGGGGGGGTCCCCCTGAACCTCCCTATTATATATACACACTGATTTCTAAGGACCCATGATCTAATTGCAGTCAAGACAATTTAATGTTCATACATAATAATTTGACTAATTGAAACTTCAGATATATCCGTCTACACATTCTTTGTATTGAGAGTTACAAAAATACAACTCAACCAACCCACCTGTATGTATTTTAACTTTTCGGTGGTCAATTCCTCGGTCAAGATTGTTAACCTGCATAAGAAAATCAAATACAATGATAAATCAGATTACCTCCAACATTGCAATGTGAACCCACAATAAAAATCAAAAACAAAATTTGCCCAGAAAAACAAAAAGGGGGGAATATATGATGTTATTGAACTTGATTATGTTCAGTAACCTGGATTGTAGCTCAGAAACCTTCGTAAGCAGCAAACGCTCTCTATCAGAAACTTCAACCTGAAAAAGTGGCAATAATTTACTATACAAAGCAACAGCAAATTTCTTCATCACAGCCTAGTTTGACAAATGAAAACACAAGGATTATTATTATGAGATGACTTAAAAATGCGGCATCCCATCACAAAATATTGGTGACCGGGCAATCAGTTTCTTCATGAACAAAACACTGACACTAGCTATATGGACAAACGTTGCAGATGCGCGATTGACAGTTCTATCTTATATTGTGGTAAAAAAAAATAACACAAAGTAGTAATACATAAACCAGAAAAGGGTTGAAGTAATGCATGGACATACAGCTCCATTGTTCTCAGAGCTGCGAGGCAACGGGGGCAATTTCCCATTTTGCGAAGCTGAAATAAGATTAGAGAACACAAGTTACTCCAAGCTTCTTCACAGGCACATTAAGATCCAAAGAAGATTTCAACTCACCCTCTGATGCTACCTCAGCTGGTTGCAGGCTATTCAACAAATTCAAGATAAGATCCTGGCAAAGGAGTGGTTTATTTAGAACATCATTATTTCAACATATGTATTTGATGGTTTTGTGATTCTTTTGGAGTAACCGTGCTTTACCTGTTGAACTGACGTCTGTTGAAAAAGGTTTTGAAGGTGAGGCATGAGCACTGATGCAGGTAAATTGCTATGTACAGAACTGCTATTGATATCCTTAGGTGTAGGCTGCCAAACAGCCAAGAAAGAGTTCAGCATCGGAAATGGGTATGCATTAAGTTATACAAAGAGAAACTTAAGTAGGCTACAAACCATCTGTTTTGAATCAAATATCCAGTCCCCCACACTTGCAGACTTCCTCAGTGATGACTCCTAATTTACATGACAATGTATTAAATGAAAACTTGTACAAATTAGTCATTTGCAAATAAATGCAGATTTGGGTTCTTACCTGGGGAGAGCGTCGAGGAGCAGTACATAACGGAATATCCTGAAGTAATATTTGAGTTAGAACCGTAACTTAGAAGACCAATAACAAGACAAAGCACCATACCTTCACAAGATCAAGGTCTTCGGATGTCACAGAGAAACGTCCTTTTATTTGTACCAAGTTTGCTTTTGACTTGTCCTCCAAAGAATCTCTGTATCCTATGGAATCAAAATATACACTCTTAAATGTGATCCTTCTCATCTAACAGTCCACCAACAGTTAGCATATTGCAAGAACAGGCTTCACACTGCCCCTTCGCATACTGGTAAAACAAGGGTTTGCATTGATATTCAACAAAAAGCTATAATGAATACCTCCTGATGGTTTTATTGGAGCCGATAAACTGTTTCCTGAAGCTCGGTTCGGAAGGTTCAAAGGACCACTAAAGCTCGGAGCTCTCCTTACTTGATGATGCATTTTATCAACTGCATGCGAGCTTTCATTTTCACACCTGAAAATAAACAACCTAATTAGATAAATGTCCATGAAAATGGCACAAAATCAAACATACACACAAGCACATGCACAATACATAAGATACATGCACACATACATAAGCAAAGTTTGTGCATTCTTTGAGAGACCAAATATTGGTTTAAACAACAAAGAAAATTGTCAACCTTGACTTAGATTTGGAAATATAAAGTGATGGCTTCGTATCATTCATGGTGAAGAAAAATTAATAACTGCATAGGTTGTGATTTGCAATTGTTTTTTGTTTCTCCTCAGCATACCAAAGAAGTTCAGGTCTATTCCTTTTTCTCCTAAATCTTCCTCCTTTATTCATACTATTGGCATGGTATCGGAGAAAGGTTAAACCACCATGACAATCAGCCACGACAGTAGACTGCTACCACCACTGTTGGCTGCATTACCTTCCCTTGCCCACAGTTGGCACTGTCACCATCCACTGCACTGCGACCTACAGCCCCATCGCTCACTGCTAATATGTGCAGCAACTTCGGCAGTAGAAGTTGAGCCACTATCTCTGTCACTGCAATCAGAACCACCGTAGCTGATCCATCCTTTCAGTGTTGATGCTGGCTTACTGTTGCTACTGGTCGATTGCTTGCTGTTCTCGGTAATTGCTTTTTGCAGGTTTTGACATGGGGTATGTTCTTTTTGGGCATTGTCGGTTGTTGCTATGTTTGCTGGAGTGATTTGTTGAATGCAATTCAATTGTTGCCGTCATTTTCTCAGTGTCCATTGTGGTTCCTTTTAGGATGTCGTTACCATGGCCAGTGGAGAAGTTGTTAAAGTTGATGTACTACTGAATGAGAATTTTGCAAGGATCCCCAAACCTGACTTACTCCTACAGTCCTACCTAGTTCCCTCTTGATAAACAAAACCAAACATTCCTAGTATATCCCACCCGGAGGTAGGGCCTGGGGATAGGTTATACGAAGACCATTCCTCTATCCCAAGGAGTAGAGAGGTTCTGGTTGTCTCCATGAAGACACAGCTTGCAAGAAGAAGTGGGTCATGGGAGAAACAAAAAGTTCATCAAAAAATTGGTGAAAGTTTTGAAGAATCTGAAAAGAAACCAGAGGTCATGAGAATGAGAAAAACATAGTAGCAAAAGAGACCTAGTTCACTCTTGATGTCAAGAACAATTTCGTATGAGTGTAGTTGATGAAATATGCCATCATAACATGAATTGAAAAAGAATATCTTGATTATCTCCCAATTGGTTGTGCTGTAGGTGCAATAGTTAGCTGCACGAGACATTTTACATGTCAGAGCTAGATAGACAAGTAACAAATCTGCAGAGGCAATAAAGCGGGGAAACGAGGATTATTATGTACAGAGCCTGTTTAATCGAAGATGCTACATATTGGGGGTAGATACATGCTCAGTAATTCTGCAAAAGAGCAACGAGAAACGATTGTGGAAAAGAGGCATGGCCTAAAGAAGAATTCTGGTTGTATGCAGCAGGTCGAGAATAGGTGTCAGTTTATGCAACCAAATTATGTTCCACCAGATCTGCAGTAGTTTCGGATATACCTGGTAAGACTTTCATAACAGAAACCTGTAGTTGATAACGACCACTGTGGGAACTGGGAGTAAATGACGTACAAGGAACTGAAGAAAGCACTGCCGAAAACTGAACAAACCAGCAGAAAGGGGCATAGTAAGGGGGTAAGATACCATCCTCATCTCATGACCATAAGATGGAATTTAATACTCTATTTTGGTGTGACACCTACAGTATGTGCTGATCTTATTCCTTCCGGATAAGAGATCCAGTTTATTTGGCCTCCAAGTCTCATGGGTCTCAAGTCTTCACCCATATATAAGGCATATACAGTTCTTTGATGCCTTCTTTGAAGACACTCAAATTTTACAAATTGGGTAAAGCAAAGGTCTGCATACCTACCCCCCCCCCCAAAAAAAAACAAAAAACAAAAAACAAAAACTACTTCCAGGCGGGATATATTGGGTTTGTTTGGTTTGGTTTTACAATTCTTAATCCACTCTAACCTGGAAGGCTTCCCCTGCACAACATCCGGCACCCTTCATGAGGTAGTTCATCACCAGGAAACAAAAGATATTTAGTTTCCAAAATAAAGGCTTGTGAAGGAAACAAGATTATATCAAATTTCAGGATTAAGTCGAGCATGAGGTTCATTAGAAAGTCAGAGTAAGTCTCATTCATGTTTATGTAAATGATCACACAAAGCCTACTTCTTGAGATGTACAACTTAGAATGTGGCTGACATATCAGACCCAAATTCTCAAATAGATTATCCGGAGAGAAGTGTTAGAAATATTACTGGAAAGTACTCACAAAATTGAAAATATAGGTACATATATCCAAACTTCTACGACGTTAAAAATAGTTTCACAGAGGAGTGCATATGGAAGCGTAATGCAAGGGCATCTTTTCCAAGAAATACACACCAAATGATCAAGGCACATGCTATGCTGAAAAGTATCAAAACAGCATGAACCTTACTATCTACTCAACAGATTGATCATATTCATAACAATGCATATAAGCAACGAAAAAGAGAAGACAGTGATGAAACCTTTCTAAATTACGAGTTCTTTCAGACTTTGAATGATTTAAGACCACACCAGCCACAAGAGGTCCACTCTGGGTTTGGCGACTTCTTCCTGTTAGAATTCTACTTTTAGCCTGTACTGCATCTTTATCCGAGGTTGATGGTAGTTGCTCTGTCTTTGTTCTGCTTCTTTCCAGAGCAATGTTCCCTTTATTGTCAGATTCTGGCAAATTACTTTCCGGAGTATCTCCCGTATTACTCAGGCTTTCAGATGGAGCTACTTCATCACTGAAGAAAGTTCATGGAAAATTTAGGGTTAAAAGTTAACAGTTAATAAGGAAAAAGGACAAGAACATTAATAGATAAATGAAACTTGCAAAGAACACAGGTTTTGTAAATCAAACAATGTGCTACAAGCGTCAACAGCTCTCACTAGTTAGTAGTTACATAAGAGATATCTTGCAATATCCGTGCATGCACAAAGGGGACAGCAGTGAACCAGGTATCATCTTTGCCCCCATACCTTAATCATGAAGCATCTAATGTTTAGTTCATATGATATATCATAATCTAGTTCGAAGATCGGAAATGGTCTAACACCAAAATTTCATAATACGATAGTACATGTATCAAATACACCAAATAATCAAACGATCCAGAGTATGTCAATTGATTATTGTCTCAGTCGACTATTGTCATACAGTCGACCTCACAATGCCACTATCAGCCAGTGACTGATCCCGAAATGTCACACACAGAGTGACTAGCTCCAAAAGTTGAAAATATCAATACATTGTTAAACTGACTTCCTACAGTGTTCTTATAATTTCCCACAGAACACTGATAGGTTTCCACATCAAACTATATGTGAGACTTGATGAGTACCAATTGGGCCAAAGGTCAGTGTACTCTGTACCAAATGCATGTTAATTCAGATGGTAAACAAAAAAACAGCTCATGCCATGGAACTAGTTTTTATATAGTGCCAACATATGACGAGCAACAACTGTTTGATGGGCACAATTAGATTTGGAGGCGCATTGGAAGAAAGAAACACACACACATAAATACATATTATATACATACACACATACAAACATACATATATAGAGACACATATACACAAACAAATACTTAAGATCTGAACAACATCAGCACCTAAAGGATTTCTTTAGATAGATGATACTGCAAAAAAAGCCATAGATGCCGCAAAACATACATATATGCTTCAAATGAATATTTTCCTGGACCACTGACCTACAAACAATCTCGCTTGCAGAATATGGTTTGCCAATGGTAGCTTTTGAATTGGATGCATCCTGCAGGAGAGAAAGATATATTATTTTTGCTGTACATTCTAAAATTTGAAAGGGAGTATGTAGACATAGTTTAGATATAGGGGTCACAATCTAGCTTAATATTTCAGAGGTTGGATAATATTTTACTATTTAGAAACATCCTTACATTATAAACAAAAGACGTTGAATTTACATCTTCTTCCCTGATATCTTGAATTTCATCATCATCTTGCACCTGCAGTGAAAATGGACAATTCAATTATAGTCAATTCCGTTATACAGTTACCAAAGGAGAATGTCTGTTGAAAAAGGAACAAGATGTATAGAATGAATACCAAGGATGCTTTGAATTTCAAATCTTCGATGTCAAAGTTCCAGGCACTAACACCTCGCTGGTACTCACTCTGTATATCATCATAAGAAGGAAAAACAATTAGACAGACATGAAACTACATTTGGAAATAAAAACAAGCACATTAACTTCATCAACTTTTCCTCTTCGTTTTAGGTCACAGGCAAAGGCTTTGGAAGATTTACCATTGTTTCTTCAGATGATAGTATTCCCCAATTAGGCAGGTGAGGAAGACATGGATGGAATTATGGAATCACTGCATATTATGAAAAGATGGCAACTCATTCTGGTGTTTCCATTTGTTTGCTGGGGAAGAGTTGTTTTTTATGTCAATTAAGGGCAAGGTGATATATTTAAACCTGAGACCTAAGATAGCTTACAACACACGTACAGCCAATTTCGTGATAGGTTGGATTGTCACTAGATCATCTTGTTGGTCACTAGATCATCTTGTTGATGCACTAAAAGTGACATCAGAAGCAAAGACTACATCTGTTGGTTAGACCTCAAGAGTCGCATATAAAGTGTAGAAAGGACATAAACGCCATGAGGGCCATTGAGTATCATAAAATTGACTAGAATACTGCTAATAATTAGGTTGTCAAATGTCTTAAGTCCATGGCATAAGTTATCGTCTAACCATTAGCAGCAGTTAAGGAACATCCAGGATTTTATTCCAACCCCATGTACAAGCATATATTTTAATTACATGAGTTACAAAGCTGCGAATTAAACAAGTTATGAGCAGAAAAAACAAGAACTACAGCAGCTAGTCTGATCAACGTAAAATACACTTTAACCCAGTAGCTATGGAATAATGCCTCTAACCTGTGATATGGCTTCTTGTTCGGCTGAGGGCATTTTCTTCAGAGCTAGTTGGGCAGCATCTTTAAGCTGCAAATATTTTGCAATTCATATAAAAGCTGCACAGGCCAGCGAATTAAAGTTCTATGGACCATAACACTAGGACGTCATACCTGGAGGGCTTTCACGCGATTCCACAGAGGTGGCAACTCAGCAAAGAGTTTCTTCACAGAGAGCTCTGGAGGTTTAGCTTGCTTAAAGAAGGAATGTTTTAACAACTTCTCAGCAGTTGGCCTTTTTGTTTGATCTTTCACCAAGCACATTGCAACCACTTCTTTAAAAGACTGTTCACAACTGGAATTTCTTAGTTATCAATGTAAGAAGATACCAAAACATTAGCAAGTGTCCTACATGGCCTTTGATCGCTTAATAGACCAGGTAACATTGCATAAGTGACTTCTCATCTCAATTTCTCGTGTTTACATAACAATGTAACACATGAAATCCTACAAATAAAGAGAAAACAATACCTTAGAAAATCGTTTATCCCGGTCATAATCAAGTCCAGGGGGTGCATTTTGAATGGTCATCAAGAGGACCTGTGACACAAAAGGTAAGTAAAAAACCAGTGAAAAAAATATAAACTAATAACGGTCATTAGAGAAAATCCATCACCGGCATGAATATATTCATTACATTCATAGAATACTAACCTTCATTGGAGGATACTTTGAGAAAGGGGCATGGCCATGAGCTAACTCCAGTGCAGTAATGCCAAGTGACCATATGTCAGCCCTGTAAATGATCAGGACGAGATAAGAGACAAGATAGCATAGGAGTGGAAGACCAATATTACAGTGTTTTCTTGGTTACAATACCACCATAGTCATGACTATGGTGTTTTACTACCATAATGCAATTCCCTGTGCAGAATATCAATATATATATATATATAATTCAACCGTAAACAAAGTCTTTGAAAAGATCAACCACATTACAAATACTTAAATAGTTAACTGTTTCAAATAATAATCTCTATTTGGTTTCGCCAGAAGAGTATTCTGCACCCTTATATACGTAAAATGAGTTCCCTCCTTACTTTGGTCGTGGGATTTCTGTAATGAGTCTGTAGGATGTTGTACCAAAGTTACTGAAAACTCAAAAAACTCTAGAGGCTGAGTTACAAAGTTCAGGGGTGACTTGAGGTGAATTGAACAAACAAAAGTTCTAAGAGAAAAAATTTTGCAATACCCGAAATATAGGAGACAGACTGTATCAAAGGAGATACGTCAAGAAACAAAGACACGGCTGAAGGATCACTCACCCAGCCATGCACCTTCATTGTTTTCCTAATTAGTACACGCTGCAAAATATCTGCTTGGGGTTACAAAGTTCAGGGCTGAGGATGGCTGACTTCAGATAAATGGAGCAGACAAGAAAGCTAAGGTAGCGTTTGGTACACAGATATGATTGGAAAGGACTGGATTGAAAAGGAGATAACTCGACAGGACAAGAGGGTAGGACTGGACAGGACAGGACTGGACAGAACTAAACAAGTTGCCCCCAAAAGTTATTTTATGATTTTATGTATCATATAATAGTTATAATTAACACAAAGTAAATAATTTAATTTATAAACATTTTAACACAATTTCATATACATAAATACAAAATAGTACCAAATTTGGATGAAATTTTTTATATAATTGATGGTAGTTTGAAAAAAACCCAATTCATACAAAAGAGAAATTATGTTTTATTCAGTTTAGAAGATCCTTATCAATTGGTGAAGGCACGGTGAAGATTGTTGCAACAACAATGGTTGTGGAGGTAGAAGCATTGGTAATTGGTAGACGATGGTGGTTGTGGAGGACGTGAAGATGGTGGATAGTGGTGGCGGTGGTGGAGGTCAACAGTGGTGGAGGATGTAGTTTTGGCCTATGTGGTGGAGGTAGGTGTGATGGTGCGCTGTGGTGGTGGTTATGGTGGAGGTGGTGGTGACCGATGATACTAGTTGTGGTAGAGATGGACGGTGGTGGTTATGGAGGACGTGAATATGGTAGATAGTGGTACTGGTAGCCGATAGTGGTGGTCATTGGCCGACAGTGGTAGTGGTAGCCGGTGATGGTGGTGGGCAGTGGTGTTGGTTATGGTGGAAGTGAGGTGGCCCATGGTGGAGGGGATGAATGATGTTGGTTGGTGGCCGACGATGGTTGTGGAGGTGCTGGAGGAGGTTGTAGTAAAGGAGAAGGTGGCGGTGGCCAACAGTGGTAGTGGTGGTGGCAATGGCAGTGGTGGTTGATGGCTGACGATGGTTGTGGAGGTGGTGGAGGAGGTCGTTGTAGTAGAAGAGAAGGTGGAGATGGCCAAAGGTGGTAGTGACGATGGACAGTGGTGGTCGGTGGCCTATGGTGGTTATGAAGGTGGTGATAGACAGTCGTGGTCGGTGGTCAATGGTGGTTGTGGAGGTGGTGGAGGTGGCCGATGGTGGCTACTGGAGGTGGTGGCGGCCGCAACAGCGGTGGTGACCACTAAAACAAACACCATGTTAAGATTATATATCAAATGAGGTTTAATTAGTAATATTTTAGTTTCTGTCTCATTTTTGTCTCATACTCCCATCTTAAGAAAAGTCGTCCCACGTTGATCAAAATCTTGTTCCACTATTTTGGTGGAACAAGAAAAGTCGTCCCACGTTGTCCAAGTTCTTGTCCATGTCCCACGTCGCACCAAACGTGGGACAGTGAGTTATTGTCCTGTCCTATGTCGTGCCAAACATGGGACAGTTGTTCCGTCTGTTCAGTCCTGTCCCATGTACCAAACACAGCCTAAGAGAACCATATTTTGCAATACAAAATATTGAACACACTGTGTCGAGGAGAGATGTCAAGAAATATAAAAAAAATTGCTGAAGGATCACTACCTAACCATGCAACATTATAGTTTCCTAATTAGTACTCCCTCCGCCCCAAAATAAGTGTCTACATTTCTATTTAGTTTGTCGCAAAATAACTGTCMACTTTCAAGAATTATTGTCTATTTTCTCATTCTACCCCTAATTATGATATGGAGAAAATTCCTCTTTATTATCAAGGGTAAGTTGTCCTTTAATTAATTAAAAAGTGTAAAAGTTGCACATTTCTAAAAATTGTGTGCCTTTTTTGTGGACATTTATTTTTGGGATGGAAGGAGCAGTAGACACTAGAAAAAAATATCCTCGTGGTCGAACATGATTTCGTTATTGTTTGGTATGTACTACCCTCAATTACGGCTACCGTAGTCAATCTTGATTTCAATTCAAAATTTTGTCCCCTAATGATATGCCTTCCTTCTACTAAAACAATTTTGAATTACCAATTGTTTATCTTCTTATATGCCATTTCAATTGTTCCCGCCCAGCTTGGTTCATTAGCATTCCTAAGCAGGGGAGAATTCTTTTTGACAAACTTATCACATTAATTCCTAATCAAGGAGAAAACACTCACTTGAAATCGTATCCACTTCCTGGCTGCAGCACCTCTGGCGCCATCCTGTAAGCATTATTAAAATTATTAAGTCACAAGTGACCTGAAAGGCTGAAACAAACCAAAAATTATAAACAAGAGCGGCGAGGAAATTATTGCTTGACCATGTACTAACCAGCAAGGAGTTCCTACAAAAGTATTTCTGGAACGCTGTCTATCACCTCTATCGAACATACAAGCTGAGACACCGAAGTCCCCAAGCTTTATCACTCCATTAGTGTCAAGAAGTATATTTCCAGCCTGAACCATAATAATGTTGAGGGAAAGAACAGAATACTAAATCCACCTAAACGTCCAAAAATGGTACAAGAACTGAAGAAAGGATAAATAAACATCCCAAAGTGGCATAATAAAGGATCAATCATTTCACAATTTATAGAATAACGGTGTATCATGTATCAAGAATGAGATCTTAGAATCTACTGACCTTAACATCACGGTGGATGTGTCCATGTCGATGCAAGTACTCCAATGCCTTGAGAGTCTCTTTCAGAATAGAACCAATAGCCGACTCTTCAAACCCATCTGGATATGCTGTTTTCATGAGATGTAGACAAGAACCTTCAGCCATGAATGGCATAACCACCCAAAGGTTTTGGTTGACAACAAATGAACAAAATGCCCTTATCACATTAGGGTGATCTATCAAACTCATTGTTTGGGCCTCCCTTCGAATATCATCCTGTAACCAGTCCTTAGATAAGTTATTCATGACCAAATTAAGCCAATCACATCAGGTTGTAACTTGTAAGATAAATTCTTTGACCACTCAAGCACCCATAGATACTACTTGCATCACCTACTGCTCAGACACAGTAAAGTGACACTTTGCTGGCATCAAACAGCCAATGTTGTCAGTTCTGAATAAGTGCGAGCATCACATCATTACTGACAACCTAAGTAGACTGTTGCTATACTGTTGAAGCCTAGTCATGGATTCAGTGAATATGCTGTGTGTAGGGCCTCAATAACAAGTGAACTTCCATAACCTATTTTGTGAAAGAATGCCAGAAGCCTTGTCTAGCAAATCCACTATATTTGAATTTGCCCAAGATCTCTCACATTGTAACGTTTGTATTCAGATATAATGCTCCTGTTAGTTTGTGAAATTGTGCATCTGTAATAAATAAGAGTATAAAAGAAAAAATAAATAAAAAGAGAAATGCCAGCATTGACATATTCATATGCGCTCAAAGGTAAGAAATTAGTAGCAACACGCTATATCCTTTTTTGGATACCGGTACGTTCCTTTCTTTCTTTTTTCCTCCTTTTTCTTCAGTATTTACACATTCCGTCAAAGATGTGTAATTAATATATGCATTCAGTGCTTTAACAGGCAGAACCATTCAGGATTGCCTAATGCATGTGATTTGTGGAGAAATAAATACAAGTGCTTTAGTTAAGTCGTTTGGGAAAGGGAAAGAGGGTGTTATCTCAAGTTCGTAAAGCATTTAAAAAGTAGAAAAATGTTTGTCAACCCATAGCAAATATGTAATTGATGTTGGCATGACATGAATACAATTAAAGAGAATTGGATGACAACTATATTACTTCAATTGATGAAATTAACATTAATCATCTTCAGACATATGCCTAGGTATAACAGCTCCGCATTTAATAGATGAAGTACTTTTTGGCATTTTGCTTTACTGTCTTTTGCTTTTTTCAACAAAAAGATGGTATTGTTGTGTATCAACTATCTAGAAAGATCAAATCAGTAATGTCTAATAATTCAACATGCTTTTATATATCTATTGTGATTTGATGAAGAAGCATAGATACTTCTCATGGCCAATTTTTTAGAATCCTAGGTTTTTGTTATGACAACCAATATAGTTGCTATATGATGATAAATGGAATAGTAAGCCTTTTAGCCATATAAGCTACCTAAATTGATTTATGCTTGTTAGGTTATAGCAAGTAATCACAGTACATGATCAATTCTTTAAGACGATCAAAAGGCATTATGCAAGCATCAAAACAAAAACATGTGCCTTTCTCTGCTGATTGCACGCGTAGCACGACATCGGAACACCTACTAAAATCTTGGCAACATACCTGAATTTGGACTAAGTCGTGTTAGCAAGCCAAACTGGGATCAGCCAACGATTGTAAATGTAATCAAACTTTCTAAACCAAGTTCAACTCTAATTGTTAGCAAAACCCACATTCAAGAGACAAGAATTAGTTAGCACGTTCATCCTCAAACCACCAGAGCCTTATAGGGTGAATCACCTACAACCCTTGTCCTGTTAGCCCTAATTTTTTAATGCAATTAATGCTTCTGCACTCGAGTAAACTCAAAGGGCGAGTCTTTATAACTTGCACAACATGAAGAGGCCAAAAATAGACAGATAAAAGATAAGGTTTTGTAAACTTCACTGCTTTTTGATCTCAACTCTCACTAAAGCAAATCCAATCAATACAATTTTATGCAAACATTAGAACTTCCTCCCTTCCAAAAGAAAAGATGCACTTTGACTTCTGATGTCAAACTGGCCGAGTTTCAACTTCAAGATCGATGTTAGTTATGTAAGACTTTTCACGGTGATTACATTGAACTTCGTGAAAAATGTTCAACACATCGACATACGATGATGTTATATTCGTAAGAAGTCAATAACCATTTGTGCATTCGATCACGATAAAAACCAGAACCAAAAGCAAGTCCAATTTCAATTCAATTCAAGAAAAGGAACAAGAAATACCCTATTTTTCAGTTGGCAGTTGTTTAGCTGAATTAACCACTCAACAGAAGAATAAAATTAAACGAAACTATATAGCAACAAAAAGTAACGAGCAATGGAATTACCAGATTGCTGTTGCAGCGATCGAGATCCAAGCACTTAACGGCGACGACGTCATTGTTTGGAAGATAGATCGCTCTGTATACGGTGGCGCTGGCTCCGTAACCTACTTCTTCTAGAAGCTTGTAATCGTCTGGATTTGTGGTGTAGGTCTTCTGACCGCCTCCCATCCCACCGGAAAATCAGTTAGACGGTGTTCTGAAAAGAAGTTGACGGCATGGACTGTGAAGACTAAATCTTCTCGGTCGGTGTCGGAACTCCCACAAAAAGGTTGGGGCCAAGTTGGCGATATTAGATTTGATTTTTATGACCACACTCCGACCACCCCTTCCGTTTCAAACTCCCATTATTTCTATCATTTCTTTTTGTAACCGTGACTTGCCTTTGGTAATTTTGACCAATACGCTCGACTTTACTGTTACATACATACATATATATATATATATATATATATATATATAAATTAATTTTAAATTAATTTATATATTTTATTCTAAATATCAACTCTTTCTCTGTCTGCTTATTATGTGATTTGCAGTTTTTTTTCATTTTACTCTTGTGCGTGGTTGATATTTCTAAAAAAGGGTAAATGTTTATTTAATATTATGCTTTCGGGTGTGATATATCTGGTTTAATTTCATATGATTTGGTTTAATGTTATGATAAGGTAATCCTTTCGATTGATAAAGATATACACTGTTTCCTTTTGTGTTGTTTTCAAAAGCATGTTAAGTGATACGAATATAGTGCTTTAGGTTTATAGTCATCATTGATATCACCGAATCTACTATTTCGTCTTTCAACCAATTCAGATATCCATGCAATGCCTCCTCCATCTTGAGGGCTACGGGCTCCATTGTTATTTTAGTCATCTTGCGGGACAACCTCCAACATCATATCCATCCTATTCTATACAATGATTTTAACATTTTTTTTCCATTATTTGCATTGCAACTGCCTAAACAATTTGTTGCATCTTTTTTTAAACAACTGTTTGTATTATCTTCCTCATATTTGCCCCTATTAAAGAAGAAGCCTATACATACATATATATATATATATATATGTATCTTTTTTTCTTTTTTTATAGTTGAAAATAACCTGAGAGGGAGGACAAGTCTTTATCATCCAAATCTTGTTTCCCATAACTTTCAAAACCATGGGTATTACAAGCTCTTGGTGCACATAATGATTAGGATCATCCTTATATGCCTTCTCATTTTGTTCGTAAGTATCTTAGTCTCATCCTCTATCATTCACTTGAATTGGACAATTTTTTTCTGTATCATCACTATCTTCACGTTCTCAGTTGTTAAATCATCCCCCCCAACACACACACACATATATATATATGGGGTATAAATGAGAACATCTTCATTTTATAAAAACGTTGGAATGCCCTTATCACATGTGAGGGGACTTATTGATGTGCGGATGTCATGTCCTGCAACATAGGTTGCTCTAAAGGTTGTCTGCGTCTATGATTTAATATCACATGTGATTGCCTTGATGGATTACAGTATTATATTAATAACATCTATATCACATGTGATAGTACATGTGAGAGGACATAATGGTATAAAGGCGACTTGGCATGCAACTTAGATCGCGTCAAAAGTCGTTCATGTATCTAATTTAATATCATATATGATGGAATAATAGTATTATATGTAATTGTTTACAGTAAAAAAGTTTCTCACATTCTCATAAAATAAAGATGTTCTAGTTTGAATCCTTATGATCACTTGAGCTTTAACTATCAAACACAAATTCGTATGGTTCATATAGTTTTGTAATTAAGGAAAAGGCTAAAAAAAACTACTTAGAAATGAATTTGATTGAATGGATTGAATTTGGTCAATTTCCCTTTATACAATGTCAAAATCAAACCTCATTTTACATTTGATTTTGTGGATTTTTCATCATGATTCATGAGTAGAGTAGGATGTGATGGGCACTAAAAGAACCATATCAATAATTTTTTATTTTTTAATTTAAAAAAAAAAATGAAAACTTAGAAATTACAATTAAAAATATATACAAAATTGATGAGATCAAGGAACAAATTCAATTTACAACTACAGTAATCTCCTCCTCCGCAAACTCTTTGAGGAAGCTTTCGAGACCAAATACCCCACTCCCAAACACATCACCCATATCCCAACGTCCACCGCCCATCTCACCCCTTCCACCTCCACCTCCACCTCCACCTCACCACCGTTCTCCGCCTCTCCTCCGCCGCAATCACAACAACAACAACAAACACCCTCCTCCATCTCCACATCCTCCCCTTCACTCTGCTGCTCCGGTATCTCCTCCAATCTTTCAAAACACCTCCCTCTTTTCCTTCTCACCACCATCTCCACCGTCTCCCTCATCACCTCCACCTCACCCTCCACCGCCACACACACCTCCACCTTTTTCACCTCCACCACCATCTCCCCTTCTAACCCACACCTGCACTCCATCTTCCACTCACCTTCTTCGTCTTTTCTAAAACCACCCTTCACCACCTTCTCTTCCCTCAAGTACACCTCAAACCTCACCCCTTCACTCACCCTCACCCTCTCCCTGCTCCCATACATAACTGACCTCTTACCCAATCTGATATCATCATCGGAAACAACCCGATAAAGGGTGAGGAACGCCGGCGAATCTGGTCGGAAAACGGAATCGTTAATCTCCAAGGGACTGCCATTGATTCGAGGGAGATAGTGTAGAGTAAGGGAATCGGGCAAGTGTTTTGGGGTGTTGGAAAAGGATAATGAGAGATAAAAAGCTTTGATTTTTAAGAGACGATCCCTCTCGGTTTGTTGAAAGCCACGGCACATTTTGAATTGTTGATCTGGCTCATTTGGGTTGATGATGGTTTCTATATACAGAGAGTATTTGATGAAGAAATGAAACAAGGGGTGGCGAGCACACGGGTTTGACCAGTTTGGGTCTGCGCCAACAGGAATAAAAGGGTATTTCTACGTGGTGCGGCTGCAATTATGCAAGCGTATTCGACGTACTTGTCGTTTTTACGAGATTTACAACAAACCGTTAATACAACCGAAGGGATATAATTTTTCTAAATAAAAAATCAAAATCTATAAAAAGGAGGACAAATTACATGAAAATGTAATATATTTTAACTTGATTGGATAAAGTATTTTTAAAATTTTTATTTTGATACATAAGATGTAAAGTTTTAAATATTTAAATATATGAATTCTTCATTTATCTAAAAAAAAAACCATAAAATTAAAATTTCAAAAAAATACATTTACTTCAACAATTTATGTATTTTAAAGATTTTAATATTAATTATGTTATTAAAATATTTTATGAATTTATCAACCTAAAAGATATTTTAAAATGATTTTTATACCAATTAATAAAAACCCAATCTCCTTGATAATAATAAATAAATAAAAATTATTTCTCTCTTAGTAAAATAAGGAACAAATTCTCTGCTTAAGATGCTTTTAATTGTTCTTATCGATGACCCGGCTTCGTTGTTTTACGTGGGTCCATGATAGGCTTCAGTTGTTCTGACTTCTGCATTCTCTTCTAGTTGTTGTGAAGTATGGGCCATAGCCCACTATGGGTTGGGCCTTAACCCAAGGCTGTAGAAAACAACTTAAAAAGGACAGAGAATGAAAAGCCCAAAAAATGTAGCCTAAAAGAAAAAGCTGACCACTTTTACATTGATTCATCCAGCAGGGCCACAGTCTTAGCCAATACATATAAGAAAAAAAAAAAGTTTAGATATTCAGTGTTTGGCTTCAGTTGTATTTTCTGTAAGCTGGGAGTGTTATTTACCGAGCTCTTATCTAGTAAGGTGGCGTTTGTTTTTTAAGAAGTGCTGAAGTCTGAAGTCTGAATTCACTTCTGATTTTTAAGAGGTGGTGCTGAAGTCTGAAATCTGAATCAATCAGATTGTTTGTTTTTTGCGTCTGAAATCTGAAATTTGAAGATGAGAGATCAAGAGTTGATATGGATCGACAGTTGACAGAGTTGAGAGATGAGAGATCGAGACATAAGAGTTGATCCAGAGAAATCGAGCGTAAAGAGATCAGAGTAGGTAGGTGACGATTTGAAATAAGAGGTAATAAGAGATTTCTCAACCACTTAAATTTTCAGACTTAATAAGAGCTTTTAAGCTCTTAATTGAAAAAAAAAAAAACAAACACACTGAATCCTCTTATGTCTGACCGATTCAGACTTAAGAGGACATTAAGAGTTTTTTTATTAAAAACAAACAGCCCCTACGTGTTTACTGGACACCATTTACCTTATCAATAAGTACGACAAAGACAAATAATCTTACATGGTAAGAATTATAGCAAAGATTAACCTTATCCGGTAAATAAGGAACAAGACTTTTACTTGGTAAACGACGACCTGGTAAAAGACGCTTACCACAATTTATTTTGACGACAAAAGGGTATGTTTTAAAACATGATGACGTTTTCTTCTATTTTTCTCCTATTCAAAAAAATTAGTTTCTTTCTTATCTTAAGAACACAGATAAAAAAATTCGTTTTTTGTCTGGCTTCGTCTGTATACGAAGCAAATCAGATACATCTTATGCCAGATGATTATTTTATAATATAAAAAAGTAGAAATCTAATGATAAGATACAAAAATGGAATGGAAGAAAAATAGGTGTGAGAATATAAAAATAGAAACCACACTAGATGGGGTAACACATATTGGTATATATTCTTTAATTAAAAGCCAAGGTCCTTTTAGACTTTAGAGTGACGATCACCATCAAGGAACCAGAATTTTTGGTCACTTGTAATTTGTAACCATCCTCTTGGATAGTTGTGAGACTCCCAAGTCCACTATATTTATACATATATACATATATATATATATACCTTAATTGCAGATATTTTCGATTTCAATTTCTATCTCAGATTATATTCTAGATATTGTAATATCAATGTCATTGTCGGACATCTAGTAAAAAGAGCCACTCAGCCAATATAGAAAATGGATTCCACTTTTTGATACAAGGAAAGAAAAAGTAACACGAATGTTGTCAATAATTAAATACTTCATTTACGGAAAAAACATGCAAAAAAAATCATAATATTCATAGATGTTTGGAGTCGTGTAGGGCTTTGAAACTGTGTGATCGTTTAGGGATCTTTCTGGATAGGGGTGTCATATCTCAAAAATCAATAAACGATTATCGACACTTAAAGTATTTTGTTTATTTATTTTAAAATGATTAAATGACCATGTAGGTTTGAAAGTGGCGTAGTTGGGGGACTATTTTGGACCATTGTATCAAGTTGACTCATATGGGTGTCGCACCACCATGAATTATGGGCATCAAACAAATGAAAGAGATGCGAACCAACCCGTGACTCACACAACCCTATTTTCTTTTTTCAATTAAATTCTATATTTTATTTACCATTTATTAATCCTAAATTATGATTTTATTTTTATATGATTTATTAATAACTATAAAGGTACTCGTATAATACAACGAAATACATCTTTATTTTAATGTTTTGTTTTATTCCGTCACCGGTTGATGACATAATACAGTTTTACGTGGTTTTGAGAAAAATGATAAATTTTTTATTTTCGAATAAAATATAAATTTGAAGATATTTTAATTTTTTTTTAATATATAAATATTAGTAACAAATTAAATTTTTAAAAGTTCTTGTTGTGTTGTGTAATTTATTTAATTAAAATATTTTTATTATAATTCAATTTTTAATAACGAAGTAATTTTTTTTAATTTAATAATATATTTTTTTATAAAAATAATAATTAAGTAAATAGTTATAACACAGTGATTATCCTAATTATATTTTAGATTTTTTATATTTAAAATCAAACGTTTATCCAATATTTGATCATGTTTATCTGCAGTTAGTTACACGAATTCAAGCATGAAACTTTAATAAATTGCACTTATGCATTACTTACTTGTAATCTTGAATTTTAAGTAATATGCATCAATAAATAATACTTTATGTATAAAAAATGGGTTTTAAGAGTTTTTTTCAAATACTTTATAATATAGTATAAATTTCGATTTTCAATTTTCATGGTTTAAAAAGTGTCGTTTTAGTTCCTACAGTTTACAATCTATTGCTAATTTAAGTACAAGGAACCAAAATAATAAAGAACTGTAAATCATAAGGACCGAAACAACAATAAATTATAAACTATAAGAACAAAAATAATAATGAATTACGAAACATAGGGACAAGAATCACAATTTTCAAATCATAAAGATGAAATTGTAATCTTTAACAAACGATAGAGACGAAAACGTAACTTACTCTCTATACCATATTTTAATCGTACAACTTGTATACATAAAATACTGAAATCATATAAATATAAGTAAGACTCTGATTTCGATGATGGTAACGACAAAAGTGTTATTATTTTGGTATCCACAAGATCCAAAAAAGAAATTGATAAAAAACTAATAAATCAAACTGTAAATAATGCTAAGAAAAATAATGAATTGGTTGACCTAAATCTAAATGCGAGGGGCATAAAGGGAATAATAATTGGAGTGTGTAATGTATGTTCATGTGGATGTCAATTGGTTGCCATCGGAAAAGTCCAAAGAGGGTTGTCCTACACACAACAATAATTCAAGTATATAGACCCGAGGTGGGACCCAAATTTCTGGTATTTTTACCACTGGTTTATTTTTAACGTTATTTCATATTTTTATAAACTTAGATCGTTAGTGTTTACAAATCATCCAGAACAGAAAAAGGGTAAAACCTAAAGTTTGAATAATTTAAGAATTGCTAAAATTTATTAATTAAGAGGGTTGAAGACCCAATCGGTCTTGAATAGTAAACTTCAGACTATTATCATATCAGGTCGTTGTTTCTTTCGTTTCGAAAGGACGATATCTTGCTTGTAGTTGTTGTGTACTCAACGACGGACGATTCCCTTGGGTACAATTATGAAATTGCTGATTAAGAATTTGCTCGAAATTGGGTGATAAAAGTTGCCCCTGTATTAACTCTTTCATTCGTGGCCACTCCGTTATGGGACGCCTTCCCGTTCGTCGGCGTTGGTCTTGCATGTTTTCCCACCAAGCGTCGGCTCCGCCGCAAAGTTTGTACGCGACAATCTTCACGTGTTGTTGATCGGTATGTCCATGATGTCGAAAAATTTATCGACTTCATAAAGCCAATCTAGCACCGCCTTGAGATCGAGGTTTCCGTGAAAGTTTGGAATCTCGGCTTTGATGCAGTAGCCTTCATGAATTCGGTTTGGTCTTCTTTGGTATGATCGTTTTTCAAAATCTTCTTCCTTTTCTTCAATGGAAAAGACTTCGAATTGATCCAGTCTCCCATTATCTACTAGATTATAATTTGTTGATGTGTTGAGTGATGTGCTGAGTGATGGTATTATTTGTTGACATGGATATAATAATCTAAAATTAGTTTTTATGTATTGTGGTTCATTAGAAGAAAGAGCTAATGCTTCAACCGATTACCTGGTTACTTAAAGGTTTAAAATTTTATATTTTAATTACCAAAATAAAAATTTTAAAAGTACGTTACCTAAAATAAAAATTAAATTAAAATACGTTATTTTTCGTACAATTTATCCAAAATATAAAGGGAATTTAGTCCAACATAAGGAATATTATACATTATATTTCCAAAAGATTTTTAATGATCGGGAATATAATAACTTTTTACTGTTTTTATTTATCAAAAATGAAGTTTTATTAATCAATAAAATAATAATTTTTATTGTTTTATTTATCAAAAATGAAGTTTTATTAATTATTAAGTTTACATTTTGTTTTTTTAAGAGGTGTTGAAGTCTTATTTCACTTCTAATTAATAAGAGGTGGTGCTGAAGTCTTAAAATCTGAATCAATAAGATTGTTTGTTTTTGTTAACTGATACATGTCTGAATTTATTTAAATTGTCTATTTTATCCATTAGAAAATTATAATATTAAATTTATAGATAGATTTATACAATTTCACATATTTATTTATCATTATTACAAAATTTACATCTAAATTATATAATTAACATTGATTTAAATGAAAATATGTCATTAACGTTATTTAAAACGTTTAAATCTAATTAAAATAGATCAATTGAGACATGTTAGGATCAATTTGGTAAGGATCGATTGAGAGAAATGATCGATTTAGTTTAATCGATTGAGAAACGTCGTTGCTAAGAACTTGAAGAACAATAAGAGACACATAAAAAATTGGTTTACCTCTTATCAGATAAGAGATGAACAAGATAAAAATGCCTCTGAAAAATTGGAAAAAAACAAACCGTCACTAATCAGACATAAGGGACTAATAAAAGTTTTTTTTTTTGAAAAAAAAGCCTAAATATATATATATATATATATATATATTTATTTATTTATTTATTTATTAACCTGAATATTCAACCCGCTATGCGAGCCGACTAATATCAGAACGACCACCTACTTTGTAAATAGCTCGCAGTAACCGCATTGAATCTTTAATTACATTTAAAAAGATTAATGTCATTCAAGATGATCCATCATTCAAGTCTAACTAAAATACAACGCATAGGAAAAACTTTTGAATTTTTCTATTACATCTTGGAGTTTAGTATTTTAGTTATCATTGCCGGTAAGCAACGATAACAAATGATAATTTTTGGAAGAATCGTATGAAAAAATAATATATTTTAAAAAATAATGTATTTTAACTTGATTTTTATTTTGGATAATGTATTTTCAAAACTTCACTTTAGTATCTAAGATGTAAAATTTTAAATAATTAAGCATTCAGATAACCGGTTAAAAACTAATTTTAGATTAAAAAAAGACTAATTTTAGATTAAAAAAACTTCATGTCACTAACCATGTCAGCAAATACTACTGAGTTGGATACCACATCACTCGCCACATCAACCAGTTACCTGAGTACTTAAACGTTTAAAACTTTACATCTTAGGTACCAAAATGAAAGTTTGAAAAGTAAGTTACATGAAATATGAATCAAGTTAAAGTACGTTACTTTTTTCATGCAATCTGCCCATAACTTTTTAAAAATTTGTGCAAGTATACCACTCTAGAATCGTTTCAAGGGCTGATTTGCTTGATTTTTTTTGTGTGTGAATTTAAGTATATAAGTTTATTTAATTCAGATATCAAACAAGCTACTAAGAAAAAACTAATACGGTAAAAATCATGTTGTACGAAATCAAGAACCTCAATCTATCAAGTAAAGCAAAAAAAGAAAAATTAAATACAGGACTGGAGTTAACAGAAGAAAAGAAGTTTTATTATACCGGAAAAAAACAACAGATTACACTAGCTTCAGATGATGATAAATTAGTTCAGACTATTTTCTCCATAATTTTATATATAACATTTATTAAAAGATATATTTATAGATCCGTATAACTAAAAAATTTATATCCTAAAAATTTGCAGAAAAGGAAAAATTCAAAGTATATTATCTGAACAAATCAGATGGCTGAATAGAAGTAATTATTAAGAATAAAAAAATGCATTGAACGTGGAGCGGTAATGATAGTAAATATTCGAGACGCACTCATGAAAGACCAAATCACATCCTTGGAGAACCGGAACGAATCGACCGCCATACGCTGTTAACCCATTGTGAGGTCACCATTCTCCATGCGTCTTTTCATCCTTTTTTTTATTCTTATTATTTTCAAAATTCCATTACCTTTTGCATGATGGCCCTATTAATAAATATTATATATATATATATATAGTTAAAACTATATATATAATATTTATTTTAAAAAGATAACGTTTAATAAACGGGTATTTTACCGTCATATTCAAAATTTCCGAAAACAAAATGAAAGTATAAGATGCTTTAATCAAATGTTATGCTAATGAATTACGAGTTTCATTTTGAGGGGGTGGAATGTCACATTCCAACAAATGGAAGCATAGGGTGCCAAAGTGCAAAGTAACATGCTTCAAATACAACTTGTGTTTGTCAAAACAATGGTTGTAATTCTTCTGCTAGGCTTCAGATCAATTAAGAAAATAGATATACAGTTTGTGTAAGTAACATCAAGAGTGTGACTTCAACGGTATCAGATTGGCGGCGACTTTAAGGTCGTGTGCGAGTTGTGACGTGCAGCGTCTGTGTTATTGGAAAAAGAAATATAAGGTGAGAGAGATGATATAAATTAAGGGTATATTTGCATTCTTTTATGTGGTTTTAGTTGATAATCAAACTGTTGATGTAGAATCCATGATGAACACAGAAGTGAAGGAGAATGGAGAGATTGAAAGAGATAAGAGATCAGAGGATATGGAACAAGACAAGAAGGATGATGGTGACCGTCATCTTGAGGGTTCAAGGAGGCTGCAACCATGGACACAGCAGATTACGGTTCGTGGGGTTGTGGCAAGTGTTATTATCGGGAGCATTTATAGTATTATAGCCATGAAACTGAATCTTACGACTGGGATGACGCCTAATATGAACGTATCAGCTGCACTTCTTGCTTTTGTGTTCATGAGGAGTTGGACGAAGATGCTCCAAAAGTCTGGGGTTGCCTCTGCTCCATTTACAAGGCATGAAAATACCATGATTCAGACATGTTCAGTTGCCTGTTACAGCATCGCCATTGGAGGTTTTTAACCTTCTCAAACCTTAATGTTATCTTCTTCTTTTATGGTATCTGCTTCGTTAGTAAGCTAAGTTTTCTCTCAAGTCATTATGAACAATTAGACCCATGTTCTTCAAAAGCTGTTAGTTTGTTCTTGTTTTGATGGTTATGGGTGTACAAAAAACTCTCAATCCGCGAAACCTGCCTAACCCAACCCAATTAAACCCAACCCGTCTAACCGTCAAACTGTTAACCCGCCAATTAAGAGAGTTGAAATTGGATTGGGCCTAGCTCAAACTGTCCAACCACAGCTAATATATAATTTTTAAAAATTTATATGTATGTATATATGTTAATAATGTATACTTTTATATAATTTTTATTGATATAATGTTTGTATTTTATTTTATCTAAACGTATAGGTTACCAAAAGAGATTCACGATCAAAGAATGATGACAAATAATCTAATTAATAAGAGAAAAATTTTCTTGAATTTTTTTTGCAGCAATAATAAATTGATGTGTCAGAGAATATGAATGATATTGATATATATATTTGGTTGACGAATCCATCCATCTAAATACTCCGTCATTTTATGTTGTACTTTAGTGGAAAGAAAATGTTTAGTTATAGCATTTCGCTATAACAACATTAGATCTTATAGAATGTCTAAGCGTCCTAATATGATACTTTATAGGACGAAACAAGAAAAATGTCTTATCTGAAAGAGTTACAATATGTTTATAGGATAATTTTGGGCGTCTTAACAAATTTTATGACGCTTTTAAAATAAAGTGTCGTATTAGTTATTTTGTACGACACGACTTGAAAAATTGTCATATGAACATAGGCGTCTTATAGATAGATGAGTTTACGGGACACTTCTCAAAATATTTCTATAAAATAACTAATACGACATTTTATTTAACAATCATTCTAAAACACTTGTTGAAACGTCCAAAAATGTCCTATAAATCTATTGTAGCTTTTTTAGATATGACACTTTATAGTATGGTATATAAACTTAAGTTTTATGAATTATTTCATTCGTCAAATTTATGTAACTATGAACCCACCAACCCAACCCGCCTCAACCCGCAAGGATTGGGTTGGGTTATACTTTTAAATGGGTTGGGTTGGGTTGAGATTTTTCCAAACCGCCATAATTGGGTTGGGGTTGTAAAAATGTTGTAAACAACTCAACCCAACCCGCATACACCCTTATTGATAGTACTTGTTTCTTAAGAATTTCTCAAGTATTTTACCATTACTTATGGGGTTTTGGTGATGATCATATAGGTGGATATGGGTCTTATTTACTGGGATTGAACAAGAAAACTTATGAGTTGGCAGGAGGAGCAAATTCTCCAGGGACATACAAAGAACCTGGTGTTGGCTGGATGATGGGCTACTCATTCTTGGTCTGCTTTATCGGTCTTTTTGTACTGATTCCACTCCGAAAGGTACATTAAGCTTCTCTCTTTGCCTGTCTGATTACATGCTCACAATTTCTTTTAATTATCTTTCAATACTATCATCTCAGAATGAATGGTATTTCAAGAGTGCTTAATAGAGTTTCATTTGGCTTTCCACAGGTTTTGATTGTTGACTATAAGTTGGTATTTCCAAGTGGGATGGCAACCGCGGTTCTTATTAACGGATTCCATAGTCAGGGAGACGATATGGCAAAGTACTTGAATCAAACTTTTTAAATCCCTATTACGCACCAACACGTGATAATGTCAAAACTCACGAGCGTTCTTTGAATTTCTTTGCTGTTTGTAGGAAGCAAGTGAAGGGGTTTGCAAAGTACTTTTCAGCAAGTTTTTTGTGGGGATTTTTTCAGTGGTTCTTTACAGGAAAGGAAGAAGAATGTGGATTTGTTCAGTTTCCTACCTTTGGATTGAAAGCTTGGAAGAACACGTATGACTGTGTTTCATCACTCCTTGTAAAGCCCCCACCGATACTTCTTGATTCTGATCGATGACTGTGAATTTGGTTGTAGGTTTTACTTTGACTTTAGCATGACTTATGTGGGGACTGGGATGATTTGCCCTCACATTGTGAACTTGTCATTGCTGTTCGGAGCTGTGGTCTCGTGGGGGATAATGTGGCCCCTAATCGAAAAGAACAAGGGAGACTGGTTCCCTACTGGTTTGCCTGAAAGCAGCATGAAAAGTCTCAATGGTTACAAGGTGATGCTGGTTCAATATTTTATCTTCCCCCCTCTATTAAACACATTTGATTGCTATTTCTGTGCTCATCTCAGGTCAATGTTTCTTGGATTGGCAGGCCTTTATTTCTATTGCTCTAATCCTAGGTGATGGGCTATACAACTTCGTCAAGATACTATGTATCACATCTATGAGCGTGCATGGAAGATTCAAGACCAAAAATCTTAATCCAGGTTGTTAAGACAGCCTAGACTCGTTAAGTTTGTGTTTTTTTTTTGTCTGCTTAGTTACCTGAATATACCTTGTTTTCATTACAGTAGCTATCGAGAAGAAGGTTAACGAAGAGGAGCTAAAACAAAATGAGGTTTTCATCAGAGAAACTATACCCATGTCTATTGGAGCAATTGGATATATTATCTTTGCTATTATCGCTGTAATCGCTATACCTTACATGTTTCCCGAGGTCAAATGGTACTATGTGATTATTGCCTACATTTTTGCTCCTTCTTTGGCCTTCTGTAATGCTTATGGAGCTGGGCTGACTGACTTTAACATGGCGTATAATTATGGGAAAATTGGGCTTTTCATGATGGCAGCAATGGCTGGAAAAGAGCAAGGAGTGGTGGCCGGAATGGCTGGTTGTGGGCTGGTGAAGTCAGTTGTCTCAGTTTCTTGCATACTGATGCATGACCTGAAAACAGGCCAGCTCACTTTGACTTCTCCTAGAACTATGCTTCTTAGTCAGGCCATTGGCACTGCCATAGGCTGCATTGTGTCACCTTTGAGCTTCTTTCTCTTCTACAAGGCGTTTGATATCGGAAATCCTGATGGAGAATACAAGGCACCTTACGCAATAATTTACAGAAACTTGGCGATTCTTGGGGTCCAAGGGTTTTCCGCTTTGCCTAAGCATTGTTTAGAATTGTGTTACGGTTTCTTTGCCTTTGCTGTGGCAATCAACATGATCAAAGATATATTACCCAAAAAGATAGGCAAGTGGATGCCATTGCCAATATGCATGGCTGTTCCTTTTCTGGTTGGCGGCTATTTTGCTATTGATATGTGCATAGGAAGTTTGGTTGTGTTCATATGGCAAAAGGTTAATGCTAAGAAGGCTGATTCTATGGTTCCTGCGGTGGCTTCGGGTTTGATCTGTGGTGAAGGTATGTGGACACTACCCGCCTCGGTTCTTGCTTTGGCCAAAATAAATCCCCCAATCTGTATGAAGTTCTTAACCTCTTAAATTACAACTAAATTTTGTGATTAGTTTTGGAAAGATGCAATAATACAATCAACCATAGTTGCTGTGTCAAGAAGAGCTTTGGTTGCTCTCCATAATAGTCAGTTGACGTCGTTAGCCCATATGATTCAGGAATAGTCTATCATCATATCAATTATTTCAAATATCTTGTGCCATCTCTGTAACGGGTTCATGGTTCCGTCTAGTACATTTATAATTCACAGATCAAAGTGACCTGATGAAAGGGTGGGATGCCAAGTTAACATTATTGTTTCAGTCAGACACAAATCTATTTGTAGCAACACGACTATGCAATACAAAGTGGCAACAAATATATAGTCATGCATTTCTGTTGCCCAAGTGGTATCACCAATCCTATTTGTTAGCAGCTTAATGAGCTTAATGGAACTCACAGCTTATCAGTCAGCTACATATGGTTGTTTGGTAGTGGCTTAATAATTCCATCTATGAAAAAACCACCCCAAAAACAAACTTTCCCAATCTATACATATAGATTAATCCACACATACATCTTTATCCATACATGACTTAATGGAAAACTAACCAAACAACCCATAAGTAATGCACTTTTTATTCATTGTTCACCCCTCACACATGAAGTTAAGAGGTCATAATATTCACCAGCAGCTCACACATAGATATGGAAGAGGGGAAAAAGTATGTTGGGTGAACTTTATTCTATAACGATTGAATCATATACAAGAATCTTACAAGCAAGACCTAATCCTAACAAGTCATTTAAGACTGAATAAAAAAAATCATTTGCAATACAAACAAAACTCTATCCAGTTATTATGCCAGCTAGAACATCAGTCTTACCCCGTGCAAATATTGTGTAAACTAGCTGAATAGCATCAAGCCACGTGTCCAAATATTCCCATGAATCTGCAATCTGAGAAAAGAAAGCAGAACATAAAACTAAACATGTATACTTATCAGTATACAGCAAAAAGAAAATTACAAAAGTTTTCATTAAGCCTTCCTTCCAACAGAACATGAAAATATACGGAGTAGTAGATGTATATTTACATAATCGGCAAGAAGCACGTAAGATAAAGGTTAACAGGGTACATCTGTTAGATTGATATTTTTTGTGAAAACCACCATATATCCTAGGTTGCAGTCAACTCATCAATTTTCAGAAATTGTCAAACACAAAAACCTAGGAATTAAATGATGAATCCAATCATTGTTTGGTACATATTTCCAATACCTATGCATGTCCTGGAACCCTATGGATTTCAACTATTGATGATTTCTTTTGGGTTCTATTTAGAACTTGCCTATTCTAGTTTGGGATAAAAAGGTTGTTGATGTTGAATGTGGTAGCATGCTGACTAGTTTGACATTGAAAATTGTTAGAAACATAGAATCACTACATAAGAACCCTATCACCTAGTAAAATTAACTCATCATCAAAACTTTACTTGGACAATGATAAATTACAATTGAATGAATACTAATGACGGGTCATGTTTAGGAGAAAACCGTAACAAAATAAAAAACTGAGGAACACCTTGGTAACCATTCATTTAGACGGTATGCTTTTGTGCATATAAATAATTTTAAGCAATTTGTCCGGTACGCATATGTGCACAACATGCACACATGCAAAAAACCAAAAAACAACTTCAATTACTTGTATACATATGTGCATACCGTCCAAATGAATAGTTACAAGGGTGTTCATCAATTTTTCATTTTTTGGGAGGTTTTCCCCTGAACCTCCCTCTATTAATGATTTCCTTATTATGGTGTAAGAAAAAACTAAATCATGAACTTGATTCTTTGCTTTCAGTTTTTCTGCTGGTACTCATTACCACAAAAAGTTAAGTAACTAGTGCACCGCCACATGGTAATTCATATTATGGTTAGGGAGTGGATCTTTACCAAGTATCATTAAACCACTCTTACTGTTGTCACTACATCTCCATCTTCAAAAAGACTGAACGAATATGATAATACTAAATATATAGCGGGTAGTATCAATCATAATTAGCAAGAGAGGAGCCGGGAGTTACCAAGAATATTGGTCCACGAATCGTATCAATGAAGATGGAAGGACCAGGTGGTAAAGTCAGATCTGAGCATGTTGTTACTGATACAACGTCTGGAATATCAACTCTAATAGCTGGTCTGACGTTAGTTGTTTTATCTCCAGATATGGAGGGAATACCCTTTGCCATCTGTTTTTGCTCATCATCATGGATCTACGATAATTGAAAGCTAAATCATTATGTGACGTGTGATCGCATTGAACATTATCAGAAACATGAAATTTTCCAAAAATCATCGCAACGGTTTCTACCCCACTTCCCTCCTTCGCTAGCACTAGTAACCAGAATTCAGCGAGGTTAATATGGCGACCCAATAGATTTACATTTCTAACAACCGATCCTCCTTTCTTGAAAAGATGTGAAAAAGGTAATGTTTCTCATATAAGGCTTGTAGTGTAAATTGTGTACACATGCATATATAGATGTGAAATTGTACACTATCCACCTATTCGAGGACATGTGAAGATCAAAATCATACCTGTACAAGTCCTTCATGATTCAAAACAAATTGAAAGCGTTTCCAATCGCTATGTGGGGCAACTGGATTTAGCACCGGTGGCGTTGTAAGATATCCAACCTTTAAAAAGGGTAAAGGAAGCTGCAAAGCAAAGTAGCCAATAGAAATATGAAAAGAACTTTTTAAGCTATTGAGATTGGAAAGGACAAAGCAAAATAATAAAAGGGATTCCCCTTTGGTTTGGTAAGTGGGCAAGGAAACATTCCACGATTATGAATATCCCATCTTTTCTACTTCTTCTCATCAGATAGGTTTTCATCTCGGTTGTGATTGGAATACACTTTACCAACAATGGTGGTAGTGCACAAAAGAGATTCACAAAAAAAGGCTTTCAATTGACTCATTAAAATTCAGTTGAAAGTACAACTAATAAATGAAATAACAATAGGTGACTTGTTTATGAATGTTGATTATCACCAATCATCATTCTCCGATCAAGTTTGTAAATATAAGATGGAATAGAAACTATAGATCGTAATATATACTGACCATGGACCGCACAAGATTCAAGGCACTGCTGTAAACCTGCAATTGATAAAACCTCTAGATTACATTTAAATCATGCACAGATAGTAGGTACACATACTTCCTCTAAGAAAGACACGGGAAAGATTATTACGACAAATATTTACTTCTTATACAGTTTTTTGCAACCTGTTTCTATTTATTTACCATTATATAAACTTGATACTTCAACTTAATTTGAGTACATTTGAACAGTTGTGCCTACTTGAATCAATTACCACTTTCTACTAGTAAAAGTTTTTCAAAGCAAAATAATGCATTTATATCATTGTCAGGGAAGCTTCAGATTATTTTGAAACTCTAGATGACAATAGAGGAATAAAAGATACTAACTGAGTAATTTGGTTTCAAAGCATGAGCAGCAGCAATATAGATAGCACATTGACTGTATAATTCACTGGAGGAAACCGCGTGCCCAACAACTGGTACTCCAGTTCTTGATGTGTCTTCTGCTAATCCATACTACAGAAGCAAGATTAATGATAAGCTCATTTCAGATTTGCAAAGGAGTATACAACATTGTCCTATCCATATAAGCAAACAAGATACTGTAAACTGACCAGAACAGTGCCGAGGTTGTAAATTGCTCTATGGAAATCAAATTGCAACTGTATTGCTGCACGAAACTTCACAGAAAACAAAGGTCATTAGGAGACCATGCATGATGAAAGATTATAAGATCCAGCAGAACTACAATAACAAGGCAAGGCGACACTCTTTTTGCCCAAATGATAATATTTGATACCTTACTGATTGCACTTCTTACTATTGTCTGTTTTTCTCGTGCAGGAACAATTGTACTCAATTCCTGCAACACCCATTCTTGATGTTAATATATCAAATGTTTAGGAAATATATGAGAAGATTTTAAATCAGAGAACATATCATATTTCCAGACAAGTGTTTGCAGGTAGAAGCACCTGTAAAGCAAGTCCCCAGTTGTTGAGAGCCTGAAAATGCATTGTGTCACAAAGTCATAAGCAAGGAGCAAGTATTGCACTATATCTTTGCAAGTAAATATGACAGAAAGCATCAATGCATCACCAAATGACAAGCAAGTGATTAAATACACAAAGCTATATGATACAAAGGTAAACATGTTCCATGGTTACCTGGGGACTGTTCCAATTTAGTTGAACGGCTTTTTCATACTTCTTTGTTGCCTGCAAGATCAAGAGAAGAAAATATGCATTGCTTCCACTTTCAAGTTTTCATATATTGTCTACGATAAAAGTGCAACTGTGGAACTTATAGCATCAGAAAAAAGTGTGGTTTGGAGGCCTAACCTGCTTCCATAGTTCTTCAGCTTCCTTTGTACGGCCATGCAATTTGGCTCTATCAGATATGGCAATAGCCCAGTTATAATAAGCCTGCAGTTGGACAACAGGTAAATACTGGCACATGATAAGAAGGAAAGTGTAATCATAATCATATCATCATCAAGGGTCGTCCTAGGGAATGTGAGAAAAAGTAAATCAAATAATAATGAATAACGTTCAATATATGGTGAACTTTCCTAATGAAGCATGATTTTTCAATCAAATGTCAATTAAACAACACACCTATCCTTGCTATAACTTACAAGGACCAGAATACTTGAAACTCATGACATTCCAGTGCCCACACACATTCCATATACACAATTGGACACAACCATGCAGCATTGAGGAGAAAATTAGTTCATTTATGGATACACATAAAACACCTAACTAAGTTTTGGAGTAAAAAAGTTTTATAAAACTTGGTGGAAAAAAATGTGTATGAGGAGAGACAATCTTTCATGAGAGAGGGACGAGCGAGTGAGAGATTTGGAAAAAAAAAAAAGATTACATGCTAGAGGTGTAATTACATTAAGATCAATTTAATACTAAGGATAGAGATGCATACATCATGAAGTGCAGGGTTCAAACGGGTAGCCTCATCATACTTTTTGCAAGCTTCTTCAAGCAAAGAATCTTTGGATGGTGAATTAGTATCTGAATTAACATTATCTGCACTTTCCTGTAGATGGAACCGGAATATGAGAATAGTTGAATAATCGAGGTCTTGATACCATGTACCAAAACCTATAGATACTCATATCCCGTTTAAGAGTGAAAGGATAATATAGGAGGTGGTAACAAGATAGTTTCAACACATGAACTATATGCTGCCATAAGTGACGGAAGAAAAAAGTTGGTCATTCTATATAGTTTTTCTTTTCTAATCAACATAACCTCCAAGAATGGATCGTACAGAATAAATTCTTTTTGAAGTTCAACAAGAATCTCAATATAATCACATGATGAACATTATAATGCACTTGTAATTATTGCAAACGCGTAGTTCAGCTAAACTGGCTACTTGAAAACGACAACTTATTTAGCTGCAGAAGTACACAGAAATAGACCTGAAGAACCAGTGCCCAATTATAAAGCGCATCATAATCATCTGGATTTCTCTCTATTGCACTAGCATACCTGAAATAAATACAAGTTGCTAGTAATCATACAAAAGTAAGGGATCAAACACTAAAGAGCCCAAATGAATATCTTTATATGAGAAACACACACATGCACACAAAGAGAAGTGTTATGGAAATAACAAGAAAAAAGAAATAATATCCTTTAGATTAGATAATTATAAAGATATGATTCTCTCAAACCATGTTCAACTAGATATTTATTGTAGGTATAATGTACACTACAGATTTGGATTTTTAGTTCAACCCTTATCGTACTCTACAAGATGTATGGTGATTGTTAGATTTATATTTCATGAAATGTAAGTAAGAAGTCTCTTGCTCTAGTCAAGAGGACTTAGTCTAAGAAGCAGCCGGGAACAAGAGCTCGGATGCAGAGATCGCGCTGATTGAGAGATACTCGGACACAGAAGGTGTCCCTCGCATATAGAGCCCGTGCCAAGTAAAGGAAGATCAAGTCGTAGCATCGAAAAGCTTAAAGACTTGATGCAGAGCCTCATTCCAGACATAGAGCCTCTTCACTATACATGCAGAACCTCTGGGTCTCTTTCACCCTTAGCTGGCGCACAAAGTTTTCGGCACATATCACAAGTGTTTCAATCAGAGACCGACATGTGTAAGAAACGGTTCCAACTTTCAAGGATCGTGAAGGCTAATGATTCTGGATGAGTTAACAGAGTTTCAAGCCTAAATTATCGAAAATTCTGTTTTGATGGCATATAAAAGAATGTTTTCTCTAAGGAAACATATATTCTGAGAATTGCCAAATTTGAAGACGCTCCTGCTAGAGAATACACTTATGAGATTTGGATAGTTGTTGAAAGTTTTTTTGTAAGTTTCTTTAATTAATCAAAAAAGCCGACTTGTTCCACACTTAAATTTCATTTGTGTTCTTGTAACGGACCTATAGTTTGTTCGAGACGAGAAACATTTGTCATTGACTCAGCTCTCAATACTGCAATGGATGAGGAACTTCATCCAGAGCAGGTGCAGAGGTTGATGACTTTGCATGGGCCATGTTGAGTTTTAGCTCTTCCAAGGATCACAGCACAGAGGTGGCGAAAGTTTGGAACTCAACACTAGAAATGAACAAAATACAAATGAAATTAAAATGTTAAACAAGTCAGTTGTGTTGATTAATTAAAGAAAGTTACAAGAAAACTGTCAACAACTATCTAAATCTCACAAGTGTATTTTCTCTAGTAGGAGCGTCTTCAAATTTGGCAATTATCAGAACATATGTTTCCTTAGAGGAAACATTCTTTTATATGCCATCGAAACAGAATCTTCGAAAACTTGGGCTTAAAACTCTGTTAACGCATCCAAAATCATTAGCCTTCACGATCCTTGAAAGTTGGAATCGTTTTCGTACACGTGTTGGTCTCTGATTGGAACACTTGTGATATGCGCCGGAAACTTTGTGCGCCAGCTAAGGATGAAAGTGACCCAGAGGTTCTACATGTATAGTGTAGAGGCTCTGCATCAAGTCTTCAAACTTTTCGACACTACGGCTTGATCTTCCTTTGCTTGGCACGGGTTTTGTATGCGAGGGACACCTTCTGTGTCCGAGTATCTCTCAGTCAACACGGTCTCCATCTGAGCTCTATATACGAACTCCGCATCCGAGCTCTTGTTCCCGTCTGCTTCCTAGACTAAGTTCTATTGACTAGAGCAAGAGGCTTCTTATTTACACTTCATGAAATATAAATCTAATCCTATAGGCTTCTTTGAGCTGGATATGATCATATGGCAATTGCAAAGACTTGTTTGTTAATGTGAAAACCAATCAAAAGTGGAAGATATGTATACGTCTCCAAATATATATGCATGTCTCCACATATATATGTATGTATCTGTGTTAGTATAATTGATGTGTGTTTGGCAAAACGAGGAACAGAGAGATGGGCAGGGAGATCAATTCATGCATAACTACAATAGATCGTTACAGTTAATACCGAGTATATAGTCCCATATTCATATCTGACTCCCACATCAAGGATATTGTTTAGTGCCAATAACGGATATAGTGTCTGGTTGTAGTTCAATTGGAGGTAAACTTTACTAGCAAGCATCATTGAAAAGTACAAATGCTTATTAGCCAACACAATGGCTGTTTGAAATAAATAAATAAGTAAATAAGAGAAGTGGGAGGGAGGGAGAATGGGGGAGAAAATTGAAATGTTTGCTGATGTATGATATAAGAAGATGGAGAACTAAATACCCATTGTAAGATTGAATATAGTTACCAGCTTAGCTTCTAAAGAGTAAAGTACATATAACACAACTATACCTCTTTGCAGCAAACTTAAGCATTCGATGCCTTGACTGTCCTTCATCAGATCCCCCGATATTGTTGATCAAGGCCATGGCAACACTGCTTTGTTCTCTATGATGTTTGATTTCTTTACTGAAGCAGGTTGAGTGCATGAAAAAGAGAAGATGATCAATCAATTTGAATTCTTGCTCAAGAGAAATATATCTACCAATACAAGAGGCAAAGAGGGCAAAACTTTCCCAAAAATAGAGCAGGACATATGTTGATTCACAAATTACAGATAGTTAACAGAGCTGTTTTTTATGGAAGAAAGAAGCCTCAATAAGTTTGATCCACAGTAACAAAAATGCAAAATGATTTTAAATTGGAAAAAGGCCAAGAGAAACACGCACCAAAACAATAACAGTGCTAAGAACACAAGTCCGTAAAATGATCTTCTTTTTACTTGCTTCCTTCTTAAGTCTCCACAAGCTTTTGAGCAATAACGAGGATAACCTACATGAGGGTGGCAAAGCTTAAAATAAAACCGAACCCCAACAAAGGATGTCACAAGTGATTAGAGTTCTCAGTGGTTGGTAGCACGACTACATACGATGGTCATAGTTGCACGAAGAAAATTCTTGTGGGCTTTCTTAATGACAGCTTCTAGATATTCTATGGCTCATCAAATCCCATAGATTGATCTTCACCTCCAATATATATATATCTTCAAGAAGTTTAGGATTCTAAAGTTCAAGTAGGAGGATGCACATATCATTACTAGTCAAGGCAAGACGTGATTCACCATTTTCTCCTTGCCATAGGGGTGGCACATATTGATAAGGAAAAAGAAAACTAATCATAGCTGGCGTATGTGGATAGACTATTAAGTCTAACTTTTAAGGTGAATACAAGAATGCTGGAGATTAAAAATAGTTACCTAGAGCAGCACAAGAATCATTCTTTTCTAATTTACACGTTTTGTCTATGAAACTTTCTGCTTTTGTTATTTGTAATGGACCTACACAACCATACTTTATATCGCTAAACCATGCTCATCCACCATACATCTCCCTCTAAATACCATTGCGTATTCCCCATAAGACCATAATTAATCAGATCTCAGCCCTAACTTTCAAGAAGCAAATGATACAGGATTATCATAATCTACACTCCACCACAATTTTCTAGATGGAAAAAGACTTGTCACTACTAAAGATGATGCATTATATTTCTTTACTGCATAACCTTCGCATTGTAGAATTAAATCTGAAGATCTTAATGATCTACAACAGTTCATTTTGGATAGATTTTTTAAAATTTGAAGTCATCCGTGGACCAAATTATTGGCTTTACATTAATCATAACTCTCCCTAACCCTAAGCTCTACTCATACAACATCATAGTAATCTTTATACCATGAATACAATTATACAAACACATAATTATAACTAATAACTACTAAAACCGGAAGAACCAGTCATAATGATCAAGAATTAGGTTTTTACGATTGATTATAACACAAAAATTTCTTTGTAGTCGGAAATTACAACCGTAAAAAATAAATCAAATTCGGCAAAAAGTCTGACCTATGGACAAGGGCGGCTGAAGATTCTCCATTCTTCAATTCACTCAACAATTCTCTCATAGTGACAATGGGTCTCCCGTGGTCTTTCTGTAGCGCAGTAATAGTTGGTTCTTTTGGGGGTTCTTGTTTATGTGTCGGATCAACAATGGTGGAATCAATATGATTAACATTGGAGAGGACGGATTGGTTGAGTTTGGAAGAGTGATCCACATTGTCGTGAGGTGATGATCCATCCATTGATTGGATGGAATCATCTTCGCCTGGATAAAATTTGGAATCTGGATTTCGTAGTTGCGACGGGTCACCATTGGTAGACATTGTTGAATCAGCAAATAGTTGATGAAAAATAAACAAAGAAACAATTGAATCTGAAAGAACGCTTTGAATCTCAGAAATCCTTTGGATTACGTTATACTCCCATTTATGGGTTTACAATAGCAGCATGTTTCAAAATCAAAATAGCAGACTTATGGAGTCTGGATGTTGTTACGTATCATGAAGCTTCCAAAATGAGTCGAAATTCCTTCTGCAGATCCAAATAGGAGGGTTATTATACAAACACATAACTATAACTAGAGTAAATTATAGATTTGGTCCCTAAAGTATATCAAATTTTATGAATTTGATCCTTTATTTTCATTTTATTACAATAGAACCCTCTACGTATGCAGCTTTTTACAGATTTTGTCCCTGATACTAACTTCGTCCACTATCTCTGTTAAGTATGAGAGCAAATTGGTCTTTTTAACAATTTTTATTTAAATTACTATTTTTTCATACCAAAAAGGACCAAATTTATAGTTTAATCAAATCTATATTGAAACGGAGATGAATGTTGAAATCCAGAACGCTAAAACCACGGGATGTTTGAAATTGCTTATTTAAAATAATTTTATGTTTTTTTAAAGTGTTTATAGATCGAAGCTTTATAATAATTGTTTTGGATTATCTTATAATGGTACCAAAAGATAATAAGCTTATAAATTGTTTTTTAGTATTTGATAAATTTTGCTTATACATATAATATAAAATGACCAAAAACGTTAATTTTTTAATATTATTGACTTTTTTGTTTTTTTAAGATGTAATGGTTTTATTTTTCATCAATTGGGGCCATTTTCTTGATTGATGAAGGCTTCTGTTGAAGCAATTGAAGTGGGTTTTGGGGATTTGGAGGTGAATCGAGAAAAGGAGTTTTGGGGATTTGGAAGTTGGATTGAATGATTCCCGGGTTGTTATTTGGGTTGTGTGGCATTGAAATTTGTTGTTCTAATGGAAGAAGATTTGAGGTTTTACGTCAAATGGGTGGATTTGAGATGGATTCAATTGCGAAAAAATCGGGGTTTTGGAGGTACGAAAGCTTGTGGTTATGACTTATGGTGGTCGCCGCCGAATATCTCTGCCTGCAACAGTGAAGCATTTTGGTTTAAACCCATCGACGGGTCTTCTACATCCCCCATGATCCACGGAGAATAGATTGTTCTTGACCAGATTCCGGCAGCACACTCTCCCAATCCTTCACTTCGCCGCATTTCTGTTCACCGCCGGCGATATCTTGAGACTTTTCCGGTAACTGAAGATGTTGATAGGTTTCAAAAACTCCCACATTGGAGCTGTTGGTTTCTTGATTTTTCTGCCCAAAGAAGAAGACAGGGTTGAAGTGAAAGTCGGAAGAAAAAAGTTAACTTTCCACATACCCCCCCCCCCCCCCCCCCCTTCTCCTATAGAAGCTGACTGCATAAGCTGCTAGCAAACATACAGTAAGTTGCATACCAACATTCTACATTGAAATGTATAAGTTTTGTATTCAGGAATAACGACATGGATATGTTGAAGAGGGCAACGAAAAGCTTGTTTATAAAGGATTAGTTTTAGGAAAAAGCCACCATCACCCGGGATGAGTGCGGGCAAAAATATCCGTAACTTATTTGAAACGAGATACAGATGCAATATCGAAAATCAACATAAACATCCCCTCACTCAACATACTAAACCAGCAGCAGACGCGACGACGCGGTGAATGGATCGGACCCAAAAGAAACAAATTTTAAAAAAAGCACCTCATGATAATCAACTCCTAAATCTTGTCATGGAGAGTTACCACCAAGTCATGTGCATCATCCAGCAGTTTCCACACATCCAGATGCCCAGCCATGCTATTACATTCCCTCAGTATTTCATCCATGCTGCTATACTTCTCTATGATTTGCTTCCTTCTCTGCAATACACAAGCCGCTATTGCGTACAGCAGCAGGTCGTCCGTTGGCGGGGCTCTCATTCTCATCCTCCCCCAAGCGGATTTCGTGATTCCTGCCCGTATGGCGGTTTGATCTGCCCACATCACTTCCCATAGGCAGAGTGTCTGTTCAAAGTTCAGCTCCCTCCTGAACAAAACCACCACCATCCTGTACACGAAGAAACAATCCTCCGCTTGCAGCTCTTCCAGGTGCCGGTAAAGATGAGAGTCCTTTCCCTTGATGATTTTCGATACTATGTTTAACTGCCGCCTTATCCCCACTTCATCCAGTCGGAAATTATGTCGTGCTTTCTTCATGAAACCCACAAAGCACCTGAAGGCTTCACTGTCGTCCTCTACCACTGAGATGATGGGAGAGAGTAGATCGCTCATTCCTTGGCAGTAACCAATCTCTGGGTCAAATAATGCGTATGCCTCAAGAATTGAAACTAAACGTGCAGCGTGGAAAATCCTGCACGCCTCCAGGTGATTGTACTCCTTTAAACACACACTCTCCGCTGACCGATGTGCCTTGATCAAAGACACTGCTGCCTGAGATGGCGTGTAGACGATCCATTCGTCGTTTGCACGGATGGCGTCCAGCCGTATAATTCGCTGCCATGTAGAGAAACTTTCAGACCTGTATGGAATTGGGTTTTTACCTCCCGTGTCACTGTCATCCTTCAGATGTCTGTTGATATCGGTTTCATCCGTGACTTTTTCAGGTGTGGGAGAGGGATGCATGTCATCAGCTTCTTCGGAAGAGTCGGAATCAGAAGACTCGCTTTCAGCACCAGTGTCACTTTTGCAAGTGATTTCACTTCCATCACCACCAGGATCTTCTGCTTGATTCTGACCAGCTGAACGATCTGCCTCAGGAGAGACAGAATTCCTGCTACTGTCAGTATTGCCTACAGCAGAAGAATCTAGGACTTGACTTCCATCTTTGCTGTCCTCGTTGCTGCTGCTTCTAGAGATATCCTTTATCTGTGTGCTCTTATCAATTCGTATGTAAGTTTGTTGGCACTGTTTCCTAAGCTTCTCATATTCTTTCCTGTAAGAAAAAAATTGAAACATAAAATTGTTAATAGAACATCTCCTTTCCTTTTTCAAAGACAAAAACACTCTAGATGGGGAAATGGCAGGTACTTGGAGTTGGAATCAGATACCTATTCTTAGTTTTAACAGCATCTCGTTCTTCTTTCGAACTTTTAAGATCATAGCTGCAAAAAAAGAAGCATGCTTTCAGATAACAAAATGAGTCTCTTGTATGCATTATAAATGCATGTGAAGTGTAGAAGCACATGTGGGTCAACTGTATAACCAAAACGGGTGCTCAGCTAGGCTAATGAACTTTTGAGTGAACTCTAAAAATTACAGAAAAATAACGAACTTTGGTGTCCATTTCGTCTATTTGAAGCTTGAGGAGCCAAACTTAGAACAACCAAAGAATTGAGTGAGGAAAAGATGACATTCCTAGGTTGATCATATTTTAGATTGAAACAAAAACCATGAACAACCAAAGCATTGAGTGAGAAAGAGATGGCATTCCTAGGTTGATCGTATTTTAGATTGAAATGAAAACCATAAAAACAAAGTGGCATCACCTAATCTGCTAGATATACAATTTATAATCCCCTAGCTTGCATATCCGAAACTCAGTTGCACGGCTTGCGCCTACTGTAAGAAAACACAAAACATATGAGGCTCCCATTCCCACATGTATACAGCAACCAGGAGTAGTGGAAATGCTCTTGTTACTCTTCACAGCAACAACAACCAGAGGTCAAAAACTGGCACCACGGCGCTTGTTCATTTATCTTACATTTTATAGTTTAATGTCTCATCAAAAGAAATACAGCTTGTAGTATCATTTAAATTTGATCTGCTCCTTGTACCAACATGAGAGATACAGCACCCTTCTTGACCTCTGAGGTACCATAATTATAGACTACCGTCCAATCCTAAAACTCACACCATAAGAGGTGAAGGATCATGTGAGAATGGAAGTTAAGGTGAAAAGCGTAATATCACTTTTAATCTCATGCCCACCCATGAATTGCGCTTTAGAAGGGAATTGATCCGGTGCATCATGGTGCACCTCATTAGCGTTGACATTCAATTAAAATTGATCCAATGGTGGAGATCTCTTCATACGCTTCTCACCGGAACCCAACCCCACCATAAGAAGGATTATATGATCCTATACATGAATATTAGCAATATGCGTAACAATCAGCCAAAACTGGTCAGTGATAAAGAACTTACCCAATTAACCCCCCTACCCATGTCATATCCCCCAGCAGCAGCATACAAGGATGAATCTTAACACAACGATGGAGAGAAGGCCTTTCTGATCTAGTCCAAGAAGATTCAATGAGAGAAATTACAACCATATAGTTCTATAAATACTATCAGTATTGAACTCTGTTTATGTCAGATGAAGCAACCTAGATCTAGTGTATATGTTATGTATTGGTTCGCTATCATTCACTTTAAAATAGGTGGCACCTGCCACATGATGACTGTTCAGCCATCCTTCAACCGTGGTTCATACAAGAGCCAACTTTGTTCAAAAGCACCAATATCTTCACTCAATTTGCTGATCCATGTTCAATGGAGAAAAATATACCTTTGTCATTTTAAGAAAATGTAGATTAGGGCTATAAAATCTAGTGATGAACCAGGCGCTTCATAGACATTTTAATGCATTTCATGTGTAGCATGTTCAGATCAGGATCAAGAAATTAATGTTTCCCCTTTAATTTGTAAAAGGAAAAATGTTAGTAGGTTGTCCTCACTCGTATATCTACACAAATGTGGAGCTCTAAAAGCTGTGCCACAAGATAATAAATGTGAGAAGAGACAGAAGGGAGATATGACAAAAATGCATAATGAATGAACTGATATTGGGAGATTGCATCCATGCATTAAGCTATTTTCTCCTAATTAAATTGTGCTTTTAGGTAACATATATAACTACGATATAATATCCACTTTTTGTAGAACCTAAATGCAACGAAAAATCAATTAGGATACAGATGCATGATAGGAAAGATTTCAACCACTTAACATCACCTGGCCTCATAAAGAAAGCTAGAGGTGTTTGGAGAACCCAACTATACGCTTCCCTATTCAAGAAAATCCATTACTTCCTTTAATCTTATTGTATATTGCTATATCTTGACTAGAAAAACCAATCACTTGCTCTATTTGCACCTTGACTTCTCATTGTTTTCAAAGAAGTAACAAATAAGTGCAAATGTGGCATCAAGAGTTGGTCTGATAGTATTACAATTGATAACAAACTGTACTTGTTAACTAGATATATGTAATAAAAATAAAACTACAAACAGCTTATCAGATTGCAGACCTAGTCAACTGAATTTTTCCTGCACCACTTGCAACCCAGTCTCCCATTGTGAACTTAGTTATTCAATAGTACAGCTCATCAAGGTTTTAAAACATTCATATATGCACTCTCTGAAGAGAAGCCTTCACTCTCGTTTGCTACACATCAACCTATGGCATGCTATGACTAAACAAGCCCATTTACAATGCAAGCACATAGTTCCTTCAGTGGGCACACGGATTTCATAATTATTTGTCTTTAGTAGCTCAACTTTCATACTGAAGAAAACAAAATAAAATTAATATAGGAAAGGAAAGTGTTAATTTGCAAGGAGACAAAGCCCAACTGTTAGTGACTAACACAATTACATACAAAGTGCTGATATAGGCAGTAATATTGCAGAAATGCATGAGCTATAAAAGGGAAATGTTACCATGCAACCAACAAAGGCCTATATAAATGTTAAGGAAACAATACTTGAAAGGGCCAATAACTGCAAACCAAGACAGTCAGGAAAAGTAGATCTCTCTAGAAGCATTTCAATGTAAAGAGTGAAAGAAAAAGAAAGAACGCCTTTATAGCACAAATAAAGAAACATCAGGCAATAAAATGCACTAATCATACAGTCTTAAGAGTAAGATGTAAAGAAGTTCATGCACCTAATGTCAATGCAAAATGCATATGTTCTGACAAGTTATAACTATACATGAAGATATGATTGGTCTTAGGTCTTAGGTACTTACACTCCAAGAAGGAACGGCCAAACTTCTGCTCTTATACTAGGATGAACACCCTGCATAAAACATATATTGCATAACATAATCAAATAACAGAAGCAACCATGAGCACACCAAAAAAGCATTTGAAAGGCATTAAAACTGAAATTTAACTAAAAGCCAAACATAAAACACATTCATGTGTGTTTACGTCAAGGTAATAACATACTCCACTTCTAGCCTTCTTCAAGAACTTCACTCCACCGTCACATAGTTTTCCATCTTCATCAAATAAACTTCTCCATTGTTTTGGCTGAAGAGCATTTTTTCTTCTCCTTCTTGACCAAGGTGATTGAAGGTGACCCCTACAGCACAATAACAAAAAAATTACCCATTATAGGAAACCACAAATCGAATGAAGTAATAAAGAACTGCAGATGGTATGAAAGACTTCAGAATCCCCTAGTGTGCAGTAATAACCAATGACAAAAGTAGTCTGGAAAGAGACAGCTTATGCGGTTCTCGTATAAGTGTAAAACTCAATGGTCTATTTTGAACTTGAAAAAGATTTTAATATTATTAGTTTAACAGAAGATTGATAAATTCGTGATGGCCCATATCGAAGAGCATTAACATTTCTTACACTCGAGTGATAGAAATAGAGCAGAGGTCAAGTATTTTGGTAAAAAAACATGTCATCGCCTTCCCCCTCCTCTCTCTTCTCTACAAGTTTACAATTATACTGAAACAATCTGCTTAAGCAAAATCTGTATACAACAAAACCGTAAGGCATTTAAGGAGAAAAAACTAATACAACTCCAAGGTGGAGCAACGAGGTTCCTCTCTAAAATCTTTAAGAGAGTCAATATAGCACCGAAGCTACAGTGTTGGAATAACTCGAAACAGTTCAGGAAAAATGACAGACTTCTTCCTATACAAGGACAAAGAAAAGGAAATAAATTATACCAGTTTGAATGATTCTTCCCCTAAAAACTTGAAGAAATTAAAGAATACAATATCTGGTTAAAGGTAGGTGTCTTGACTACAGAAGTAAAAATCCTACAACAGATCGGCTAAGCAAGTAGAGAAACAAGAGATCAGTGCACTTTTTGGAGTAAAAGATGCTAGTTCGAGATCGAGATCTGGAAAACGAAGGAAAGATGAATGAGGAACTGACCTAGTAGTAGAAATTGGTGAGGATGATGACGAGGAAGCAACGACTAATAGAACTGATCGCAAATGAATCCACGATGACGACGAGGATGACGATGTCGGAGACGACGAATTCGAAGATGATTGTGGCGACGAAGTGTGACTCCGCCGGAGTGCTCTCAATACATGTTGTTTCTGTTGTGAGGCCAACATCTTTCCTCTCTTTTTTTTTTCTAGTAAATCTATATGTATACTAACTATATCTATAACCTATGTGACCCTAGAGAATGAAATTAGGAATTTAGGGTTCTGATTGATCTAATTCGAATTGGATGCTTGATTGAAGTAATTGTAAATGTTCTCTTCTTTTTTACCTATTAGAGTAAACGAGGGTGGCGGCCACGGCGATACCAGCCATGACCGTCACGGCGATAGCTATTCCGACATTAGATGGGGAGCCATATCCACCATTAGCACCAACACCACCGCCGGTAATCCAGAAAATCGCACCAGCACCTCCGTCGATCTTTCCAACGGCACCTTGAACAAAAGCAAAACCTGTCCGACGACCATCACCACCGGAGAAGACGTCGAACATCAATGAGAAAAGCAACAGCGGCAGGAGTGAAATCAGAATCTCAACCTTACTCCTCCTCGTGGTGGTTGGGCCCAATTTCCTCCACACCATAACCTCTTTAAAACACCACCCCTGGCCCCCCCTCAACGCCCAAGTGCCCCTTTTCCCAAAGCGGGGTGTTGTTTCTGCTGTATTGATTAATTGTCAGTGCACAATACTCGAATCTATTTAAGTATCCTCATGGTAAGATGATAAATGATGATGATGATGACGACGACGAAGACGATTGCATCTCCATTTTCTCTCTCACACACACACTCACATCAGCAATCTTTGTGTGCCTTGTCGAATGGTAGTTATCAATGCTTTTCCTTTTTAACAGGCCCAAACTCTAGGCCCAACAATTCTTATATACAACCTCAATAACCGATTTTAAACCAATAAAAATTGAGATTTTTGGTTTGTTTTTTATTCCACATATTTTATATTGAAAAATTAAATAGAAAAAGTATAAGAGAGATTAAAAATCTTTTTAATAATTAACTTGATATTGATATCGATATCGATATATTTTTTTTAATTTTTTATGATACCTTCAAATTTATATTTTATTCAAAAATAAAAATATTATTTTCTTCTCAAAACCAAATAAAATCGTATTATAGCATTGATAGAGACAAAATAAAATAAAACATTAAAATTGAGATGTATCTCGTTGCATTTCGTGAATACCCTTATAATTATCATGGACATAAAACTCTGAAATTCAATTTTTAGAGAGATAGAAAAAATTGGTTGAAGTTGAATGTATTTTTGTTTTAGAGATTTTGAAGTTTCATCTCCTTTTTAGAGAAAATTCTGTTGAAATTATTAGAGATACTCTAATAAGATTGAATATTAAAAAAAACTGTTTGATTATATATATAATATAATGAAGTTATTTTCATTGGTACAATTCTTCATTTCAAGTTAAATTACGGGAACTGAGATTTCATTCTTAATTTTATTACATGTCATTTTCATTTCCATTCTAATCTTCGTTTATCTGTCTGAAACAAACATCCCTTGAGAGATCCATTCGAAGAATATAAAGATTAATTGAAATAATGAGTCTGACTCTTCATCCTCAATAGATTCTTTAAGATAAAAAATTACAGATATTGAATTAAATTTTTTGTTTTAACAAAATTTTCAAAACTTCTTCTAAAATAGAAAAAAATACAAGAAAGAAAGTGTACAAAATTTAAAAATAGCTGCTTAAAATAAATAAATATTATTTTTATCAATAAAAATTCCTGAAATTAAAGATTTAAAGTATAGAAATAATATTTGTATTAAATATGTTTTTAATCTTAAGATATATTAACTATCACAGTTAAATAAAATTTTGAAAAATTTATTACAATATTCTAAATTTAGGGATCAATTACCAAACACTTACTCCAGTAAGCGTTTACCGATAAAATTTAACACTACCACATACTTATTGGGTAAGACTTTAGTTCACGAAAACGGCATCGTATGCAACAATTTACCCAGTAAGCGCTTAATGTGGTAAGAGTCATCGCCCTCACTTACCAGATAAAAACTCTTGGTCCTTGTCTCGCTATTACTATGTAAAATTTTTAGTCCTTACCATATTCATCCAGTAAGATAATGTGACTTAACAAACACTTACCCAGATAAGCGTTTAATAAACGGACCCTTAATAATTCTTTTTGTTCTCTATTTTATCTATAGACATTGAGTAAATCTATAAATATAAATATCAAAGATTTTTATCAGATATTTTCAAAAGCAAAAGGTGGTGGGCAACTTTGAAATAAATATAACTTTTCAAAAATGGTAAATAAACTTATATATTAATATTTGTAAAAATAAAAGAAATTTAAATTTACATCCTAAAAAATAAAAATTGCTTGGAAAAAACATACCAAATAATTAGTTAGTTTGTTACAATACAAAAATATAATTATAGTATTTTTTTTGGGTACCTCAAAACCATTCGTTTTTGAATCGTGTACTGTATTAAAAAACATATTTATCTATATCAAAATCAGATAAAGCAGATTCATGATTCCAACCAACTCCACTACCAAGGTTTTCATTACTATAATTGGATTAACACAAACTATCGTCACAAGATATCTTAAACATTGTATTCAGTATTTTCAACAATTTCATCGATAACATATCTATATAAAAAAAAGGTAATAAAAGGCAAGTTGGATAAGAATGGGGAGAATATTAAGGGAGTTTGCACATGCCAACTTTTTTTAAGCATGGGGACAAGACAACTCCATAGATGCATTCATCCACATGGATTCCAAATGCATATCACATGAGATTTTGTAGATTTTTATTAATATGAAACATATGAGTTAATTAACCAAAACCTTGGTCATAATTGCACATATGAGTTCATTAATTAAGATCTTGATTACAAGTACAAGTGCAAGTTTTATTACAATATTAGTGATTCAGTTGTTGATCATAATCGTAAATCAAATCCAGTTATTGTTGTTGTATATGGTTAATCACTGTATGAAATCATTCATGATTGTATGATTAAGGATACGGGTTATACCTTTTTTTTAGCATGATCCGATCCCCATTCAATGTTTTGTTATTAGTATTGCGACAACTTAAATATTCAACTTTATACCAATGTTTTTGGAGGAAAATGGCAGGGTGATAACAAAGATCGTGCATAGAGTGTTGTCATTAATCAATCGAGTTTCTTGAGGAGTTATTCTGTTCAAAGACCTCCTAGAGAATGTGAGAGGATAGACGGGGTCGGTTTAGAAGATGAAGCTAAAGGCTCCATACAACCATTTTTCAAGGGTTTTACATGTGTGTAAGTTATGCTATAGAGGTAATTGTATTCATATGTTGAGAAACATAAGGTGGATAAAAATGACAATATCGGTGCCTATTGAGATGAGCACAAAAAATGTTAATAATCTGAATATATATATATATATATATAT